ATCAACGGTGGTGCGACGATTTTTAGCAAATCCATCAACCGAAAATGGAAGCAGTTGCAGGTATAGAGCTAATTGTAGCGAGCATATCGCCGACCATTCCAGTGGGCCCCTTTAGAAATCGTCTATTTGCCGCGCTTAGAGTCATAGGGGCCGAAAATCCGCCGATTTCAATGTCTGGGTCTGTTACGTCAGAGGGCAACTATAAAACCAAAAAAAAAAAGGCCCAGATGGGGGTTGAAGAGTGATATGATATTTTTTAAATCGGCTTTGAGATTTTCTTTCCTTTTTTTTTTTCCCTTTTTTTCTCAATTCCTTCACTTTTGCTTTTCCTTTCTAACTTCTTCTCCAAGTCACCTTTCTTTTTCTTTGGTGGGTTGGTCTGCCCCCTTGTGATTGTTGTTGGCTGAGCCGTTACTTTCCGGCTGATATGACATTGGCCTGATTCACTTGGTTTAGCTTGAAGGAAAAAAAAAATCATATTTCTTGCGGAAGGGGGCTGACCTAGACCTTTCTCTGTTGGGGCAGTAAAACAACAGTATAAAAATCACTGTGTTTTTTTTGACCAGCACGAGTTGATCCCACCATAGAAAAAAGCACTATCTTGGAAATATCTGCAGTCAGGTCACGAAGATGGCGGCTTCTGCAATTTTGAAAAGCCGTATCAGGCGGCCGTCGATGCTCTCGAAGTTAGCGAAAGCTGAAGATCTGATCGATCTATTCCCCAATGGCTCTTATATCGGTTGGTCTGGGTTCACGGGTGTCGGCTACCCAAAGTGAGTCTGCTCATCTTATGGGATCCATCGTTTTGGTTGGCGGATGTGAAAGGGATTTCTAACGCGTTGTGTTTGCAGGATGGTCCCAACTGCATTGGCTGACCATGTCGAGAAGAACAATCTGCAAGGAAAGCTGAAATATACCCTTTTTGTTGGCGCCTCGTCGGGCGCGGAGACAGAGAACAGATGGGCGCGGCTCAACATGATTGATAGACGATCACCTCATCAGGTTGGAAAGGACATCGCAAAGGGAATCAACAATGGAAATATCAATTTCTTCGACAAGCATCTCAGCATGTTCCCTGCAGACTTGGTATATGTATGAATCCCAACGGACCCATGTTGCGCCCGCCCATTTGGAGGAGTGATTGTGTTAATCGGTATATCCTAAATGTTAATATAGGGCTGGTATACACGGAACAGACCAAAGAACAGACTCGATGTTGCGGTCATCGAAGCGTCTGCCATCACCGAAGAGGGTGGAATTATTCCTGGAGCTTCAGTCGGCGCATCTCCAGAGATAGTCCAAATGGCAGACAAAATCATCATCGAAGTCAACACAGCCGCTCCCTCATTTGAAGGATTGCACGACATCACAATGTGCGATATCCCCCCTCGACGGAAACCATACCTCATCATGGCTCCAGAAGATCGTATTGGAACCCACCACATTCCAATCGACCCGGAGAGAGTCGTCGCCGTTGTCGAATCCACCTATCCCGATCAGACACAACCCAACGCACCCGCAGACGAGGCGTCGCGCGCTATTGCTAGCAATCTGATCGAGTTCCTCCAGCATGAGGTCAAGATGGGCCGCTTGCCAAAGAGCCTTCTCCCAATCCAGTCCGGCATTGGCAACATCGCCAACGCGGTCATCGGTGGGCTCGCGGAGGGCGGCGCCAACTTCCACAACCTCAAGGTCTGGACTGAGGTTTTGCAAGACTCTTTCCTCGATCTCTTCGACAGCGGCAATCTCGATTTCGCTACGGCCACCTCCATCCGTTTCTCTCCGGAGGGATTCAAGCGATTCTATGACGGATGGGAGAACTACTACGACAAGCTCCTCCTCCGTTCGCAGCAGGTCTCGAACTCCCCCGAGATCATTCGCCGCCTCGGTGTTATCGGCATGAACACACCCGTCGAAGTCGACATTTACGCCCATGCCAACAGTACCTGTGTGATGGGCTCCCGCATGCTGAACGGCCTGGGCGGTTCTGCCGACTTCTTGCGCAGCGCCAAATACAGCATCATGCACACACCCAGCACACGTCCCAGCAAGACCGATCCCACAGGTATCACCTGCATTGTCCCATTCTGCACACATATCGATCAGACTGAGCACGACCTGGACGTCGTCGTCACCGAACAGGTATGCCTATCCACAGTGATCCCCATCTCCCCCCCCGGTGTTTCTCCAGTGATTCTTCCAAGAAAAAGAAAAAGGAGTTGCTAACATCCTCTTCTCCCAGGGTCTTGCCGACGTCCGAGGCCTTGCGCCACGTGAACGTGCCCGCGTCATCATCGACAAATGCGCGCATCCCGACTACAAGCCCATCCTGCAGGATTACTTCGACCGGGCCGAGTCATACTGTCTCCGCAAGGGCATGGGCCACGAGCCGCACCTGTTGTTCCAGGCGTTCAAGATGCACCAGAACCTCCAGGAGAAGGGGACCATGAAGATCGATGGATGGGAGTAGATGGATGATAGACCTTTGTTTGGTGTTTTCTTCGGGGAACACTTTTGACGGTAGTTGGCTGGAATGGGCTTGAGCGAGATTTTTCTTTTCTTTTCTTTTCTTGCTTTTTCGATCTTACTTTGTTTCATGTGCAATCCATGGTCCCATCGTCATCATCTTTTTCTTTGGAGTCAAGGTAGCTTTTTACAGATAAGACTTTTTTTTTTTTTTTTGACAATAAACTCCGGCATTGGATGTATTTACTTTTGATGAACTGGGCTGTTTTCAACCATCGAGTTGCCGGTTGAAACAGCCGTGCTTGCAGTGAATTCCTTTCAGGCATTCCGGAGTCAAAAGACGGAGCAGAAGCCGCCGTCCTCCGCAGGAGTCGAACAAACCGGTGATGGCGCTCGCGCTCTCAGGCCTCTTTTGTTCTTCGCACGGCGCGACGTTTGAGTGCTCCCATCAAGCTTTTACATTTCGATCGGCCAGTCCGCGAGCTGCTATTTCCCACCTGTCAGTCTGAGAAACAGGGGGGCGCCGGCAGACTCCAGCGCGAAAACCAGAGCAGCAAGACGAATTAACTAACGCTGCATTTCCCAGCGCGAACGGAGTGGGCAGGCAAAGCCAATAGTGGCAGTTCTAGACCGTGGGCGACGCAAATATCCAAGCAGCGCCGATCGGCTCCCACGCCATTCCCCAACGCGCAGTGATCGCCCAGCGTCGATGCTCTCGACTCGGGCAAATCCGCGGACTTTTGCGATGTCCAGAACTCAGGGCGCGGTCTGCGTAATACCGATACACAGCCGGAATACCGCCCGAAGTGGACTGCGAGGAAATTATGTACAACGATCGGCGGTCTGAAAGTCGAGCAGGAGTTGGACTGAACAACACCACTGGATCACGACGATGAAGCCTCCTCCTCCCACTTGGTCGAGGCTGTCGCTTCTCTCACCACCACCACCCCGTCGCAGCAAGTCAACGGCAGCATTCGACAAGACCCGCGTCAATCAAACCCTCTCGCTCCGCGACGGCCGCACCCTCGGATACGCAGAGTACGGCTGCCCATCGGGCTTCCCGCTCCTCTTCTTCCATGGCTTCCCTTCCTCGCGCCTCGAGGGCTGGGCCCTCAGTCACGTCGCCCACCGCCGCAACCTCCGCATAATCACACCCGACCGCCCCGGATTCGGCCTCTCCACGTTCTACCCCGGCCGCCGCATCACCGACTGGCCCGCTGACGTCCACGCCCTGACGCAGCATCTGCGCCTCTCGCGCTTCGCCGTCCTGGGCGGCTCCGGTGGGAGTCCGTATGCGTTGGCGTGCGCGCACGCGTTGCCGCGTGAGTCGTTGGCCGCGGTCGGGCTCTTGGCAGGAGCACCGCCGTGGATAGCGGGCACGCAGGGTGTGTCCCTGTCGCGGCGGATAGCATCTTCGGCGGCGACGCACTGGCCGTCGGGTCTGTTGGCGTTGACGGATATGCTAGTCGGCATGCTCAGATGGGTGGTGACTACTGGTCCCGTCGAAAGAGCACTGGATACCTGGCTACAGCAGCAGAATGCGAAGACCGACGGCGCTGAGGCAGGAAGCTCGTCGATCAAGGAGGACAGAGAGCGGGTTTTACAGCTTGGATTTGAAGCGTTTGCCCAGGGTGCTGGAGGGTTCGTGCAGGAGACGCGGCTGTTGACGCATGATTGGGGGTTTCGGTTTGAAGACATAAGATATGACAAGATTCAGATCTGGCATGGTGCGAAGGATGTCAATTCGCCGGTGCGGATGACGAGATATATGGCGGAGCGGCTGCCTCATTGTGTGCTACGCGAGTTCGAGGGTGATGATCACTACACTATGGTTCGTCATCTGGAGCAGATCGTATCGGAGTTTGTTCCAGAAGAGATGACGAGCGAATATAACGGCAAGACATCATGATTGCCTATTTTTTTTTTTTTTGTCGAGCTTGGTCGGAGTGGACTGAGCGTTGTACAGTATAGCTTCTATAGAGTCCGTTCATAGAACATAACATCTCCCATTCATTCGATATCACAGCTAGGATAGAGATTCTACCGTTTCAAGCTCAGTTCTCTACATTCATACCCAGCCAGTTCACATGATATTGACTGCAAGGTCATTTCGGGCAACCCGATATGGATTCTGTACTTGGTTCTGGCTCCATCTCACATGAAATTTGCTCAGCAACCCACCTGCACAACCAAAAGGCATCGTCAAGACGTCTATCCGGCACCCTAATTTCCGGACAGTGACAACGCTGGCGGTCTGGACCAGTGCTGGGCGGGTTCGCCCCTCTACGACAACGGAGAGCTTCTCCAGATAATTTAAAGCACAGAGGTAACTAATTTATTTTGACACGCCCGAGGGTTTTCAGGAGGTCGCATTGGAGGTTCTTGGTAAAGTTTGGCGGCCGTTCGTCGCAGGGGGTTTGTTTTGGAACGGCTTGACAGCGGTGTGTGTGTGTGTGTGTGTCGTTCCTTGACGACCTCAGGAAAGGGAGGGCCTGATCTCCACGCATCGCATCGCATCGCATCACATCACATCGATGGCGCTCGATAGCGAGAGAATAGCGCAAACTGACTATGTATGTGGTGGAGGCTCACGGCGATCTGCAGCGGCCGACATTTGCGGCTCAGCGATATTCAAAACAAACAAACAGGGCGTACCGTATGGATGTATGTATGTATCGAGCATTACTGAAATACGCAGTTGGTACCGCCAGGGGTATTACACTGACACACAGTACTCAGTCTTACGGTCCTCAGCGCTGATGGGGCATTTGCGTCCCGAGAGAGCCCTTCCAAGAGTCACCACACACGACATTATTTCGCTAAGCGAGATTGAACCACTTGACAGCTCAGCGCTGCAGCAGGAGAACAAGGAGCAAAATACAAAGAAGCGGACCCTGATAACCCAAAGAAGCGGTAGAAACTCCGGCCCGATCGAACATCACAATTGGCTATGGTATGTACTCCGTCCACAGCGGGTGACACAGGCAGATATCAGCAATGGCAACGCCCATCGTCTCCCATGTGCTTCGTATCCCAGGCGCCGATACGTAAAGTGGTTTTCCGTCCAATTGATAGGGCCCTCGTGCTCTGTTCTCAACGCCGTGGGCTCGTGGTCAAGGATATAGCTGAGAAACGTCAGCTTGATACCTGCTAGCCAGATGGTGGAAGTTTAAAACAACGATTTGTCTCCTTTTTCCGCCGCTCTTCATTGGAAGGATATTGCATACTTGCTCTGAAACTCCCAAGAACTGGTCATGCGAGTTTCAAAGCAACGCTGGCCGACTAGTCACGGAGTACAGGTCTCAGGACATAACTTTTGCAGCACAAACAAAACGGAGCGCGGATCTTCTCTCGCTCATCGAAAGAGCTGTCCCAGAAGTTGACCCAGCGACTCTCCGGGAAGTTTCATGATGGAAATCAAGATGTATCCGCTGGGGATAGACATATCGGGGACTTGCCGGTTCATTGAACCAGCAGAGGACCTTGCGGGTTCACCCAAGTATCTCCTCTCACCGAGCCGTGTAGGCTATTCAGCTCATTTGTGCTGAGATGGCAGACACATTGTCGTCAAATTCATCACCAATCCAATCGTATCTTCTATTTGCCCATGACTGCAGAGGAATTTTTGGGCTCAGATACGGTGGCATGGACAGATGTGTACTTTGTAATAATGAAGCGAAGTTCTGTGTGCTCGTGCAAGAACGTGTCCCTAATATCATATACGGCGGTTTCAAAATACATACCTTCTCTGCCCATCGACATATACAGAGTAGCTTTCTCCTATCTTCAGGCACAGAGCATGACTTTTCCTTTTTTTTTTTTTTTTTTTTTGACCTGGATTCAGCCGAGCAAATGCAGCTCTGTCCCCCGATCTTATATAATTTCATCCAGATATAACTACTGATCACACCGAGAAAAACTAAGGGGTTTCGGATTGACAGTCCAATATATGTATATAACTATATGTTCGGAGGCTACGGGATCCGATCTTGTTTCAGTTGGTTGCCATACTAACTAGCCACGACACCACACGCGCTGATATCAGGCATTGCTAAAACGAAGCGCAGCATGCATGCCTCTCTCTCTTCTCTTCCCTCTGTTAGTTATTGACCCTGGAGTCTCGGCTCGCGTGCTCGTCTCTTTTTAAATTAAATTTCCTTGCACAAAAAGTCAAAGTATGTTTTATAAGTGAACCCTGTCTCCATGCGGAGCAGTCGGATATCTCAGCCTTACTGCATGTCGCATCAGTTGTTCCGGCAAAGTGATAGAGTTCGAAACTGGGTGATATCCTTCCATTTCCATCACTATTTTAAAAGGTGGAGGTCATCCTGGGAAGTGTTTTTTTTGTGTGAGATGACATGGTCACCGTCAAAATCCTCAGGGCGAAGGCGGGCATGGGTACCGGGTTTGGCGTGTTTGGTTGGGCCAGAAGAACTGTAAAACAAAATATACGGAGTACGGAGTAAATCACGGTGTCGCTTAAAGAGCTTATGTAAATCGTGGCCTTTGAGTGCAATATAGTGGTCCTTTTTTGGGTACAAAGGCGACTGGTTCGTGATGTCTGTTCCAGGTACCCATGTCAACCAGCATGAGCATGGCGGTTACTTGCTGGCGCCCTGCAACCCTCAAACTGTTCCCCCCTTTTTACCCCCACACTGCTGGATTGTTGTAACCAAGAAGAATATGGATTCTATAAAGGCTGGATCATCCTGCTCAATTGGTCCCGAATACTTGCTACAGAGCTAGGACTGAGAACCTCCAGCCAACGATGCCACCTACTCGATCTGCCAGAGCACGAGCCCCAGCTCCAGCCTCCCACTATCAGGCAATTGTCTCTGGCCCGCCGCGTTCTGTGAGGCCTGATTGGGATGACTCTACACGGTATTCAATAGACCAAATGCAAAAGAACTTTGAAAAGTAACTCTGCCGATTGTGCTTTGTTATCTGGTGCAGCTAACAGATTGAAGATTTGTTGCACACCTCTCCCCCCCCGACCCTTCACACTGGCTGAAACAGGTGAATCTCAGTTTGATTGAAGGATTCCTGCGTTGGTATCTTGACATTCATGAGCAGTGTGAGAAAGCAGAGGGCTTTAAGGTCAGGGTCCGCTTCTGGAGAATGTATTATTGCAATGAAATGAAGCAAGAGTTTCCTTATGAATTGAAGTTAGAGACCAAATATGTAAGTTAACGAGACAGCCCCAAACAGCTAAGTGGACTAACAATCTCTAGTTGGTCCATGAACTTGTACAAGATTATGCGCTGGATGAAACAGGCACGCTCCCACCAAATATCAATGGAGATGATCTTTTCTACATGCAATACCATCTCCAGGTTAATTCAACCATCTGGTTCCCCACTCAGCGCCAGAGAAGTCAACATGGAACACTACGTAAAATGATGACTGCTACTAGTGCACGTGCTGGGACACTAGTTGTGAGCAGTGGATACTTAAAGAAGCCAGACTCACTTCTCTGGGGAGACATCCAGATATTCATGGTTGCAAATCCAGAGTCACCCTCCTGCAGGGTCCTTCTCGTCCATGCAACACACCGGCTTAACAAAGGCAAAAGGAATAAGGGCAGACCGTATGTACAGCAACACCCAGAATCTCCACATAAACTGACAGTTTGCCAGCCCAATCTACTCCTACTTTGAACGAAATGACAATCTTGCGTTCTGTGTAGTGCAAGATATCCTTGAATATGGCTTCCAGGACGATGTCTATTCAAGCCCTTTCATTAAAAAACCTAGAGATATCTGGCAGCACACCCAGATTCCGAAGCACAGACTAAGTGTTCCTATTCATATTAAACCAGAAAAATGGGATCTTCCAATCTTCCGGCCTGGAAGACGGGATGCAGAGGGTCGCTGGACCACACACCCACAGAATCCCCTCACCTTCAATCAGTTTGCGGAAGATGAAGTGCGGGCTTGTAGGTCAGCTGGTCTTAAAGAAATAGGAGGGTTAAAAAGATACCGGAAAGGTGCTGCTGCTGTCATAGCCAGTGAGTCACTTCTCTAGCAATTTTTAGGGAACAGTTACTGAAGAGGCAACAGATTTAAATGAACACAAGCGAAACCACATCATGGGTCATGCCAGGGCTGGCGTCTTCCAGTACTATGTCAATCAACGTGTGGACACAGATATACAGTCCATGTTTCTGGAAACACCAACTCAAGATGCTTTGGTGAAACTCTCCACCAATTCCAGTCTCACTCGAGACCCATCAGCGCCTCAGGAACTATCCAATAAACAGAAGGCTGAGGTTGAGAACAATGTAAAACTGGAAGCCCTAAAAAAGAAGCGATTAATTGCCAAAGCCGAGCTGATAGCAGATTATGGCAAGATCTGCAATGTCAATAATCCTGAAAAGAGAGCTGAATACGAGCATCTGTGCAAACGCATTCGAGCCACACGAAAGAAACTGCGACGAGAAGCATTCAGGGAGGTCCATGCAAACTTTTTTCAAACCATTGGTGACAAAATCATTGAGCAAAACTATCATGGACAGTCTACTGTTTTCGAGCCAGACACATCTTCCATTTCTGCCGAACGGAAAGAACTTGCAGCTCTCGAATTCAAGAATCAGGATGCCACCTACATTTCTGATCAGGAACTAGTGGAAGACCGCATTAGGTCCTTGGAGCTCCGCCTCAGACTTCATTCTCTTACAATCCCCAAACCACTCGCAGCAAAGGTAGTAGCCTGCAAATCTGCTGAGAAGTCTCTTGACCCGCAAAGTTTTACTGGTCTTGAATGCCCTATCTGTCTTGGATTTGAGGACTACAACACCATTTCCCGAACATACAGGTTCGCAAACTGCTATGTCTTAAACAGTCATATTGATGATGTTCATGGAGGTATATCTTTCTCTGCTGGATGGTGCTGTAACTATCCACCTGGCTGTGGAGTTCTGCTCCACTCAATGGCCCAGCTCAAGTGCCATGCGGTGAAAGCACATCGTACCCAGCTTCCGGGAGCAAAGAAATTTGGAGGGCGCCGATGATCTTCCCTAATGCTGTAAACTGCCCCTAGACTGGTTGATGAGAAAAGATTCACTATTCTTGGTTTTTAATGTGAGTGTACATGAAATAGTGTGAGAATACATAATGTTTGTCATTCAACAAAGATCCTCAAATCTCATTATGTCAATCTTCACCCTTGTGGCCATGCAAAATATATGAAATCCATCCTCCCACTACCTTCCTTCTCGCTTTGCAGCCCTCTGGGGCCTAATGCATCTCTCTTTCTCCAAAGTTGGATCGTGTCGCCGAGAGAGGTTCTTCCCCTAATTTTTGAAGTGCAAGAGTTACTTCATTCATCCAAGGCTCAAGATCTTTCAGGTGTTTCTGCAGCTTGCTGACAATGCTTCTTCAAGTTAATTGTCTGCATCAGCTCTAAGCTGGGTAACTCTCACCTCTTCAGAGAAACTACTCTTATTGACATTGTTAAAAAGGAATAAACAGTTATAGTGGGGTAGACTCACTCCTTCTGAAGCTCATCAATCTTCTCCTGGAGCTGCAACAGATGATCACCAGATGGGATGCTCGGTCCAGATTCAGTCAGATTGAGAGTGCTTTCTGCCTGTAGCTGAGGTGGGTACTGTGTAGAAAGTTCTGACAAGATAGCATCCATAGTTCTGGGTGAAAGATCAATATCATAGTGTGGCAACTGTGATGGAGTTGGCATATCATCAAGGCACTGGAGCCACTGCTCCATATTTTCGACACTGTCCATTTTTAGGGTGCGAGATGAAATCACTGAATTGCTGCATGCACGGCTGATGATTCTGTTTAAGTACTTCTTGCTCTCATGCGAACAAATCATCAACCCCCTCTATTTGCTGAGCGGGTGCATGATGATTTCAAAGTATGAATAGAGTTCTCCCTTTAATGGCTCTACCCTTCTCTAAACTTCCTATGTATTTAGTTGCTAGAATTTTTACCAGTCCGGTCTTTAGAAGAGCAAAAATGGCTGCAAGTTCTCAAGCTGGGAAGGTATAATCCCTAGCAAGAAACTGAGTTAAATGTTTTTGCTAATCTAGATTGAATATAGGAGAAAACAATCACCGCAAAAACACATATCACTGTAGATGCTGCCACACAAACCGTCCCATCAATTACTGAGCTGCGATATTTTGCCCTTTGTGAACAGTTGCAGAAGCAGCAAGCCATCCTCCGGAACCTTGCTGAAGGAACATCAAAATGCATTGCGATATTGGACCAGGCGGCAGTTCAGGAAGACTCAAATAAAAAAATAGTGAAATAGTGGAGGTCCCTTATATATCTACATACTTTCTCTTATTCCTCCCTTCACCGGCTCCCCCTATGCGGTCGGCTTTCCTGTTACACTCGTCGCAATGAATGCGGAAGGGAATATCATGGTGTGCTTGTCCAAAGTTGTGCTCCAGACCTTGCATATCAATGAACCACTGGAGGGTATTGGGAAATGAGCTAAGCAATTTTCGGCTTTCCCCACACTGTAATGACAGAGTGATGTCCTCTCTCAAATCCCGCGCAAAGAATCGGACTGGTCTGATGTAGTTTCGGCACTTGTAACAGATATCATCCTCTGATAAGCACAACCCTAAGTTTACACTCTCCTTAAAGAAGTATAATGGTGCTGGACACAGACCCTTTAGCGCCTTAATGACCGAATGCGCCGGGGCACGGCATCGAATTGAGCCACGACAGTGAAAACCACCGGAGTAAAATTCAGGCATAATGTCTACTTCGAAGTAGAAACTGGACACCAGAAGCATTATCGCTGCCTGCTTGATCCCTTGCGATAATTGTTTCTGTACCCAGCGCCCCAGGGGTTCTATTGCCTCAGTGTTGTTCATTGCCGGTGGACCGCCTGCGGGGAACGGATAATTGACCCGGATATACCTTGTACGTGTTGGCTCGTCCAGTAGGTTCCATATCTGCCTCCAGGTCTCCTCCCCATCATATGAACTGTTGAGGGAGCGGTAACCCCGAGAAATGAACCCATCCATTAGGATGTTACGAAAAGTCATTGCTTTGGGGGACCGTGCAATTGACTCGGACCCTGTACCAAGTGAAATCACCACATCTGGCTCTGGGGTTGTAGGCCAGAGACGGCGCACTTCCGACAAACCTAAATGTATTGGATTATTATTCTGTGGACGTGTGCCGCCATCCTGTAGGTTCCCAATTTCGGAAATGTTAACAGAGGGGAACAGCCTAGCATTCAAGTCAGTAGAGGCAAACACGTTTGTGGTAGTGAATAATGTACCCAGGAACCGCGGATGTAGCTCGCCCGCTGGAAACAATATTAGACTGGAGATTTTCAGCACATCTAGAGAATGAAAAACATACGCCTGCCAGACAAGGGGCTCATTTCCAGGTTTTGTCCGAACGCATCCATAGCCTAATCAGGCTTTAGCAAGCCTCTTAAATAGCTGGAGTGAGAATATTACCACGGCCTTTCCCCAGAGGCGTTTCACTGTTATAGTTGGTAATCAAGATAGGTGTCCCATCATCAATTGTGCTGGCTGTGACGGCCACTTTACACCCACTGATTCTGGATTTTGGTGTATCCGACATCCGGAGTGCTGGACCAAAGTATCCAATGAAGACATCATCTGTGCTCTTTGCCTCATAAGCACCATCTGATAACAGTGTTCCAAAGACGCGGCGCACTTTGGGCTGGTTTGATTTTCGGTGGAAAACCTTTCGTGCAAGCTGGAGGAAGTCTGCCTTGCAGCCTACCACATCATTCTGGCAGATCCCCAAAGCCAACGCACTTATCCCACCTGCAAAACAATAAGTCTATGTTCAAACTGAGCAGATAACTTAGATAGAAAGCTGTACCAGAGCTGGTCCCAATCATGAAATCCACTAGGCTGGCCAAAGGTAAATCCTGACCAAGGGGGGCTTGTATTGATGCTAAGCTCTCCAGAGGGATTATGCCACGCACGCCACCACCATCAATGCTCACCACGCGTACGCCTGCGGTTGCAGGCTTGATTTTTACCTTCAAGCAGGCGGGTTCTCTGCAAGCAATGCAATCCTTGATGAAATATTCAACATCAGATCCAATGAGTTGCTCTCCGTACCTTTGTACACAGTTGTCGCAAATAAGATGTCCGCACGGAACAGGGTGCTGTTTGCACTGTCTCAGACACCAGGTGCAGGTGAATTCCAATTTAAGCGCCTTCCAGGACCTTGCATTGTGGCCAATGTTGTATCGATGCAGCTGCGAGGAAGACTCACCACTGGCCGCCATGATTTCAAATAAAGAAACCAGGTCATCCTCAATCATCTGGCACTGGGACTTGGCGAAAGAAGGTGTGTTATAAACATGCTGCAAAGCCGTATAGACAGGTTTGCGGTAGAGCGAGCGGAATAAAGCACGAGGACAGAATGCTGAAATTGTTAGTATTTCCGGTAGGGAGATATGGAGAGATACTTACCGTGTTTTGACGGGGGATAAGCGTCCATCAATATCGCGGAGGCTACATATGAAGCCATGTTGTCATATGAAACATGTAGCCGAAGCCCTTCTGAAAAAAACGCAGATAGGTGCGAGACAAAAGATCCGGAGAGTTGGTTGCCTTTCCTTGACGATTGCAGGAAGTCAAATGGACTGAGAGCGTCGGTCGCAAATTCCCGTAGTGCATCCATGAAGAGGCAATCTAAGTCCAGTGCAGAGAACATCAGTCGTCTAGCCTCCCGTGCTTGGCGTGCTTTGTATAGCTCCTCCCGGATGTCAGCGCCTAGTTGCAGATACCGAGCTTCAGCCGACAGTTCGCTGGATTGCATGCAGGACACACTGACATTTGCGAAACAGGAGAAGAGTGGGGGAACGTTTTGATAGTCCAAGATATCCAAGAGAAAATCATCCTCATGGAGTAGCCTTTCGGTTACGCTCTCGCAGTGTGAAACGCCCTTTACAATAATCACTCGTGGGCGAATGCATCGGGGTAGGCTTGAGGCAGATCCAATAGACACCCAGGTCTGCAGCAGCGACCGAACCGCCTCCAGGCCGCCTATATCATCAGCAAAGATACAGACCACATCGCAAAAGAGAAACAGGAGTCGCGAGAGGATGACATCATATGGATCCCAGTGCGACAACCCGTTCCAGTTGACTGGTATGGTCTCGTGTCGGTGGCATAGCTTAAAACTGTTGAACGCAGGCAAAATGCGGCGCTGGCTTAAGTCAATATCCACAAACAACCGAGGGTGGTCGGACTGTCTTGAGTGATCATCAACTCGGAGACTGAGGGCAGAAAGTTGATCACTGGAGCGGTATCTGCCTTTGCATAGCTGCCGTAGAGCGGCATTCTTATGTTTCCTTCCAACAAGCAGTGTTAATTGTGGGTATTGAGCTGAGGGCGACTTTAAGTCGTGCATAGCTCGGCCAAATCTCCACCCATAAGATATGTGGGGCCCAGCGCCCCCCTCAACTAGCTCAAGCAGTGCAATATGGTTGCATCGCGCCATTGCTTTCCTTGGGTAGATTTGTTTTAGGCGCCCCCAACATCCTTATATAACCCTGCGCGGGCCATGATTGGGAATTCATGGCCTTGGATGGACTTCCCAAGAAATAACGAAGAATGCCTCCAAAGCAGGCCATTCTGACAGATTATGGTGGACTGGACCAGGGAGGAAGAATGCCTCAATGCAGGCCATGAATGCAGAGATTCTGGCAGATTATGGTGGACTGGACCAGGGAGGAAGAATGCCTTGAGGCAGGCCATGAATGTAGACAGATTATGGTGGAATGGGTCGGGGAGGAAGAATGCCTCAGGGCAGGCCATGAATGCAGAGATTCTGGCAGATTATGGTGGACTGGACCAGGGAGGAAGAATACCTCAATGCAGGCCATGAATGCAGAGATTCTGGCAGATTATGGTGGACTGGACCAGGGAGGAAGAATACCTCAATGCAGGCCATGAATGCAGAGATTCTGGCAGATTATGGTGGACTGGACCAGGGAGGAAGAATGCCTTGAGGCAGGCCATGAATGTAGACAGATTATGGTGGAATGGGTCAGGGAGAAAGAATGCCTCAGGGCAGGCCATGAATGCAGAGATTCTGGCAGATTATGGTGGACTGGACCAGGGAGGAAGAATGCCTTGAGGCAGGCCATGAATGTAGACAGATTATGGTGGAATGGGTCAGGGAGAAAGAATGCCTCAGGGCAGGCCACCAAAGAATGTACAAGATTGAGTGGAATATGAGGCATGAGGAGAAATTACGATGGAATGGACTGGGGAAGCAGGACGCATTGGGGCATGCCATGAATAGGAGAAATTATCATGGAATGGACTGGGGATGGATGATGCATTGGGGCATGCCATGAATAGGAGAAATTATCATGGAATGGACTGAGGATGGAGGATGCATTGGGGCATGCCATGAATAGGAGAAATTATCATGGAATGGACTGGGGATGGAGGATGCATTGGGGCATGCCATGAATAGGAGAAATTATCATGGAATGGACTGGGGATGCAGGACGCTTTGGGGCATGCCATATCGACGGGTGTAATATTGTATCTAACGTGATCCACCCCCCGAGCGGCTCACACCACCGAGCGGCTCACCAAAATACACATACAAATCTCAACTTTTTGCTCTCTTATATCTCAACAACATTGTTGAATATAGACTTTAGAATTTAGATGTAGAGTATATAGACACTTAATAAACAGTCTATTATTTGTGAAGATAATTTGATACATGCTAGTAAAAAGATAATAAAATACTATAACTTAAGAAATAAATTATTATATTTAGATAATTCTTATAATTTACAAAGTTTATTATATCTGTATAGTATCTTCTCCATTTTATAATGATCAGACATAGACTTGTTAAGATATAAGAAAGAGTTGAGAGGTGTGAGCCGCTCGGGGGTGGATTACGTTAACTAACTAGCCTGGTTGGGTTATTGATTATCTAAGCCCGTCCAATTGTACCCCATATCCGCCACATTGAAGACAGGTTGACCCGGATTTTCGCTGAAGGTAAAATAGGCGCTGTCCACTACACTTGGTTAGTACAGCCGCTGCTGTTTGTTTTTCTCTATACATACCTTCCTCTTGACCTTGAGGTGTAAAAATTTGTCCTTCAGTTCTCCTCCCTTGGAGAGGAGAAAGGTGTAGCCCTGTTTGAGCCTGTTGTGGTGAGCTTCTCATTGATAAGGAGAGCACAGTGGCAGTTTACCTGATTTATAATTCTCAAATCCTCCTCAGTCACTTCAAGAATGTCTGCCTTCACAAGTGAAGTTTCCAGCAGCCCATGAAGCCAGGAGTCAACAGCCAGATGATTCCAGTGGCGGGAAGAGCCCAATTCCGGACATTTTTCTTTTAGTTTGACTAGCTTGTTGTTCACACTGTTCGGAGTTCGACAGAAACCGCGTCTCGACAGCAAATCCGCAATCACTCTTTGATAGACTCCCCTAGATGCAAAATAGACCGCCACAATGACCTCATCATCAGTCCATTCAAAGCCACCCATTTTATCTCAATCTGTAACTGTGCAATGTTTAGGATAAAGAAGAGAATGCTTTTTTCCTTGCTTCCTGATGCGAAGATGTTGTCGAATTTAAGAGGATGCTAAATAATCATGATGGGAACGCGTCATAAGGGAGTCTTGCAGCTCCCAGAGATCTGGTAACAGGACTGTTACCTTTCTATTCAGCCTCTCTTGTATCCGGTGCTAGCCAAACATGATACTGTCTGCCTGTTTAATTGGACAAGTAAAGATTATCCTCTCTACCCCTCATGCTGACCCTGTGCTGGCTCATGAAGATAACCCCCCGGCCCCCAGCGGTGCTGCTGATGTACCTTGTCTAACTCCATACAGTCACGAATGGGGTGCTTTAATCTCAAAAGGAAATCTGAAAGTTTCCGCGCAGATCGCGTGGGCGCTTACATGAAGGTTTGGTTGGCCTTCCATGGTAGGATTGACAACACTCCCGCATGAGGGCCTAGTCATGTGATTCACCAATGAGGGCCTTCCTTTCATATCATTGGTAGACAAAATGCAATTGGAATTTTAGAGTTTAATGGTTCAGACAGATGTGCCAAAAGCACCCCGACGCGATGCAACAGCGCCTTGCCACGATGGTGCGAACATGAACACCATGATTTGAGGCTAGCGGGTGCACGCTGATTCCAATCATGGATGTAATCTCAAGCTTTAAATATTGCAGCAGTTTCAATGTTCTTCCAAGTCCCAGCTTAACTTCTGAATCAATGAGAGATCCGATATCAACACCTGCCCGATTGAAGAGACCATAGTTGCTTAGCCAACCAAGGTATTTTCTGACCTGGGGTTTGGACAATATGATACTGATGAAAGCCAGTCAGATGTCACAACCAACCTCCGGAAAGGCTTCCCGCCCCTCAACCCCAGTGCCATTGCCGCTTCTCCCAAGTCAAGTAGTAGAGCTCCATCATGTCGCAGGCTCCGCGCGGAAGAGATACAATAACAGTGCCTTGAAACAGTCCAGGAGCCATGTTCATCCGGAATCTTTGATCGAAATTCACAAGGCAAATGAACGACGCTATCGAGAACGGCTGCAACAAGAGTGCAATGCCCATGCTATCACACGAAACGAACTGGAATCAGAGAGAAAATTCCATCAGGACGCTGCGGAGGCCAATGCACAATTACATCATGGTCTCCTTCAAGCAGAAGCTGCGCAAGCTATTCTTCGACAACAGCTCAGTATAGAACAAGGGGCGCACAGAGCCGCTACAGCTGAGCAAACCCTTCTCCGACAACAACTTGGTGCAGAAAGGGAGGCACATCAAGCCACTGCAGCTGATTTGGCACATGCAGTTAGATGGTGCCATTGGGTTGATAGCCTCGTAGATGTCAAGCGCCTCGAGGAGAACAACACCTTGCACCTGGATGACAAGTCGCGCCAACTTGGTGACATTATCCTGGACGTTCAAAACAAGATGGAAGAGAAGTACGCTGCATACTACCAACAGCAGGATGACCTCATTTCAGAGCTTCAGCAAAGAGTCAACGTCTATTCGCAGCCGGTTGAGGGGTTTCCAAGAACCACAAGGTCAGCAAATTAAGTTGAAGATATTTAAGGGCTAGGTGAATATTAGCATATAGCTACCATCAATCAATGAACATTATTGTTTAGGCATAAGGGCATTGAACACAGGGTATTACGTATAAGATTAGTCATCATATTAGCTCACGGGCACCGCGGGACAGACTTCCGCATTTTCATAATTTTCTACACTGCTTATTCCTACAAGTTTGAGGGCCGCTCTGCCGCTCTGAGTTAGTGAAAAGAAGTTTGGGGGGATGGGGGGAAGGGGGAATGTAGCATAAAAATTGACCATGAATTTCTCTCATATGGGCCACGAATATTGATAGGAAGCAACAACATATAAGAATAGAATAAAACAGACCCATGAAAGACTCTCTGTTTTGAACCTGAACCTGCATCCAATATGGAAAATCAGCAATCGACTTCAGAAAGATACCTAGCTTCTAAGCCTGTTGGGCTTAAACGAGAATCACCTGGAATGTCCTTGAACGAAAGGCCGAAGCTTCGTCGCATGATCGGTGTGAACAGACAACCAAGCTTCATGTCACAGAATATGGCGATAGCCATAAAGACTAAGATTGGAAATCCTTGGGAGCGGTATGAAAAATTCCTTGAAGTAGAGGACTTTGTCCCTGGTACACTGGTGCATTCCAAAGATGGCAACTTTACTGAAAGAATCGTCGATGTTGTCAAAGTGCATAATGAAGCATGGCTGTCAAGGCTCACATCAGCATGTCATGAAAATATTGTCAGCCTACATGAAGCCATTTACCAGAATAGTACCATTTTCCTTTTCTCTGAGGTAATGGACGTGTCCCTCGCGCAGATATTCGGATCGCCACGCGGGCGCCTCCAACATTATGAGGTTGCGGCGTTCTGCAAAGAGATTCTTAAGGGGCTGCACTACATCCACAGTGAGCACAAGTTCGCACATGGAACCCTGAAAGCAGAGAATATTTTACTGTCAGCAGGAACTGCAGCTGTCAAGATTGGTAAGAGAACAGTGGGCATATTCTGTACTTTCACTTACCCAGAAGTAGCAGGTATTGGAGGGAGCATGCTGGGGAGGCTTGGTATTGGGGCAGCCCAAAGGGATTTATGTGCGCTCGGTCTTATGATCACTGAATGTTTGGAACCAAGGACAGCTCTAAACCAGGGTGAGGTCCTGGTGTCTGAGGAATGGGATTCTGTTCTCCGAGATTTCCAAATGCAGACCCAGACAAAGTCCGCTGCAGCGCTGCTTCAAGTAAGTCTTAGCATTGCTAAGTTTAGGCTACAAAGGCTAATCATGGTAGCACGATTTCATCCAACGCTCTCCCGGTCCTAAGTGCCTCGTGCCGTATATTCGCTTGGCTCGCGAGACGACATTGAAGAAAGTCAAAGTTCTAACCTAACGAGGAGACTTCATTGTGATCTCGGGCAAATATGTGAATTCAGGATGGATTGCAGACTCTTATTCTTAGGATTACAGCTAAGCAAGTAGCTCTTAGATACACTATATATATACTAAGGATTGAGTAACTGAGACGCGAGTCTAAGTCTACCGTAAAAATTATTCATAGTAAGTCAAAGTTCCCGCTTTGAATCACTCTTCGAACTAGATAGTAATTGTTACAGACAGGAATCACTCAGCAGGATTTGGTGCTAGCAGGAGGGCCACGATTCTTGCCCTGAAGACCACATTTTTGTGATCGTGACTCTGGGTAAATGACTTAACACCCTCTTTGCGCTTGCCATCGAGCTGATCATTCAGAGTTGAAGCATGCCTGACATGGCAAACAGGACTGATATTCTTGAAGGGCCCGAGCTTCAACTTGCAAGGGAGAAAGAAGGAAGTTTATTGGGAATCGCCAGGATCAGCCTTGAGCACCTGAGGTTCGAGGAGAATGATGGGATTGGAACCCGCAGCGTCGCAAGCGATGCAGGAAAGAAGCAGGTGAAGCGCCTGCTGGCCCGATTCAAAAGGGACCGGTGTCGTCGACTCAATCCCGACTACTGGATTGAAGCTGTCATATCACCTGATACACTCCGGCAAATTTTGAACTACAATTCTCTTGAGAGCCTGCAGCCTGGTACTTTTCCCTTCCTCGAATTACGGCCTGAGTGGACTGTTCTGTGCCTACAAGGGCGCATACGCGCCGCTGCGGCAGCTGAGTGGCTAGAGCCCGATGACAGATGGTGGATAATTAAATTCTATGATTCGACACGCCTCTCCAACGAAACGCAAAGAAGTCTTCGAGAATTCCACGATGTATCAGAGGAATTGACCAGCGGGGAAATATATCGAAACATACTGCATTATAGCCACATGCCGAACCCTAACGCAGTTGGAGAATGGAAAACTCGAGGCACGGAAGGCTTCCAGCGAGATCTTAAGCAACTGCAGAAGAGCGCTATTGATCGCCCTCTTCGCGAGGCTTTGGAAGAGCTAAAATTCTTCCCAGGGCTGTGGTCAACCTACCTTAACCTGCATCGGCTGCTCCCAATGCGTGTTCCGGAAGTAGGTAGCTCACCCGCCGCTTATTGACCCCATAGGCTCACTGACCTTGTAGGAGTTAGCGAACTATCTCAAGCACATCAAAGCTGTGATGACCATAATCACAAATGGCAGGCCAGAGATACTGGACGCCCAGACTGTTACGCAACTCGAGGGGCGTTCTCCATTCTGGTCAAGAGCAGACGCTAACCACATTGATATGGTTTTCGATGAGGGTCTCGTATTTCCAGACGTCATTTCTACACCTGAATATGAAATACTCCGCGAGAGAGTCAAAAGTATTAGGTGCATCATTCCATCACTTCGCACTTTCCATGAAGACTGTAAATACCTAGAGCCCATGGTGAAACTGGTGAGGAGGTTACTGTCGCCAAAATGGAAAGGCACGGTGAAGCATGGTATGAAGCGGCGATATTCTCCCCCAGCCGGCGACAGTTTTCCAATCCAGACTACAGTGGGTTACCGATCTGAGCGCCGACAAGCTCCAGGCTATGGATTTTGGTCCGCCTACCGGCAGGTATTCCTCGCCTCAATGCGTGAATTTTTTGGGTTAGTCCCAAACTTTAAACCCTTGAAAATGCACAAGGTCCCTATGCACATGCAGCAACCGGAAGCCAGTGTTCTCTGGACCCGGTTCAGAGAGGTGGTCAGCACTGTCGGGTTCAGTGTCCCACGCATTGACCATGGTGCGCATCTGGTCCCAATCAATTGGGGTGGAGATAACCGCGGCCAATACCCTGCCCCGTCTCTGACCAATAATCATCATGCCGATTGGCGCTTGTCTTCTCGGTGTGGAATGACGGATGGGACCTCCTTTTTTATGGATAAGGAGTATTTATTCCTTGACAATATATATTCTACTCCTAGAGACGAACCACAGGACGACCTTACATCTTTTGCAGTAAAAAGAGACATGTTTATCGCCTTCTTCCCTCCTTTTGAGGAGGAGTACATGACAAGCCACGCACAGCCTCATTTCAACTTGCGGATTCCCAGGAATCCCCAGACAAGTAGTGGTGAACAGCCATCTGTGGGTAGTTCCTTATCAAGCTTGGTCCCTAGAACAAGAGAAACCCGGCCAGAAGACGCAGGGATGGAAGGTACAACCACAGCACCGCTGCTGCCTTTGGGCCCACAGACAGAGACTGGAATCTTGCCGGATGCCCCCTCGAGCTTGCACGCCAGGACAGAAAGATTACAGCTGCCTAACACACAGGACACTGGAATCTTGCTGGATGCACCCAGCTTGCACGCCAGAACAGAAAGATTACAGCTGCCTAACACACAGGACACTGGAATCTTGCCGGATGCCCCCTCGAGCTTGCATGCCAGGACAGAAAGCTTACAGCTGCCTAACACACAGGACACTGGAATCTTGCCGGATGCCCCCTCGAGCTTGCATGCCAGGACAGAAAGCTTACAGCTGCCTAACACACAGGACACTGGAATCTTGCTGGATGCACCCAGCTTGCACGCCAGAACAGAAAGATTACAGCTGCCTAACACACAGGACACTGGAATCTTGCTGGATGCCCCCTCGAGCTTGCACGCCAGGACAGAAAGCTTACAGCTGCCTAACACACAGGACACTGGAATCTTGCTGGATGCACCCAGCTTGCACGCCAGAACAGAAAGATTACAGCTGGCTAGCACAGAGAATGCTCACCCCACCCCTCAGCAGAATCCAATCTCAGAAACAACCGCTGTACTCCAACTCAGTCCCAGCGCAATGGCAGGAAGCACACAAGCTTCTACACCAGCTATCATTGAACAGTCCTCTTACAAATGCGCTGTTCAACTCAATGCTTCAAATCTAAATGGATTTGTAACGGCATTCCAAAGGCAAGACCCAAGACAATATGGGTGCATTCTCGATCTCACAACACTCCAAGCCCAATGCATAATGCACCAGAGTACCGAGACTATTAACCTGACAGTAGGGCCACTTCTGGATCAGGAGATGACTTGGTTTGCTTCGGTAAGATCTTGTCTTTCCATAATACCGAAGACTCATCTCCCAGATGCTCTTCGCGCGGGGGAGTTAGTTGCAATGGGGCATATCCGAACACAACCATTTTGCCAGGATATCATCTCGCCTCAACTTTCCGACTTTACTTCATATTTGCCGGTTTTTAAGGATGGTAGTTGGGAGTTGCAGCGGCACGAATGTGAGGTTGAATTATAATGATATCTAGCCATGTAACTCCCCGAACTGTGCGCCCAAAATACCATGCGTGAATGCTAGGCTTCCAATGCTTAGGTTATAGAATTGACAGGCAAACATGCTGCTCCTTCAATCTCTGCAGTTTATAGAACTTATACACGAAAAAAAGTCCACCACAAATGATGGTAGAAGATCCCGTCAGAACAACCGCTACAATTGCTGTAGCAGACCAGTGCCCCGCACGGGCAGTGTAAATGTTGATTATTGTAGCTGTTAAACCTGCTGATGCGTTCAAAAACCCCGGGCTGGGGATAGCTGTTAGCACGCTTGAGAGACTCGGTGACGACTCGTACTGACATGAACAACTGGCTAATCAACCAAAGAAAGTTTCCCCTCTGCTTCCAGGCCAGCCAAGAGATTCCAGACCAGCCAGTAATAAACAACAAGCATGCTGCAGCCAAAAAAGGTGGATTCTGGACAATGTGGAGGTCTTGAAGTGACTCTCCTGAGGCTTTCAAGTAAGCCTGCAGTGCTTGAGAGATGGGAAGTGACTTGAAGGACCCAGGAATGACAAGGTAGCCAATTAGAAGTATAAAATTAAATATCTGTGCGAATAGACCATATCTCCAGAATATCTGGTCTAGATCCAGTAGCATTCGAACATAGGGACTGTGGCTGTCCATGGTTACTCCTACAACCGTCAGCTGGATTGTGCAGCAATCCAAGATATATAACATTTGGGAGACACCATGAGTTTAATCCATGGCAATACTCCCCGCATGTTACTTGGCCTGAGAGAAGAATGTGTTTAGTTCAAACAAAAAGCTTGTTGATTGTTTCTCAAAAGGGGATAGTAACTATATTAGCAATATAATCTCTGTGGATTATCGAAAGAACTTTGTTTAAACCAGTATTTCCCAACCCCAACAAAATACCAGGGTCCAAATTCATTGGAGCCTTTCCGGAACACCGAACTGACATGCTTTAAAAGGCTGTCAGAACAGTCATTAACTGAGGATGAATCACTTGCTTTGCCCAACATTTTATCAAGTGTTGACTCTGCTTCCTCAGGGTCATCAAACTGCATAGGGTGCACCCAACAATTCTCTGAAATAGAGCACAGATACTCATACTCTTTGTGCTGTGAGCAGAACCGTTCCTTAATGGGTGGAAGATCTGCTGTCCACAAGTTGTTCATCCAGCGTGCGTTGATGTTGTAATCTATATCCTCAATTTGTCCATCATCAAGGAGTATCTGGCCAGCCAGGACTTTGTCGGCTTGTGGTTCATAAGAGAGAGCTCCCCTACAGAGTGGGGTTTCTTCTGCAACAGGTGCGATGTCACCTGGACTACATTAGTAAGATCATCATGAGAGAACAGCAACTTACCCTCATTAGGAACTATAGATTGCATACCAACTGAGATTCGCCCACAGCCTCCCCTGAGGCAAGAAAACTTATCCCCAGATACAGTGCGCTGATTTTCAAGATTTGTTAACATCCCAGCTTTGCGTTGTCAGCTCGCATTCAGATGCAATGTGCGTACATTGCACAACAGAGGATCGTACTAATGCTCACCACTAGATTTCAGCTGGGTTTTTGACAGAAATTTGCAGGTTTCCTCCGCAGTGGGTGTGGGTTCACCTGTGACGTGTTAGTGCGATGGAAATGACATGCAACGATGACCTACCATCACCATTTAGACTTGGATTTTCTTTAGAAGTAGATTTTGCACGACTTGAAAACATAGAGCGGACTTGTTTTGCTGCAGGTGAGCAGTTGGGTGAAGTGGGGAACTGGTGAGGCTTGCGCGTGCGATTGGGAATAGAGGCATGATGAGGTTTGCCAACAGCAACCTTCCCTGAACGTAGGCGCCTTCCATTTTCGTGCTGTTTGCTTCGTGTGATTGCCATGGCCGAATTGTGATAGTGTGTCTCACAGTCCGCGAATGCAAAAGAAAGAGAAATGGAAAGCAAAGTCCAAGTGGGCTGTCGCCCGTATTTATAGCCATACTTGAGGGTCCAACCACCTGACTTTCCCCCTCCTTTGCCAGCCCCTACCATAGCGCGGCCAACGTATCATATTAAGATCTCCATCGACGGACGGCTGGCTGCGGAAGAGCTGTCGAAATCCCCCGGCTTTGCACTTCATAGTGTAAATTTAGTAAGACTTGGAGCCGGTTGGCTAAGAATCCGGAAAGATGGAAGAATAGGCAGAATAGGAAGCAACACATCTGCTGTTGTGGTTAGAAAGCTACCTGGAGGAAAGGCCATATAGCAAACAAACCCTGCGAGGCTGCTAACAAGAGATCTTCGGGTGCTGCAGTCACTCGCCAGGAAAGCTCTCGAAACTCCAGCTACAAGTCCAGCTGTTTACTTATCATGCTGCAAAGACTGCTGTTGCAGGTGGCCGGGCGTCTCCCGTGCAGACAAAATGTATGAGGGAGCTCGTGCACCTGAAACCAGCCATTAGAAATCCGTTAATTGTACAATATGAGGAGGCCTTACGTTTAAAGCACTTTGTCCCACCACTGGAAATGCTTGGATCTCGGCAATATCCTGGATTGAGCCCAGTCAAAACTTTCGGACTTGTCTTTAGCGAGCTCAGCATAGACTTTGATGAGATGATGGAAACTAGGAGAGGCAGTAGTTTATATCACTTGAGTTGAACTCATGTGTAACACGGCAAAACAAAATTTGTTTTTCTCTATACAAGTGGACAAGGGATCAAAGTAAAATCAAGCACAATTTGTACTGTTCTTCCAATCTTGTTTGCCGTGTTCTTTTTATCAAAAATAATCACGAGGCACAAGGGTGAAATGGCGCCGGGCCTTGTCACGTGCCAGTCAGATGACATAGGATCTTGGTTATGTTCCTCTCCTCCTCACTATGACCTTGGTAGCCTGCAGTATTCCTATGATTCTACCACTGTTATACAGCCAATCTATGTGGTAATTGGTGTTTCCTGACACATTGGTGGTTAGGATCAAGTTAGGAGATGCATGGGGCTCTTTTAATTGTACCACTATTCTACCCATTCTGAAGGCTGTACCGGTGATATATCTCGAACCAAGAGCAGCGCGATGCACAGGAAAATGCCTTAATTTGAGGGAGAGTGAATGATATCAAAACATGGATAGCCCTTCAATCTAATTCCTCTGTCTTCGGGTTAAATCTTGTCCAATTCGCTGGGCTCTCTCCTGGGATGCTACCATGCGAGCCCTCAGTCTGTCTTCATACGAAACACCAAACAGTGCTTGCAATGCCTGTTCAGTGGTTGTTGCGCCTGAGCCAGGAGCCATTGCTTCGGCGATCATCTTCTCTCCCTCTCGAGAACCAAGCGTCTGTAGAATATTCGAACGAGAACCAGCAACTTCCGTATAAACACCCCCGATATGGTGGTAAAAGCCGCAAATCACAAATGGTAACCGTTGTTTAGTTGGGTCCCAGGTACCGACCGCAACAAAGTTTATCCCATAGTCTCCAGCATCTCTGAGATTATGACGCAGTGCCTTCCACCCGTCGGTTTTGACATGGGGGACCCCCTCTTCATTTGCTGCGTCTACGACAGCCCGGCCTCCCGCCTCTCCTTGGGTAAGAAGGGAAAGACTACCGTTGGCGTGTTCAGCGACAACACGGCCGTTGTCTCCAAACTTTTGAAGACATACAATCCTCCTTCCATCGGCTGTGTAGCCAGGTGAAATCCTCCGATTGACCCTGCGCCGCGGGAGAGCGATGGCTTGCGTACGTGAGTGTTGCGCCGGAACATGGGTATCATAACCTTGTGTCTGACGACTGATATTGGTTAGATTTTATCTCTCCACTATGCATCAGGGGAACATACCAGTGTGGGCATGCTAATCCATGGAGACCGAGTCTTGACATATTGCCTATCTGGTTGGCCCAGGTATTCAAGCAACTTGTGTGAAAGCCAGCCCGACAGCACCGACAAACAGAACGACTCTCTCCAATATTCTCTTGACATATGGGGCACTGCCCAGGGGTGGGAGATCGCCCCCGGTCAGCATTAGATGCATTGTTCTGTGGTGAATTGTTGTTCTGCAGTGGATTGCTGTTCTGTGGTGGATTGTTGTTCTGATTGCTGTTCTGTAGCGGATTGTTTTCCTGATTGTTGTTCTGCAGTGGATTGTTGTTCTGACTATTGTTCTGTGGTGGATTGCTGTTCTGTGGTGGATTGTTGCTTTGTGGTGGATTGTTGTTCTGATTGCTGTTCTGTAGCGGATTGTTTTCCTGATTGTTGTTCTGCAGTGGATTGTTGTTCTGATTATTGTTCTGTGGTGGATTGCTGTTCTGTGGTGGATTGTTGCTTTGTGGTGGATTGTTGTTCTGATTGCTGTTCTGTAGCGGATTGTTTTCCTGATTGTTGTTCTGCAGTGGATTGTTGTTCTGCAGTGGATTGTTGTTCTGCAGTGGATTGTTGTTCTGCAGTGGATTGTTGTTCTGCAGTGGATTGTTGTTCTGCAGTGGATTGTTGTTCTGATTATTGTTCTGTGGTGGATTCTGCGCCGGATTGGCAGACACCAGCCATTCTGGTATCCCAACAAGCTCAAGCCAATTTAAAAGAACGGATAAATTCTGGAAGTATCCTTGTTGATCTCCATCTTGAGCACTGCGATGAATCATATTATATAGCTCCGTGAGAGGTCGTGGATCAAAATGATGCAGGCACAAAGGGTGTAAATTTTCCCGGTTCATATGCTTAATTGTCTCCTGAAGCTTTTGCCACTCTTCTGTCAAGTTTGAATAAGCTTGGTGCTTCTGTTCCTCACTATGAAACAGAGAATCCCAGTATGCTTTCAAGTAAGGGGTAAGTTTCATCCATAGTGGCTTCCAATAGTTGTTTTCGTCTTCGGCATATTCGCCTTCGGCAGTCGGTGGTTTCTCAGCCCAACCGGAGGGCACTTGTAAGGCTTCAACTATGATTTTCAGGGAGCTAGGAGGAACTCCCTTAACCCACGCTTCCTGCAAGATATCATAGGGAATTTTGCCCAAATCAGCTGCAAGATGCCTCGCCTTATTCTTTGCCTCAAGGCCCTGGTTGATGTAATTTAACTGTTGTGTAGCTTCCATGGCGCCGTCCATGTTGTCTTCAGACACACATTGAAAGAACTTTTGAACAAAATTTGTGGCTTGAGCATGTGCGTCTCGATGATATTGTGCTAATGGCTCTCTGAGACGCCCAACGTTGACCCTTGTCAGAGCCTCCCATATGTCAGGAAAATCCTGTATAATGAATTTCTCGGCTTCCCTCAGCCCTATCAATCTTGTTAGTACAAATGATATAACTCTCAAAAGATCCAGCACCCACTTGCTAGAGCACTTTGCTGCTGTTCTTGATGTGCTGGAAACCAAAACCAGTCTAAATTAAGCAGATTTTGAAGCAAGCTTATAGCAATTGCAATGTCGCTCGCGGTTGCTCCCGGTTCTAGTCCAAGCAGGTCAAGGTAAGAACTTGCTGGTATTTCAATGATGTAGTTTGCAATGGTAATCTTGTCCACATATGAAAAAGTCAGGGCTTGCTTCAGATAAAGACGTTGCTGCTCCGCAGAGGCAATTAAATCATCGAATGAAGAGCTGCTAGAACTTTTGCCTTGAGATGCGCCAGGCAAACCCAAGGCATTGTGGCTGACATTGTCTCCAAGGGGATTGCTGGAACTTTGGCCTGTATCAGCGCTAGGGCTTTGGCTCTGAGATATACTGAGTGAATTTCTCAAGGCGTTGAACCTGTTAGTGAGTGGAACTTGACCCAGATTCGTTTTGGGAGTGCTAGAAGTTCTGCCATGAGATCCGACACTGTCTCCAAGGGGGTCGCTGGAACTTTGGCCTGTATCAGCGCTAGGGCTTTGGCTCTGAGAGATACTGGGTGAATTTCTCAAGGCGTTGAACCTGTTAGTGAGTGGAACTTGACCCAGATTCGTTTTGGGAGTGCTAGAAGTTCCGCCATGAGATGCACCAGGCAAACCCAAGGCAAGGGGGTCGCTGGAACTTTGGCCTTGAATCCGTTGATATGCGGCATGAATTTCATCCTCGATTTTGGGATCGTAAACCTCCTCGTAATCGCTAAGTTCAGATGATGATGAGATGGACATAGTTTCCGTCGCTGGTTGTTTTCCTTTTCCTTTCCCTTTCCCTTTTCCTTTTCCTTTTCCTTTTCCTTTTCCTTTTGCCATTTTGCTAGGTATGAGTGACTTGAGTGCAGAGGAGTTTCGACCAGCGAAAAAAAAAACGCAGGAATAAGCCACCAAACTTTCAAAAGAATATCAGGATTAACTTAGGTTGATGCAAATGTTTAAATCCTTCCAGAAGATGGGCTTCGGGGCGTTATTTGTAGCAAACGCGGTAGACCACAATGCCATGTTGGTATATCATGGTAGACCATGAACCCGAGGTCATGGTTCGATGGCCATGATTTAGGGTCATGCTGCCAGCCGGGCATCGAATTTAAATAGCGATAGATGAGGATTGATAGAGTGAGGTGCACCAATTCTCCTAGTTCTTCCAGGTTAAGCTGTATGACCATGTTGGTTCCTGTTATTATTTCACTCCTATGCAGTATAATCTGCAGCCATGCTGTAGAGGTGAAGTAAGTCAAGTCACAGTCGCAATAGGGTTCGTCAACTAAGCTTAGTGGACTTAACTAGCGTTGGCCAATCCGTTTCTATTGATACGCTCAAGCAGAACCAGCCAAATACACATGAGGTGTACGTCGGCGGCTACAAGACTTTTGGATTTGAACCCAATCGCCTAAATGCCAACATTGGAGATCTCGTGATCTTCAAGTTTCACGGGTTGAACCACACTTTGACAGAGTCAAGCCTGGACAATCCCTGCAAACCACTGCAGCAATTTGACTCTGGCTTTCATCAATTCAATCCATCAAATCGTTCGGGGTTGATGATTTCATTCGTGGTCAATTCGCTAGAACCCCGCTGGTTCTTTTGCCGGCAGATCGATCCCACATCCCACTGCCATGCTGGGATGGTGTTTGCTCTTAATCCTGGAGATCACATGGGGGAATTCTTAATCAATGCTAAGGGAGAGCAAAAGGTGGTCACCACTGTCATCACACGGTCAACCACATCATGGATTACTGCGGCAACTGTTGGGGCGACGACAGGGCCGCCACCTCTCCCAGCCACCTGTCACTGTTCTCCCACCTGGGCTCTTTCAGGGAGCTGGCATCGCTCAATGGCCGTCAGTAGTGGAACCGGACCTTGGCCAACTGCAACTGCGTCTGCCTTCTCAATGCCCCGATCTATCCCCTCACTGCCCTTCACATCTGGTACTGAGAAAGTTCTGCTTATTTCCTTCCCTCTCCAAATTTTGCTTGGTCTAGCTGTTACGTTTTATCAGCTACTTTGAGACTTGAAGCGTTGCTGGTCAACCGCAGCATCAATTAAGCATATCAATTGGTTTCGAACTTGGGACTGGTTATGAGTACTCCATTGTTCAATGGTAATAAATTTTGTTATGTTTGATTCACTAGGCTATTAGCTAGGAGTAAAATGTTGAGCTTTCTGAGATGTTCGATCAAACGGGCTTGCTGGCTTGGAAGGGGTAACCTTGATTGGCCAGGGAGTTTCTAGCGCTATTTTGGTGACAATGAGAGTCTTACATCTAATAAGGTAGTTCACCACTAAACGAGCCACACCACTAAACGAGCCAAATTTCGCCAAATGCTCCACGCAACGAATTTATTAAATATCTCAACAACCAGATCTTTATTATTAAATAGCTATTAAATATTAAATAAATGTATTCTTTAAAGCATAGAAATTAGTATAGTTAGGAAAATAAACGGGTGGACGGCCTAATATTACGGCCAGAGCGAGAGATTCGGGGGGTAGATAGGAAAGAATTCAAAGGAATGTCAACAGTAGATTTCTCGGCTAGGGAGCCTAATGCCTTGCTAGGGATGCTTGTAGAGCTCTTACTTCCCCTTTTGGAAGGTTGTATAGGCTCTCCGCGATGAGGCTCTTTAGTAGGGGAGTCCTTCCGACGGCGCTTTGAAGCCGGCGCTTGAAGCCCTGACTGCCGGCGTTTATTAGCATGTTCAACCGCCCGTTTTTCCTTCTCTGCTAGTTGTAAAGCCTTCTTCTCCTCACGAGCAACACGTTGTGCCTCTCTTTGTCTAGCATGTTTGATTTTTTCGGCCTCTTGTTGCTCCCGGGCCTTTTTACGGGCATCCTCCCGTTCAATCCGCCTTTTTTCAACATCCCTAGCAGCCTGCTCCTTTTGAAGCTCCTGTTGAAGTTTTGCCTCTTGTGTTTGAGCAATTTTATCAGCTTTTTCAGCCTCTATTTCATCCAGGCGCTCGCGTGCCTTAAGAACTTTTGTTGGAGACCAGAACTGCGCTTGACTAGGATTATCCCTATTGAGTAGGCCTAGGGGCTTGCCTCGCTTGCGGCGTTGCTTCTCCATCACTAGAGTTGATCTTAGCTGCTGATTCTCATGTTCCAGCAGTTCATTACGAAGAGCAAACTGCTCACTGGCTTGGATAACCCGTCCAATGCTCTGTGAATTTAGGCTGTGCCGGAGACGTATACCCTTGATCTCTTGTCGGAGCTGGTGCATATTGCTAGGAATAGGAGGTTTAACTGGCAGTGTAGAGGCTTGAGCAGTTTCAAATCGGTGTAGTTGACGTTGAGGATCCAGAGGATTAATCCCAGTCTTTGCAAAGCCAGCAAGTATATTTTCAACTGTCAAAGCCTTCTTCCAAGCCACATTGAATAGTCTCCAGAAATCCCTTTTTGTCATTCGAATATAGCCCATTCCTTGATGTAGTAGTGCTTCCAGCTCATTGGAATATGCCTTGCCCAGCGGCCCAAAGATTCCAACATCAAGAGGTTGCAAACGGTGGGTTGAATGCGGCGGGAGGATCATAAGGAGGATCTTTTCACGGTCAGCGTATTCGATAAATTTCATATTTATATGGGAGGAATGGCCATCTAGTAGAAGCAGATGTCTTCCTCGGCCAGCTTGTTCCTTAGTATGCTGATTGAAAACCCGTTTCAACCACTCCAGTCCATATTCATCATTGCTCCAACCATTTGTTGAAGCTGCAAAGTAGGCCCATTCGCTTCCATCATAATCATCTAGCCATGTATCCTGGAGATCTCGCGATTCGCCCTGGTAAATAAGAGCTGGAGGTAGTGCAATTCCTTCAGCAGAGACTGAGCAGAGCAATGAGAGGAATTCCCGACTACCATCCTGGGTGGTGGCATTCTTTCCAGCTTGTAGGGCTTCAATAGAGACTAATCGCTTTGAGGCATGGCAGGAGCCTAGGAGGAATCCTTTTTCATCAAAGTTGTAGATGTTTGAGGGCTCAAGATTATATTGATCAATTTTCTGCTCCAACTACTCCATAAGTAGTAGTCAAATAGTTAGCCAGCATCAACAACTGCAATTGCAAGTAATCAAATAAATCATCAAATTACAAGCATATAGAAGTGCTTAAAGCACTGATAGTTATCTGCTACCTGCCTATTTTGATCAATTGCTTTGAGATAAATGCATTTGATCTTGTCATTATGCCGCTCGCGAAATCGATTAACCCAGTTGATCCCAACATCCTCTCCTGTCATCTCTTGTACGATATTTCGTAGGATCTGAGGTGTAATGGCAAGGCCGCGGCTAGAGAGCTTGTTTATATAATTCAGGAGCTCTGCCTCCTGTATATCAGAGAGCTTTTTCTTATATCGGGAGGCTGCTTCATCCTGAGCAAGTTGCAAGCCTTTATGCCGTCGGCGCAGGGTCTCTCGGTTAACTGAGTACTTTCTCGCGGTTGCAGTGTAATTTGGGGTCTCTTGCGATTCAAGATCTTCAATTGCAAGCCTAATTGAGGCGTTGTTGACCATGTTGTCGCATATTGAATGTTGAACGTTGGAGGAATTTTGGTGGTGGAAGATTTGGCTCGTTTAGTGGTGTGGCTCGCTTAGTGGTGAACTACCTTACTCTGTATGGAGTAGGCCTAGTGGAAAAAGGCGCTGGATTCGATTTACGTCGGGGGTAGCCCAGTCACATGACTTTTCATACTGGTCAAACCTTGATTGGAGGAAGGAAGGAGTGGCTACACAGTGGAATTCTCATTTATATACTCCGTACATTTAATGACACCAAAAGAAAACTCAACAGGAAAAAGGGTTAATGTTTAGACTCTAGCCTGAATCACCAGTGCGGTTTCGTCCATTCGCTTAGGCGCCACAGCTCGATGACTCATCAATGATTGCGTTGAGGTCGAGTGATGGTGGGGTGGAGATCTTGAACCGCTTTTGTCGAGGCCTCAGATGCTGATTTGGTTCTGGGCTCTTCCCAGCCTTTTCGTTTGGCTCATCACTCTCAAAGTCCTCAGGCGAGTAGAACTGGGTCAGTGGGAAATGCTGCTCCTGTCAAAAAGTGTGAGCTTTAAACTCATCAGCATGATGATCAATTATCCTACCACATCCTGCCTGTGCGGCGGCCATGAGCTCGTCCAGTGGGAGCTATATGTATGGTATTTTCCCGGCCCCGTGCCTTTGCAGTCCTTGATGCACACGTAGACATAGCGATTGTGCCCGATCTCGGTCCCATCCAAAAACAATTGGTTTGCTCGGATGAAGAGGCTTTCTTTCTGCCGTCGGTATCTCTCCCTGTCTGCCTTTTCTTTCTTTTTGGGATCTTTGTTTCGGAATCGTCGCCTATCAACCTTTCTCTGCCGACGTATGCTTGAGCGAGCCATTGTGTCTCTGTGTGTTGCAATGAACCGCTGTCATAAAATGGGCACATTCCATTCCTTATTATACTTAATCAGCATGGTGGCCATAGAAGATATTTTTAGATATTGCTGGTCTTTGTTGAAAATATCCGTCGGCGCTTCGATGCTCACTCCCTGGCACTAGAGTCACTTATTGGAACCATGGCCTTCATCACCCTATGGCATAGACCATGATCCGCAATCCATGGTTTCTGGTACTCTTCTTATACCAAAGATGTTCTGCTGCCCCAACATGGCAATGTAAGGACTACCATAGCCTGCATGATGAATTTCCTACAGATCTACGCGTATGTTGCAGCCGGGTTGATTGCAACAGTGTTCCTTCACCGGCGCTTTTATTATTGTCTCTCCAAGATTTTCAATGAACATCTGGTCCGTCTTTGCTTGCACTGGAGGCCCCAGCCTTACCTCATTCGCCGTTTGGGCCCCTTTGGCCCCCTCACGTCGATGAGAGTTTTCTTGCATACTTTGCACTTCGCAGTTACACTGGCTTGCAACACCCTGGGTATTAAGAGTCTCCGAGACGCCGGCAACCGAGCGGGCTCGATTGCTGTCATTCATTTTGTACCCTTGTGCCTTACGCACCAGTTCAGCTTCATGGCCGATATTTTCGGTATATCCCTACAGACTTACCGGCTGGTACATCAGGCAGTGGGACTGATGGCAGTCGTGCAGTCGGCCCTTCACGCGGTTGCTGCTTCTTGGCACACTGGGTTTCCCTGGCACGACCGGGCTTTGCGCTACGGCTCCGTGGCAGCCGCGGCAGTAGCAGTGATGTTCATAGTTGTGCTGCCGTGGATTCGCTCGCGCTCGTACGACTTCTTGATTACCGTTCACTTTCTGATGGGCGTCATCATCCTGGTCTTGCTGTGGTCGCACCTCAAACATCCTCGTGGCATCAACGCAATCTGCCTTCTCCTGGCTGGGGGTATCTTATCCTTGACATCTCTGCTCCATGTGACATGGCTTTTATTTGAGAATGTCTTTCGGCAGAGGCCATTCCCTGTGACTGACATCCTTAAGAGAGAGCGTGCAGTCGAGCTGACCTTCTGCCCGCCGCGGCCGTGGAGAATGTACCCTGGCCAGTACTGCTATCTAACGGTTCCAGGTGTGAGTTTCTGGTCCTGTCTGCAGCGCCATCCGTTCTACTTCATTTGGACCGAGGACGCGCCTGACGGGAAGGTAGCGACAGTCACGGTCCTCGTCAAGGTTAGAACCGGTTTTACACAAGCTCTATTCCTCACTCCGCACCGACACCTTCGGCTGATTATGGATGGGCCCTATGGCGGCCTGCGATGCCGAGACATCTGGGATGAGATGCAGCTGTATGATGCAGTCATATTCTTCGCAACCGATATTGGCATTTCCGGTCAGCTTCCGTATGTGCAGCAACTGCTCCGCCGCTATATAGCGGAGGAAAGCGCTGTAAACGAGCGCGGCGGAGGAATCCGCAAACATCGGATTACTCTGGTGTGGGAGGTTAGCGAGCCTGGTAAGCACCATCTCCTAGGATAGACAGACAGCGATTGACGGATGCTAGCTCACAAGGACTGGATATCTGACAAGATGACTCTGCTGTTTGCAGAGGACAGGAAGACTCTTGTGACTACCCTGGCCTTCCTCCTTGTTTCTCCTTTTCTTCACTGACACTTAGGTAGATTCTTCACTATTCTGTCTATATTACGAACCGCCCTATCGACAGTGGCCAGGCTCTGAGCTCTGAGCCGCGTTGTGATATATGCTATGGAGAGATGGATGTTCGCCAGATCTTAACAAGAGAGCTAGAACGGTGGCCAAGGAAAATCCTCACGGCCGGTAAGTGGCCTTGTGACAAAGACGAGCATATTCTTACCCTTGACTGTAGTTTCCGCAAACCCTACCGTTCGCGACCAGGTTCACAGCTATGCCGTCCAAGATAAGGAGCGAATTGCTTTCCAAGAGCTGGAGTTCCAGCCAGGAATGGAAAAGGGAGGGTTCTGGGCCCCAGCTCCAAGAAGCTTGAATCCCTGAGCACATCAGCCACTGTTCTGCAATGTTTCTATCCCTTCCTAATTTAGGCCCCTGGTGCTTGAAATACTTTCATCAGCCTGGTTCGGAGACCTTCTATAGAATAGTTTTAGTACATCTCTGCTGCGGCGTCTTTTCGCGTTGGTACTATGGGGTGTGGGCGATCTATTCGCGGGAAAAGTAGTCTCCCATAGAGATAGGAATCTATTCCGGGTTCACTAGCATCTTATCAAGGGGAAAGTAGCATGTAAAATTCGCAATTTGTTGTGTGATTACAGGACTGAAAATGAGATTGTTAAAAACACGCCGCAGACATTGTACCGTCGTAATATGACAGATTAACAGTCATTATGTGTATGATGTCATATTGTCAACAGCTCCTGGGCCAAGGAAGTCCCGTTCAAATTCGTCGGCACAGGTCAAAGCTACTTTGATATGCTCAAAACCAACCGTTCCTCCTTTGGCCAAGGCAAATGCAGCCCGAGCGATATTTTTGATCTAGATTGCCCTAGTCAGCTGTGGTGACCAAGATGATGCAGATACCTGATAACTTACCTGTCGCCCATTTGAACTTTTCCCCAACAATAACTCTAGCTCCTTTTCTGAGATCATTGCGCCAGCATTCTCTAACTGTTTTCTCCACACCCGTGTTTTCGCTTCCCTACTTAGTGGTTCATATTTGATACCAACGTGGATCCGGCTTTGCATTGCTGGATCAAGTGTGGTGTGACGGTTGGTGGTCAAAAACATAATCCCTTCAAAATACTCAAGTGAACGGAGAAATATGGAGACGAGGGCGTTGTGATGCAGACCATTGAGGCTACGATCGCTCAAGAAGACATCAGCCTCATCCAGAAGCAATATTGCGTTCCAGCGACGGACAAGGTCAAGGACGCGAGACAGATGTTCCTCTAGATTTTCTGCTTGGATTCCAAAATCACCAGCGCAGGTCTGTTTTTGTTAGAATGAGGCTGTACATCAGGGCTGGAAAGACAAACCGTGTAGAGTGGTCGCCCCAGAAAATCCGCAGTACTCTCTGCGGTCAATGTTTTGCCAGCTCCAGGAGGCCCGCTGGAACAGAAAAAAACTCCAAGTCAGATGTACCCTCAAATAGATTATATAGGTGTGAGTATTCTGCAGCTTACTAGAGCAGGAATACAAGGCCTCTCCCCTTCCCAACAATAATGTCATCAAAGAACGACTGCTCTGATCCAGGCTTGTGGCTCTCCACCATCGTCTGAATCATGTTTTTCTTGATTTCGGGAATCTCTAAGTGATCGAATGCCGATAGCTTATTCCCGTTAATGGGCTGTATACCCGAAACCGCGAACTCCGCTGTAGCTCATCGTCAGCCTAATTTAAATATTTGGAGAATTATCCATACTGACCCCATGTCTTTTTGTTGAGGCTGAAGCCTAGAACTGTCGGGCTGCAAAGAATATACTCTCTATCTGTCATGTTCTCAGTATCGAAGTTTCGAGGTTTCACCGTCTTCTGGTCCTTCTCTTTCTCATATGCATTATCAGAAAACAGAAAAACGTTAACCGTCGACTTTTCCTTGACGCGTGAAATTCCGTAGTTGGGGTTCTTTTCCTTGAAGGCTGAGGGATCAACCATTATACGGCCCGTCACCTGAAATTTAATGGAACTTTTCTTCGTCTTGATATGCGCAAGGCCGTTATATTCACAGTAAGTGACGCCCATGAGATTAACAAACTTGCGACCTCGCCCAACGAGTTCAGACTTGATTTTGTCTTTGCTGTTGTGGTATTGTAGCGGAAACACACCCAGTTCAGATATCTTCCTCGCGGATCGAAACTTAGAGATATGCAGTACTGCCGTCGTCTCGCCAAATGCTCTTCCATCGTAATCCAACGACCGACATTCAATTTCAAAGCAAATCCCACGGGGAGTATTTATCACCTCACCAGAGTCGTACACAAAGCACCGTGGCTGCTCTGCATAGGGATCGATCATAAAGATCAGCTCATTTGGCTTGAACAGGGCCCAGAGAAGCTCAAAAGTGATCTCTTGATGATCCACGAGAGGATTTAATCGATCTTTCAATGGAGCAAAGTGTTTGTTCAGAAAGTCAAGAAGCAGATATAGATGTTCACATGCAACTGATTGCGGATCAAGGTCCTTATAGTAATCCTCAAGTTCTGGTAGAAACCGGAAGAGGATGTTTGGCGACACCTAGTGATGTCAGATCGCTCTCTCAGCTGCAGAGAAGCATCTTACAGATGGCTTGTCTTCCCGTAAGCTGACAGCATTCACATTCAACAACACATGCCGAAGCACGTTGACCAGCTCGGGTGACTTGAAGTCAAGATAGGTCTTAAAATCCCTAGTCTCTGGGTCTTGATAAGGTTAGAATCTTTTCTTTGGTCAATTTCTTTACCACATACCGTGTCTACGTCGATTCACGAAAAGATACTCATCGTATTTATCGTTTGAATCTGAGGAAGCTCCAAAATCTTCCACAACCTCATAATCATGTTTCTTTTTGTTCCAGCTTGAAACAGTCAGCTTGACTTTCCCCGAGAATGCTCAACTTACATTTCATTCACTGTCTTGTACTCCATCTTTGACCCTCGGATCTTTTGCTTTTGCGACTTGTCTTCTTTTGCTTCTGTCGGGCCTGTGGTTGAGGCAGAAGCAGCTAATGCTTCCGTCAGAGGGTCCCTGGGCTCAGTAAAGGCCGGAGTGGGGATTGGAGCAGGAGAGGTGGGTAAAGCGGGAGCCTTGCCATTGGGCTTCAATGCTCCGGACATTGTGATATTCAACTGCTGATGCTGGGAAGTTAGATTTGATAAGGGATTTTACAATCACAGAATCATGAATGTCTGGTTATGGCCCTCCAGCAGTTCTGGGGATCATGCCGCCTTATATGCGATTCTTTCAGACGTTATTCCGGTCTTTTGCGGCCGTTGTCGCTTGGACCACGCGTACCGGAAGCGACCATCATCTCTCTCCCACTTGAGGTGCAGGAGATAATGCACAGGATACATGGTCTCGATCTTTTAGTTGTGTCTGACATGAAGCCTCTGGACGCGCTTCGTACAATCAAAGATAGGACTCTGCGCTATACCGCTTTTAGGCTAGTCACTATAACAAGGCTTTAATACCGGTAGACTTGTCAGAGTGTCATTTAGCCTCATAGGAGTGCCTGTTAAGTCAAACTTGAAGCAATGTGTAAAAGCTCAACCCTGTCTGCAAGGTGGGGTTCAATACCCAAGAGCGCAGATGACGTGTCCTGTCCAAGCCATATATGCCCCTATTTCTCGCGACTTTTCCTTTTGGCACAACTCGACAATAATCCTTGACTTGTCAGACTTTGCTTCACCATGTCTGTTGGTCTAGTTTTATCGCAACTTGAGACTCTGGTGTCCCGGATAGAACTGATGGGCACAAGACTTTCCAACAAGACGATTCGGCCCACAAGCAATCAGCGAGACCATTTCCAGGGACTGAGCGCGAGACTGAGAGCAGCCCTAGCAATCATCGATATTAGGATTGGAGAGCTGCTCAGTCCAACTGACAAAGAAATCGGGCTTGCTAATCAAGTTCGATCCGCAAAGATTTACGTGTCAATAACATCACCAATACTGACGCTTCTTAGAAGGAATCTTGCTCTCATTTTCACGGGTCCAACACCATCCAATCTAGATTCTGCTCATGTCCAAGCAAGAAAGAAACAGACTAGGACGAGATGCGAGACACTTCGTAAACAAAATACTCACCTTATTCTGATGTGGGCAATGACGATCCCCCCCTCAACGTGGAAATCATCTGCTGGGATGACTGACTCTACTTTCTATTTTCTCGTTGAGGAGCTGGAGACGGAGCGAATGATACGAATTTCATCTCAGCTACTAGAATCCTTGCGGTCTATGGCAAAGGACGAACCGTTAACTACATGTGGAGCCTTTCATACGTTTGTTGTGGATGTATCGAAATTAATAACCCCCGACGAAGACGTGCCAGTGAGGGTTACATATGTTTAGGAGCTCCACAGGTGGAAGGGACTGGTACCAAAACGCAGGAGCAAGGTGCGCTTGACATCCCATTTGATGTCATCAAAAGTTAACGAAGTTAAGGTATCAACGAGGCGCACACAAACATTCTAACTGCTAAGAATGTGCTGGCGATACAATATGGAAGGCGTAAGCAGCGCTTAACTATATTTTAATATAAGACGAAGGCTAACAATATACGGTAGAAATTGACTATAGATGTTCAGGAGTACCAATCAATAAGCTTCCACTTTTGAGTGAGCGGCTCCTCGAAGCAATCCAAAGCAGCTATCAGTGGAACTGGGAACGCACTGTCGGGGGAGCTGACACAACCGATTGTCTAAACGCCCTAGTTCCCAAGAATCGAAGCCAGGATATTTCGATCACGCTGTCAGTCGGTCACGAAAACGGGGTTGAGTTGATCGAGGAGCTAGCAGCTATTCGCGTGTAAACCTGACCGTCGCTCCTATCACACGAACCCTATACCCAGCGGGGACACGTCCTGTCTCTTCCTTGGAAGGATCGTCGTGTTCCCAATATGGAGGAGTTTTCATGTCTGCGTTCGGGTCATAGACCATAATTGATTCCCCCCTTCCGATTATTTTCCTGTCATAGTCCACGCCCGGGAATAGCTTGATGTTTATATACTCCTCTTTTCCCGCCAGCGCTAGGGTCCCAACTGGCATCTAACCCACCAGTCAGCTCGTATTATAAACATGAGACGTAAACCGACCTCCTCCGGCATTTTCTAATCGCTATTGTAGACGATACTTTGCAGCACAGATATCGCTGGCTAATCTGCCGTATTAACTGGTGAGAAAAATAATACGGTGACATGATATTCAAACTCACTTGGAGGATAGTGGTAGACTGATAATGAAAAAAAGTCGCCTGGACGATCTGAAATATAGATCTGATGGCAAGAGATATTTACTAACTACCGCGCTTTATATGGGACTGCTGGCCAAAGCCAAAAGGTTTTGAGGGGAACTTGGTGGGTATCTTGAGGCAGGCTGGTGGGGTGACATGTGACCAATGCTCAACTTGATCGGGCAGAAATTTTACAGTCTGCTCCGTAGGTTTCTCTCTAAAAAAGATCTCCGATTTAAAAGGCTAAGCAGACGGTATCTCTACGCGAACCATTGTATAATTTTAACTAAGGAATCTCCCTAAAGCAAATGTATCCACTATGTTTGCCAGATGAGACGTAATCTGCCCAACAATGACCGTTTCTCAAAAGCGGCCCCTGGATGTATAAATTTGACAGAATGGCCTGCACCCTGTAGGGTGCCTGCCAATCCTCACATTGGTGCCAGCCGCTATGCGGGGATGCATCCTTTGCATCAATTGCATTACGGAAAGACCCATAGAAAGAAGCATATAAGGATCCTTCATCTTGAGGTGGACAACCTCGCAACTGATTTTAAGACTGGATTTGCCCATCTTTTGAACCATCTCCTCTAGCGTATCGGAGCGGATCAACTATCTACCACAGGCGGCCCAAGTCCGCTGTCTGCACGCATCTCCCAAGTTCTCATTAACCACCACCCCTTGAGGGATTATTCAGCTGTATAAAGAGAGACTACGTCCAGAAAATGGACCTTATCACTCAACACAGAATAAAGAAGGAGGCGCAAGAATTTATTGCCTCCATTGATCAATCTGCTATCTGCGAGCTAGCAACATCATTCCATCCGGCGAAGAAGTGCTGTCGAATATTTGATGAAGTGAAGAAAGGCGGGTTCAATGTCTGCTTTCCAGTCGAATTTATGGATTCACCGGGTGAGAGATGGATGGTCCGAATCCCGATTCTGCCACGCTTGGCTTTTCCAGAGGAAAAGCTACGCGGTGAAATTGCTACAATGAAGTGAGTCAGGCTGTCCTTTTATCTGTCAATGCAGTTTTAAATATGCACCTAGACATTTCTTGTGGCTAACATAAACCAACCATAGATTCATCGCGGAAAAAACTACAATACCTATCCCCTGCTTACATGGATATTCAATTAAACAAGACAATCCACTTGGCCTCCCATTTATGCTGCTGGATTATGTGGAAGGAAGGTCGCTCTTCACTGTGGATATTCGCAAGCTTCCAGATCGCGAACGGTGTGAATTTTTCAGCAAACTTGGTGATATCTATATCCAGCTGTTCCAGCACCAGTTTGACCGGATTGGTGCTCTGACCTTGGATGCGGATGACGAGCATTGGATTTTTGATCACAATCGACCACTTTCAGTATTAATGAACGACCAGACCCTTGCAGGAATTGAGCCATGCCACTGGATAGCACCCAGTCAAACATTTCATTCGACCATAGATTATGCCTATACAATACACCAGGCTTTGCTTGACGACTTTCATCAGCGGAGAGACAGTATTATAGGCAAAGATGATGCCTGCTCATACATCTACAGCTTGCACAAACTCCGTCAATTTTTGATGGAGTGGGTAAAGCCTGAATACAACCATGGCCCGTTCATTTTGATGCATGGTGATCTACGGTCTGCTAACATACTTGTTGATGATGACCTAAATATTGTCTCTGTGTTGGACTGGGAATGGAGCCACACCATCCCTGTGCAGATGTTTATTCCTCCGTCCTGGCTTGATGGCCTTGAGTTGGTAGGAAGCGCAAAAATGCCCCACCGACTGCTCTATGAAAGCATGCTGTTTACTTTGGAAATGGAAACAAGACAACGTGAGAGTGAATATCATCCGGAGTGTCGGTATCTTGACAACCTCCCATTGGCCAAAATATGGAGGAAAACCCTCCGATCTCCTGACCTTTTTATCGCACACGGGCTCTTGCAACCCCTTTACCTTGGTAATCTGTACTGGTCTGTGCTTGAATATGATTATTATGGGAATGACCGAATTCATTTTGAAAAGAGAATGAATGATTTCTTCAGCCTAGAGATACACAAGCCAGAGTTGGAAGCAGTACAGCAGAAACTTCAAGAACTCGAAGGGTTTGAAGTAGAATGTGATATGCTTGGAATTGAAAGAGAGACACGAGAGACTGAAAAGAGTGGGAACAACCATTCAAACAATACCCTTGGGAAACCAAGTGCTGATTCACCTGCACCTTTGCATCGTCCAAGAACTAGCCTCAAAAGCCTTGTACTGAAACTCCCATGGCTAACCCAAACAATGACACATTCGCGCTGGGCATTTATCGGGACCACGCTCATTGCAGCTTGTTGTGTCATTATCATACATCAGCGGAAGTGATCGAGCGTATTCATTCAAGACTGCAAAAGCCGAATGGAGGATTCAATTGCGACAATTCTGTTGGTAGTATCGATAAAATCTTTCTGGTGCTGAGCTATCTCTTCGTCAATTGTGAGTGTCGTCACGCCTGTGCGGGCGCCCCGCGCGTTGCGGGCGCTTGTTGAGAGCTGTTCTAACTCATCGCGGCGCAGGTTGAGATCGTTTATGAAGCTATTAAGTTGGGCTAGGCGTGCTTTAAGTTGTTCGAGCTCCATTTTCTTCGCCTCCAGCTCAGCAATGACGTCTTGACCCAAGGTTGGCGTGGTCCCAGACATGTTGGAAGACTCAACGAGATCACCAGTAACTTGCGGCGTGGATTGGGTTTGTAACTAGCAACGCTATATAATCAGTTTTAATTTTCACTCAAGGGCTCTGCTCTTTGGTGGGATTTGCGGTAGAAATGGTGGGATTTATATATTCATGGCGTTACGGAGTACAGCAGATTCAAACTTGTCATCCACAGGATATCGTCGGAGGGGGAAATAAGGTGGGGGCACAATTTAGAGGGGAGCCAAAATATTGGTCAATCGAGAAAGGTGTTCGTGAGCAGGTTGAGGCAAATGCCTTCTCATCACTTCTTGGGACCTCTCATACTATTAAAATCCAAGTATTACTGTATAGCTCTCAACCAATAATTTCAATTTAGTTAACTAACTACGGAGTACGGAGTAGTTAACTAGTTATACTGACAGGAAGCACAGAAATCACATGATCCGTTCAATGGAAGGGCGTGCTTGGCAATTCTCCTGGCGCCGAGCACGCCGCCCCTTCAATTCATGGTGGGGCAATTGGGGGGAGGAAAATTGTTTCAAAAAGACAGAGCTTCTTGCGAACAAAGCACTCATATTTAGATCTGGACGTCCACTTGGGATTAACTCACATATAAAGGCACCTTCTGGTCACGTTCTGGCAGTGATTGACGCATGCAAGGCGGAAGCCACAATCTGGACTAGCCATCTGCATCTACCCCGTACAGTATGGAGATTCAGCCGAGCAACACGAACCAAAAAGACTCGGAAGTATGGAAAGCACTTCTCCAATGACACTCCATTCAGGTTACTAAATTTGACATAGAGGATAGTTGAGAAAGACTCTGTGACAGACGAGCCGAACACCGAGATCACAGAGGCGGCGAAGGCCGAAATCACACGTCTCACTCCATGGTTGGTATCTGCGGAATTCGCGGATAATGGCATTGCAAAAGGTTTATCACGGTATAAAAATGACCCGATATTGGATCAGAAATTTTCCGAATTAATCAGTGCCCTGGTATGCGAAACTTCGCTTGCTATGATATCAGTCTAATACATCTAGGATCAACAAAATCTATCTCGCAAATATTTACTCCGCATCGATGGCGAACATTCTCCATTTCGGCTACATAACCCTACCGACCATGTATCGTACCTATACCCGCTTCATATACCCCGTGGCGCTTCCCCGATAGCGTACGAGTGGTCAAGCGACTCAACTTTTCGAGAGCTGAACGTTGGGATGTTCGTGAAGTTCAATGAACCAATGTTCATTAAGGGGGAGTTTACTTTTCTCTTGATTTCTGTGGCCATGAAAGTCGCCAAAAAGGGCAAGGATGGTCCGGACCCAAACCAAGTCGATCGTTAAGCAAAGCGTCAGTGGGCTGGAGGAAGGGTTTGATTCCATAGAAGCATGTCATGACCGACTTTCTGTAAGCGAAGCATCAAAGTCAGTGAGATTAATATCGGTAAGGTCGTCGAGAAAGATATCGGTAAAGTCAAGATTGCCAAGATAGAGATCAGTAAAGTCAAGGTTGTCAAGATGGATATCGGTAGGGTCATGGCTATTGAGGTTGACATTAGTGTATGAAGCATCGCCGTTAAGGAAAGCATCGTTCGTTGGCGCTGTCAGAGCTTTTGGGTTTACAGCAGCTTGACCTGTAATTATTGTTAGCTTTTTCCATCATGATTCCCTCTTCTCTCAACCTACGTGGCACAATGCCCGCACTCATATCCTTGTTTTTGCCCCCGTTGACTCCGGGAGGGCTAGCTATTTTCGAGGGCGAGTCTAAAGGCTTCCTAAGATGGCTGGGAACAACAGCACTTTCAGATCTCAGTTGCTGAGTGCCATGCTCCTCATCTTCCGAACCTTCGGCATAAGCTATAAATTACGTTAGAAGGATTCAACTGCTGTTGGAAGATGGGTATGGAAAAGCGAACCTTGTGGATCCAATGTCATTGATGTGCCGGATTCGTGATTGGATTGAAAATTCGGTGTTGCCGAATCAATATTTCTGAGAGCTGATGAGGTTGCACTGCTATCATCCGTAGAGGGAACAATCTCGTTACCATTAGAGGCATTACCGTTCTGCCCATGATCCGTGGGGCTGAATGCCTGATGCCCAGTGGAAGCAGCAGGGCATGCGTTCGCATTTGTTTGAACATTAGGGACCCCAGTATCATTTATTAAAGAAAACCTTTGTTTAAGTAGTTTCTTTGAATGAGCTTGCTGTTCTGCCTTTCTTTTTCGTCGCCCTTCCTTTCCCATTTCTTTTCGTGCTTTAATCCATATCATCGATCGTTCATGTTTAAACTGTTCAATAATGACTTTCATGATGCTTTTTCCAGCCTGATCTGCACCCTCTCTGTCCTCCAAATCAACCATGTCCTGATAGTATGCCGAGACTTTTTGGATATCTGCTTTCGAGTGCAGGTACGTCTCATATCTAAGCTATCAGCGCTAGTAATTTCTTGCTGCAAGGTGAAACTTACATATATGGAGGCATGGAATTAAACATGTAAAAGAAGCAGCCATGACCAAGAATCTTTGCATAGAGACAATATGTAGCCCCCTTTTTATATTCAGATTGGACATTTGATATAACCGTTTGCCTCATCTTGAGGTCATCCTTCCCGAGGATGAAGTCAGCGAAGGCTTCCCTAATCTGCTCTGTAAAGGTGTTACTTTCATAAAGCGCCATAAATTGCTGGACAAGTTCATAAATTGCGAGAGCATGAAATGCGCGATGAATGCCATTCCATATCTTTATTCGTTCAAGGCTGTGATAGATGAAAGATATAATATTTCCAAATGTCTCCTTTGACTCTTTGACACCACCATTCCAAAAAAAAAGCGGATCCTTCGTAAACTTGGGAATAGCAACTAGAAGACCCTGAGGGGGATCAAAATCTTTTTTCTTCATCGCGAGAAATCGGCTCAATGCTTGCTCTCGGTTGAAAGCTTTCGAAGTTTTGCTTTTCTGTTTTTTAAAAGCTTCTTTTAGCGAGATGAAGACTTCAGGCAGCTCATCCTTATTTGACGCGACAAGTTCAACAATCTGGATGTGTAAGCTACTGGTAGTGCTTTAATTGTGGATATTTGCTTACTGATTTAATGAAATCAAGTTCATTAACCCTTCGTTCGTGAAGGTCTGTTGCGTTCTGTCGAACTCTTTGCCAAAATCCAGATTGCATAATGACAATCAGGCCGCAGGATGATGGTTTGAATTGGGATGTCAGAGTGTGACTGAGAAAAGGGGCTCCTCCGATTGGCACTAAGCCTTATCTGTAAAAATGTTCAGATGCGCATTTACGCTTTTTTACAAATTTGGCTAGGCGGTTAGAGAAGTTCCTCTTCATGACTCCACCATGAAAGTCATGCGACATTTTGCGGCTAAATGCTACGCTTGTTTTCACCAAATCCTTACATTGTTTATCAAAACAATTTTACCCTGTGGCGCAGCGAAGCATCCTGGTGCGTCAACCCTTTCCTAGCTGATGGTAGCAGGTGCTATCTTTTATTTCTTAGTGGGCGCAATGGCCGAGTATATAGACAACTTACAAGATCTCTCATTGAGGTGATAAATACTATTTTGCCATGGGATTCTCAACTTCCCCTTGCCTTTGCCCTCAACACCTGATGTTTGCCTTTTTGTTGCCTTTCTGCGTCGACTTGTTACAAGTTGTGCTTCCGCGGTGGCTGTGTCGATCAGCTTATACATGGCCCTGGTTGCTATGCTCTGCCTTAGCATCATCGGCCTCTGGTTAGAGCACCTGGCAGCATGCGTTGGAATACGCCACCGCCGCCCGGGTGAGAATCGATCGTTGTCTTCTGCAATGCCGAATCATAAGGCATCGCCAGATAAACTGGACAATAAAGGGTACACCAGCACTCCTTGCGTTTGATCTTCTGCAACACTTGTTGCAACTCCTAGCCAGTCGTTGGATTCCAATCATGTATTGACACTGTAGGCTTCAAATTACCCGAACGCTTACATACAACCGCTAATTCTACCAGGAAGCTGCGCCAGGACGATATATATCAAGGCCTTTCCCACTGTCTGTCCATAGCAACATATCCCTCTCCCACGTATGCCTCCTCAAGAGTCCGTCGGGATGATGTCCTTTCAACTCTGGGCTTTTTGGTCAATTTTGTAAGTCCCGACCTGAGCCAACGTTCGCCAGTCAGTAACCCCCCACAACTAACACTCGACTTCAAGTTGCTATCGATATGTCCGGCTTATTGTTAACCTCTGGGCGTATCACCGGCTTAAACCGATTCCCCCACCTGGCCCGCTGGGGCCTGCAGATGTAACGGTGGTCATCCCCTGCCTCAATATCAACCGGCAAAGGCTGGCAGAGACCCTGGAGTCGATTCGCAAGAATGGTCCGCGGAAACTCATTTTGGTAACTGTTAAGGAGGAGCAGGTTGTTGCCGAAGCAGTGATTGGGATGGTCGGGCTCTCTCAGGTTCAGGTAGTCACAGTGCAACAATGTGGTAAAAGAAGGCAGTTGGTGGCAGGAATTCAGCTTGTTGCAACTGATATCACTGTGCTCGCAGATGATGATGTTATCTGGGAATCTCCTCATCTTCTCAAATGGATACTCGCACCGTTCGGGAGAGAGAAGATGGGCGGAGTTGGCACATGCCAAGGTCTTCAGCATGGTCTGGTGCACGGCCTGTGCCAGCGCGTCTGGAGTTTCCTTGGGGCATTGTACCTTGAGCGAAGGAACTTTGACTGTGCTGCAGCAACATATATGGATGGAGGGACGCCATGCATGTCCGGGCGAACCGCCGCATATCGCTCTAAGATTCTGCAGGATCCCAAATTCCTTGAGGCCTTTGGGGGCGAAACTTGGCAGAGCAAACAACTCCAGCCTGATGACGATAATTTTATCACACATTGGCTGGATTCCCACTTCTGGGACATGCATTTTCAATATCATCCAGAAGCACTGGTTTTGACGACACTTAAGGATAATTGGGGGTATCTGAAACAGTGTCTCCGCTGGTCTCGAAGCAATTGGAGAAGCAACCTGCGCAGCTTAGTCTGCAAGCGGTTTATCTGGAGGTTAGTTCTGAATAAGATACAATAGCTCACAAACTAACCAGCCTTTAAACAGGAGACACGCCTACAGCACCTATGCTGTTTTTCTAACAACCCTTTCGCCGCCAGCATTCCTTGTTGAATCTGCATTAATATGGCTCTGCCACAGGGCAACGGAGAACGACATTGTCGCGCATCGATGGTCATTGCGGTTGCTCCTTCTTTGGATGTTTCTCACCAAGGTCATCAAATTCTTAGGATATTTCAAGCGAAACCCATCCGATATTGCCTTGATACCAATTTCCGTCTTGTTTGGCTATTTTCACGGTATTCTCAAGGTCTATGCGGCGTGTACACTTCATGTTGTAAGCTCTACGCTCCTCACTTGGCAAATGGCGCCTATGGACTAACTCGTTGTGGCTCAAGACGTCTTGGGGAACCCGAGACATGGTGACAAGAGAACCAAAGTTAGGGAATAATGATACTCCGAACCAACGAGCTCCTGACACCTTTGGGTCTTGGTGGCATTCTTTCAACGCAAAGGAGCGACTCACACCATGGCGCAGACGTACCATTTTCTTCTGGGTTCGTTATGTCAACCCTGATTAGTGTGTACCTGAAAGCTGCTAATTCCCCCTTGTAATTGCTCCAGACGAATGCCTGGCCAGCGGGACAACCAAGGCTCCAACTACGACTCCTTGGAGTTGGGCTGTGCTTGCTGGCTGAACGGGCTCTGAATGTTCTGATGCCATTGAGGGTTGGGCAGATGATGAGCAGACTAAGCAAATCAAGCAGTATGTTTCATTTTTCTCTTCTGTTAAGGTGTATTGGTTTTCTTGGGCTAACCATCAACAGACTTACCTGAGGAGATCTATCATCTTGCATTCCTTCACTTCCTTGAACCCGGATATTTAATCGCGAGTGTTAGGACATATCTGCTGCTTCCACTAGAGCATTATTGGGACCGCAGATTGAAAATTAATACCTTTGCCAAAGTCATGAGTCTCCCAAGTGAGTTTGATGAAGCTTGGGACCTCGCCACCCTGTCGGATGTGATATCGGATGTCGGCTGTTTTGAAGCAGTTATATCACTAACAATTTTTATGCTTATTCCCGTACTTTCCGATACTATTTTGACATTTACTTCTATATACTACCAACTTGGCAGCCGGGCAGCAGTGTCCTTTGCAGTGATCATGGGCTCCTATATCTTCCTCTCAGGAAAGCTCCGGTCCCAACAACATAATAGATGGAAGATATATCGTGATAGCATCAGAAGGGAAAAGGAGGCCTGTCGTGGCTCTATTTTTAACTGGCGTACAGTGATTTGCTTCGGCCGTCTGGAGCAGGAGATCACCCGGTTTCAAAACATCGTTGACGCCCGCTTGAATTCCAGTCAACATCCCGCTGCTCTTTCAATACTGAGAGGAGCATTACAATTCCTTGTTTATACAGCAGGTCCAGCTGGCTGTGTCATGATAACGCGCAACATGAGTGAGGTTGCAACAATGTTCATTTTCCTCGCGCGATTGCGAGAGCCTCTGGAAAACATGCAAAGCTTTCTGGATGCTATCCACTTGGAGCTTGCGAAGGTCGATTCGCTTATTGAAATCTCCGAGAAAGAAACATCAGTCTGTTATCAACGGCAGAAGGTGCTGTTAGTTAATCAGGGAAACACCCACTGGAGCATTGAGTTCAAGAGCGTGGACTTTTCTTACAATAAACAATGCCAAGTTCTTGAAGGATTGTCATTCAGGGTGCCGGGCGGCGAAACCATTGCATTTGTTGGAGAGTCTGGCAGTGGAAAATCAACCATCCTGAATCTCCTTCTGCAACTCCACTTCCCACAACGTGGCTCCATCCAAATTAACGAAAGCGATATTTCGGAGAGCCAAAAGGAAGGAATTACCTTTGTCCCCCAGAAACCTAGCTTCTTTAGTGACCGCAGCATTATGGAGAATCTCAAATACGCCAACTCCAATGTCGAGGACGCGGAGATATATAAGATCTGCCACTCATTGTTAATCCACGACCGGATACAACGATGCCCCGAAGGCTATAACACCCGGTACCAAGATGCTATGTTCTCGGGCGGAGAGCAGCAACGATTGGCCATCGCTCGTGCTTTAACCCGGGATGCGCGGGTTTTGCTTCTGGATGAACTTACAAACAGCCAGGATAACAGGACGGCCTCTTGTATCTTGGATGTGCTGAAATCACGGGCTAATGGTCGGACCACCATTTTAGTTTCGTAAGTCAGACTCAGTCCCTCTTGTTCTGTCCTCACTGACGTTCACTTAAGGCACAATCTCAGGGAGATTAAGAACGTTCATCAGATCTTCTTTCTCGATAAAGGGAGAGTGGTTGAGCAAGGGAAACATGAGGAACTTGTTGATTTGAAAGGTCACTACTACAAACTATGGTCGATCCAACAGCAGGCCGGCGAGTAAAAACTTGTTTGAGTAAAGGGTAATCGCTGTACGTAGCTGTTGTGGACTTGGTATGAACACATATTCTTTATAAGTATTCACTCTCGCTCACAGGTATGCTCAGATAATACAATTATGTCCACGATATCAGCTTCTCGGTGCCTGCTTAACTTGAGCCTAGTGCTTTTGAGATCCGATTCCCCCGTCGTCCGCGAGCTTCAGCACCAAGAGGAGGGAATTTTGCCTTGGAAAGAAGAGGACTGGAAGAGAAAACTGGACAAATCCAAGACACTTTCAGACTCTGCTTACAAACACCTCGCCGACGTGTGCAGCTGCTACTGGCAATTCGAAAGCGCCGGTCACCTACTAAAAACGGAAACCATTGACAGTCAGCACAAAGCCTTGATAGCAAGAGTGAGAGAACTTGACGGCACAAATAAAGATATAAGTGACCTTCCAATCTGGGAATTTGGTGTTACCGCAAATGCAATAATACTCTGTGCAAGTGTCGGCATGTTTACGGTCGCTCCAACACTAGACGACAAGGAATTCGAAAAGAGATTGACAGATTTCGAGTATCATGCTTCCCAGCTCAGCCAGTCACCACTATACGAACTTGAGGGTATCATCGCCAGCAAGGTGGATTTGCGAGTGGTAGATTTAGTTGTCGCTGTAAGTGTCCCGCATAGATGATAATTTATTTATTTATTAAAGACCCAAAACACAACAGGTTGTCGGGTTATTCATACCAGTGCTACAGAAGCATTTCCTATCTAATAACTCTTTATATAACCAGTGAATTCTTGACGACACCATCCACAGGTCCTTGGTTCAGGAGAGAGGCATCCTGGGCAAAACCTATGTCCGCACAGGAGGGTTTTCCACTCTGAAGGGATGGTATAACATATTGAACATTGACATCGACGCTCCAGCTCCCTGACTTCAGCCTCAAGCTTGTGGATCTGCTCATGTTTCACGATCAGCTCTGCACGGTGCTTGGTTTCAAGCTCGGTGTTCTGCTCCTCCAGGTAGCGCACTTTTTCTTCCAGCTCCCTGATTGTCGCGGACTCTGCTTCGAATACTCTGTGAATTCCCTGGTTCGCTGTTTCCTATCTCAGGGTCAGCAAAGAACAAGGCCCGCTGAGAGACGAACCTTACCAAAACCATTTCCAAGCTGGGCATTTTGCGTTTCTTCAGTGGCTGCGACGCTGTGGACGCAGAGCCATCAGGAAGCGCCAGGTCTTTAAACAGAGCGTCGTACGCCGGGAAGCTATAGTTCGCAAGGGGTCTCTTTCTTCGTAGCTTTCGCAGCGGGGACTGAGGTTCGGCCATCTCTGCATCCGTATCTTCGATGATGATAGCGGTGGGGGTTCCATTACGGCGGGGTCCAGATTCGGGTGAAGCCATGGCTGAAAGTCTGTTGTCAAAGAGCTCGCACAGCAGGAAGGCAGCTCCAGGTCAGATGCAGTGGGCAAATGGAGTAGAATGATGGCAGGTCACGTCGGAGGGGTGAACACACTCTTGATGTTGGGCCGGGCGGCTCGGGCTACGCAAACAGGACCCTTCGGTGGGTTTCTTGCGGCGGTGGGATGGAAAGTGGAAGAGGAATTGAAAGAAAGATGGATTCTGGAAGGGAGGGAGGCCATATATATACCCAACGGCCGAAGAGGAGGTCACGCGATTGTGCCTCTCCGTTGGCGTATAGCTTGCGTATCAGGATGACATAAAAGGGGCGTTGATGGGGGACATTGCCCCGGCTGCTAATCAGGGCCGGGGGCGCTCGGGTTATGCTCTCCAGGCATTGAAGCACGACGCAGCATCGGGGTGAGGGGACAAGAAGGGTAGGTATCGCTCGGTTGTGGTTGCGTACAATAGAAGAGAAGCATGGCAGTACGATGGGCTGGTGGCCCGGTCTCTCCGGTTATATACCTGTGGGCAAACTGCGGGTTGACCCTGAGGAGAAAGATGAGGGCACTGGTCAAGAGGAGAGGCCACCTGATGGTTGATCACGATATCCCTTTCATGTACATGGAGCCGTGCGTCGTCTCCGGGGAGCCATCGGCAGAGCCTGTCTCTGTGGCCCTTCCTCCTCTCGCTGGGAATGTTGTTCTGGAGATCCGGGAGCCTGAAGAGATCTTCTGGGCTGACTGGGCGACGGCGAACCAGGCCCCGTGGCAGCTTCCTCAAGGGGGAGGCGTGTTCGGCGTATCGGAAATACCATTAATGGGCTGAAGTGGAATGCAAATTCAGGGGGCGATGTGCCGGATCATGGAGAGATGAAGCACCATGCCGGTGATTTTCCGAACGGGGTGCTGGTACGGACAAGAAAACTTCCATTTTGAGCAGATTGCTTCATATGTCGTAACTCCAAAAGGCATTTATCCTTCCATGCAGCTCTTGCTATCTTAAATTTCCCGGTTTCCTGAATCACACTCAGACATGCACTCAGATATATAAAGCAGGCTGGCACCCAAGTGTCATTAGATTTCCAGCCTGCCTAGGTGCAATGCTCAGACACACTCACCGGTTACCTCTCTATTGGCTGCCATTATTACCATTTTTTGGTCCCTATTCTGGCTTCCGATATTCCTAGCTACCGCTTATCGAAGCCGAAGGACAAAAAGATCTCAGGACTAAGAGTGATACGCGTTTCATCACTATTCTTTGTGAGTATGTGTTCGCGGCGTACAGTTCATTTAGATTTCTAGCCTGCCTTGGTACAATATTCGGACACTTACTGGTTACTATTGCGTGGAGTTTTTTTCGCTGCCTCTATTAGATCCTGCATCCCGAACCCTCCACTGACACTCGCATCATGTGTGACTATAAGAGAGTAATCTATACTTGTCGCCATGCAAAAAGTATTGTTGTGGCCTGGTGTACTGTGTACCAGAGAACTCACAGACCCTGTGAACCAAACATTGTTGACAGGTGAGGCATCATCATATGCAACAGCACACCTTCCGCAGACTGACCAAGGACAGGGAACTGGCAATAAAACTTTGCGGTATGTTTGCTCAGGAAAAAGGGAAACCCCTGTGTTTTGCTTATTGAGATATAGGAGGTTGCAACGGAAAAAGCCTTGTGAAGGGAAAATGATTGATAACTATGTTTCTAGAAGTAAACAATGTCTCAAAATCAGTCACACTCTCTTGAAAATATTCATCAAAGGAAATCTAATCAATTACCACTTTGGCGGGCAGGAGACATGTCCAACGGACAATCGACAGATGGAGAAGCAGCTGAGAGAGCTTCAGCCTCGTTACCACAAGCTTCGAACTGACTGGCCACACCCGTTTGGAAATGGGCTGACCTTTGGGCGAGCCGCATATCCTCCATGCAAAAATCTCCCCCTAAGTGGGGCCACAGATTGAGCCGGCGCGAGCTGCCGGGGCCTAGTTCGCAATGGTGCGCCCTGACAATCAGGCCGCTGCCCATGAATCTGTAATCCTTCGCACAAAAATCCCATATAAATTTAAGATAAGTGCAGATTTGACTGAATTGAATTATCAAACTCGTCATCAATTCAAGATCACAAAGCAACAGCGTGCCCAGTGTTCACTTCTTCCCTTGGTGCCTTTGCCTCACTCACCAAATGTCATCGCCAGCCACCACTGCAGCTATGCCCCAACAGTAAGAAACAACCCTCTTTCTGCTGCCACTCTATCACAATTGCAGGCTGTCCTGACATATTATAGAAGTGTTGCCAACCACACAGCTGAGCTGTCTTCCCCCGCAAGCCGTTCTGAAATGCCTCACTTGGAAGACCTCCAGCTCCGGGATAGGTCTCTCTCCCCAGGAAAGTCGCGCAAACGCCAATTGCCCCAGGAATCTGCTGCCAGCGCTCCCATCCGTCCATGGCCTGGAACCCACAGGGTCTTTCCTGGGGCCAGGAAGCACACAGCTTATGACTTTGACTCACCTGTTGCCGCAATATCAGTGTTGGGGAGATCACATGAGATGCCTGTTAACAAATTGCCCCTGCAGCCTGAGATCCGTCAGATCACAGAAGAGCAGTTGAGAAATGAAGTTCGCACCATCTATACTGGCATTGTCCTTGTGGAAAGAAAATGTGTTGAGATTGACCGCCAACAAGCCAACAATCCTTCAACCCTGACAAATAAGCAATTGCAGGCTCTCATGGCCTTGCATAGGACCCTCCTATATGAGCACCATGATTTCTTTTTGGCATCCCAGCATCCGTCAGCAAGCCCTGCCCTCCAGAGAGTAGCCAGTCGCTATGCTATGCCTGCAAGAATGTGGAAACATGCGATTCATTCATTCCTGGAACTTTTGAGCCACAGGCTCCCTGAGGTGCTGGACCACATGCTTGCCTTCATATATACCGCCTATTCCATGATGGCCCTGCTCCTCGAGAGCGTTCCGAGCTTTGAGGATATATGGATTGAATGTTTGGGGGATTTGGCCCGGGTTAAAATGGCTGTGGAAGAGTCAGATCGTGACAGGGAGGTCTGGGCAGGGGTGGCAAGGTATTGGTTCAACAAGCTAGCTGACAAGTCTCCCATGGTTGGGAGAATTCAGCATCATCTTGCTGTTCTTGCCAGACCCAACATTCTTCTTCAGCTGTTCTTCTACTCCAAATCCCTCATTTGTGTCCACCCATTCCCAAAAACCAAGGGTTCTATCCTTCTTCTTTTCGGCCCCTGTCTGGAACAAAAGGCACCACTTCACCACCCTCCTCTGATGTTGTCATTTGTGAGAGCTCACGGAGTTCTTTTCAGCAAGCAGTCAATACTTTCATTTCTTGAGTATGGGTATGAGTTCATATCCTTCCTGGAAACACAGATTGGCCGTGTGGGGTCAAAATGGAGGGAACAGGGAATCTACTTTGCTTCTGCAAATTTTGTCTCTCTTTTTGAGTATGATCTTGGCTCTTTTATTGGCAAAGCATTTGTTGAGACCACCCACTCCCCTGTCAACATCTCTGAAGTTAAAGATTCCTACTACACCCAGCATAGCACTCCCGCTGCTAAACTATCCTTGCACCCCGTGTCTCATTCTGGTCGTTTCCAAACCTCTGTTGAAGTTATTTCTTATGCCTCTTGTTTTGCATTCCACACTCTTGCATTGGTGCTAAAACATATTGGTGATAAAAATGTTCTCTCCCATGTACATGTCTCTTTGGCATTTCTGTGGTCTTTGGCATTGGTTCCTGAGGCTATGTCACATGCTCAGTCTGAAATACCATGGCAGGCATTGGTGACATTCCTAAATACACTAAACACACAGGGCTTGAATGAATCTCGTTTGAAGAGTCAAAGTTTTCCCATGCCAGAAAGTGGAATGAAGTGCCATCTTCCAGAAGATTTCTCTATGCGTGGATTGATTTGGAGCCAACTATATTATCCTCCTGGGTTTTTCAATTTTTCCACGTTGGAAGATGACGAGGAGCGGTCTTTGGAACCCCCCAGCATTACAGCACCAAGAACTGAAAGGTGTCTCTGGATTGGCCATCGTCTTGCATCTGTGAGTTGGGAACTAGTATTCTTAAGTATTCTCACCATGCTGACTATTGATTTTAACTATTTCCTTAGCTTGATATCTGGATCTCTTTTAATGAACAACAGAAGAAGTTTATTGTTAAAGATTTCGCTCTGGAGCTTGAAAATTATGCACAAGGCCCGGCACTTTTTGATGAAGCAGGTCGATTCTTTAGCGAAAGAGAGCGTGTGGAGACGAAACGTGAAGGGACGGTGACACGCACATGACAGATATAGGGCCCGTATTACATAGCGTTTAGGCCGCGAAAAGGACGGAGAAGAAGGGCTTCTACGGGAGAGAGCAGGAGAATGTCAAGCACGGAGATGAGCAGGAAGGATGAGCGGGTCAGCGAACTTGAGGCTGAAGTCCATGAGCTGAGGTGTTGATGTCAATGCCTGGTCTGTTACCAAATCCCTTTAGAGTGGAGGACCCTTTTGTGTGGGCATAGGTTTTGCCTAGGATGTGTTTCCTCTGCTGTAAAGACATGTGGAATATGCCGTTAGGTATATCAAGAGTTACTAGCTAGGAGATAATTTTTGTCTGAGCCTTGACCGCTCTTTGAAAAAATTTTTTGTGCTTACACTAATTTGGCCTCGACGGGATTCGAAAAGCGCGAACAATTGAGAGCATGGGCTCGTGTTGCCTGGACCTCCACCTGGCAGCCCGCAGGCGAGTTTCTTCGTGACCAGGTGGATGAGGTGAAACGCCTATAGCGAAAGGATGGAGGGAGGGCTAAAGACAGCCGGCCAGGCCGACAAAGGCGCGAGCAAAGCAGAAGGCAATGCATTCATTGATAAAGCTAGTACAACTTTCCTCGTTTCAAACAGACCCCTCACGGTTTCCGGCAACGGACGGGCAACCAATCCATCCATCTGGCGTCTAAAAAAGCCCTTTTGCGGCCGCGACAGTGCGAGTACCATTATGCACAACGCCTACCCATCCGCGGCCGTGATGTCCTCAACAGCCCGGTTAAACGCTTGGATAATTGGTTCATAGAGCCTCTCGGGTTTCATCGGCGTTCCGGTGAAGAGAGCATCTTTGTGGATAGGAAATAGGACCCGCCGTAGCGTTCTGCACAGCGGTTTAATATCCTCCAGCTCCGGGGGGAACTCCCATAAGAGATATTCGAAAGTTTTTGCATCCATATGACCCCCCTTCCTGCTAGCAATCTTCACATAGCTCCCAGTGTACCATTCATTCAGGAGACTGTCTTCCGGCTTTTCTTTCAAACGGTTGAAACGTTTCCATCCATTATGGGCGCACTGCCAGATCAGCACGTAGAAGAAGGACTCGAGATCGTGCCGGTATGTATGGTCAACATTAAGAAGCACCTCAATGGCCATGAACTCCATGGTGCCGGTCTGGCGTCGTGCCCCGCTCCGCGTACCAATTTCTTTGGCGAGATCCAAGTCGATCAGCATGCCCGAATGGCCGTTGGCGGTCTCCGGGTCAGTGATAATAATATTATTCTCAGATATGTCTCGGTGTAGGATGTTGCCTTCCATGTAAAGGGACTGATGCGCCTTGATCGCGTCGCGGACGGCCTTCAAAAGCTCGATAGGCGAATGGTACTCGTAGATCGGCCGGCCAGCTGGTGTGATGACCAGGCAGCGAAATATCCGGTTATCATAAAGCTCCTTGCCGTCCTTATCAAAGAGGCTCGGATTTCCCACTTGCTGGACATCAAAAGTCAGTTCGTCCTCCTGCTGGGCGACGCCTGATATTTGACTGCTGGAGCGCGACCGTTTAGGCATCCGCGTATCTTTATCAGGAGATCGGCGTTTTCGGCTGGTCTGCTTGTCACTGGTGCTTGGATGAAGCCGAGTGAACGACCGTGACCGAGGGTCATTGGAGCGAGACGGGTGGACAGAGGATTTGTGGCTAGTGCTTTTAAAGATGTGGCGCTTTTTGAAGGACAATCCGTCTCGGAGCGTGGCAATGTCTGTTATATCACAGAAAGCAATGACCTCTGCCACTCCCTTGACACCCCTTTCTTGAGCCAGTTTAAGAAGATCCTTTTCGCTTGCCCGCTTGTCTGATGTCCACGAGAACTTGGCCACGCCTTGCACCTTGTTGTCAACATCAGCAAGAAAGCAGGCTGTCCCCCGACACACAATGGCGCTCTGATAGCTGAGTGGTTTCGGGTTCAGCTGCATGACCACCTCCTCGCCACTAATGTTCTCAACAGTGATTGTGTTGGCACCACTACCATCCTGTGCTATGAAGGTATCCAGCCCCAGCTCTTCATCGGTCATCATTGCATAGCCCAAGATCATCTGAAAAAAACGCTTTGGATCTTTGTTGACATCAAAAGAGCCCGAGCTGAAAGGACCCGAGCGATCCCATATCCACGCCTCCGCCTTCGTTCCACAGACAGCAAACGCATGGACGAATCGGCGCGTCGGCTGGGCTTTGAAGACCTCCCGCACATAGCGCGCCATCTGCAGCAGTGTACTTTTGCTCCTGATCTCATCCTCAGGTTTTTTCAGCTCGCCGACGACCCGAATATCCTTCCAGTTGTGCTTTCCACCGATGTCACACGCGCTTCGGTCCCTGAGGAGAAGATCAATCTGTCGCTCCGTGTCTGAGCCAGTGAGATCACTCTTACTCGCTGTGGTGAAATAGACGCTTCCTTCATCCGACAGAAACTCATCTTGGAATCCAAACAACCAATCGAGGGCGTCTTTCTGTGTTGGCGGGTCGGGGAAGTCGGGCCATTTGTTGTCATCTCCGGAGCCAAGCGCGCGACGAGCTGCATTGTCTGCCCGTGGGTTCCAGTCTTTCCCTTCAAAGTATTTTTCAAAGAAACCCTCAACATCCCGGTGAGTACAGTCCTCAATCTCTTCAAAAAGCCTTCTATCCACCAGCAGACGCGTCTGCTCTGATCCTCTCTGCGATGATGATGTAGATCTAAATGGCGTGCCATCGAACGAAAGTGGGATGCTCGCCGGGGGGGTGATTCTAGAGATGGTGGTAATAAGGTTGAAGACAGCTTCCCAAATATCAGGATCTGGTGCTTTCTGAAGAATAAGATGTGTTAACAAGCGGTAGCGCTCATACTGAAAGTCGCCTTCTCGAAGGTGCGTGAAAAGCCTTGATAGTTCGGAAGCAACATCTCTGCTACTAATCGGGGGTCGGAGATTGAAAGCAGCTTTTTCATCCATTAAAGTGATTAAAAGCTTTGATATTGCCATTTGGCGGATATCGTCAGGGTCATCGTCAGTGCCGTCGTAGGATGCTAGGGATGGCCGTTCCGCATCTTGGAGCAAGTCACGTACACGATCGAATGAGTCAGCTAAAGGATATTTTGTGATGACAGACAGTTCGGCTTGCGATAATTTTGCCATACTTGCAACGCGAGCTGCCACGGAATTGAGAGAGTTGCTTGAGGAAGCAGCCCTGGCAAACCAGAAGCCTTCGAAGACGTGCCAAGACCCTAAGGCCAGGAAGGGAGAATAAAAGGTTGGCAGTCGCAAGGGCAGGGCAGAATTACCTAATCCCGAGGTGATGCCAAGTGATTTTTCCCACTCATCCTTCACTATTGTGCTTCAAAAGGCTCACAGCCTTCCAAGACTAATATTTCACAGAATTACCCCCTAGAATACAGCAGATACTTGGCAAATTAGTGACCATGTGATATCAGATTGACTATAATCCGAAATGTAGGGCCAATGTGGGACACTCTGTCAAGGCAATATAAAGGCAATTTTTTTGGAACGCCGGATATTGTAAATGCTTCTCTAGCCGAAACACATATGGTCTCTCCCTTCATGTTCGAAAAGGCAATTTCAGTTACAATAACAAGATAGAATCGCTACAGGAACTTTCTATCGCCCACGAAACTGTCGAACGGCCCCCGATTGACTTTGCGTTCTTGAACCATTGCTGGGGAAATAACCTCCAGTTCCTTGCGGATAAATTCCCGCCGCAGCTCGTCACAATTCGGGATCTCCTCAGTGACCACTAGATTTCGAATCCATTGGAGCGGCGAGGGCGGCGTTTTCGGGGATATCTTTTGGAACTGGAGTACAGCGTCTACTACATCCTCCGAGTCATCATCAATGGCGGAGGAGTCATGGGGTAAATAGGCGGAAGCTTTGCTATGGCGTGTTTGCTGCAATGGTTCCACTTTATGTGGCAGCCAAGGCCTGAGACGCATGGGTTGCTCTCGACCCTCGGAATTGTTTCTCGGAGGGCTTGTATCGAAGGTTTTCAGCTGCCGAACGGCGCTTGACCCAGTTACTTTTCTTGAAGGCGGCCGTTGGATCCCCCGTTTGCTCTCTACTGGTCGCTTCAGTAGCCGAAAGGAGGGCAGAGAAAGGGAAGGTAGCTCTTACGCCAATACTCGGCTTCAATGTATTGCCGCATCTCTTGGTCAGTATTATGATGCCATTCAGGCGTCTGGTGTGCCCCTCGCTTCCATTCGGAGGGACGCGGTGGTGTTTCCCATGATACAGGTGCGCTATCTCGTCGTGTGGGCGTACTGAAAGTGCAAAGGTCCATCGGCTGATCTTTCGAGATTACGGACATCCCACGGCGGTGGCTAGAGTCCGCATGTTGGACTAACGGTGGCTTCCGCCAGGCCAAGCCGATTGTTGCCCACATGCTCTGTACACATGATAGGAACTGTCGTTTGAGAGCCGAAAACCGCTGTAAAGACTGCTTTGGTGCGGCGTGGTAAGACATGAGGCTCTGGCCCTTCTTCGAGCCAGAAGATTGACCAGACAGACTGACGCTTCTCTCCTGTGTCATGATCTTCCAGCGGCATGTTATGCTAGCGCCAAACGCGAATACTGGTGCGGCCTCAATTCGGCGAAGCAAGACGGAGTGTATTGGGAATTGGGATGTCTCGTTGTGACGGATGGGCGGTACGTGCAAAGCCGAACGGGTTTCATCAGAGATACAGTGCTGCTAACATCAAGGCGTGCTGAACTGCGGTAGTCATGGTTGGACAGGCCACAAAATTGAAGGCTGGCCATCATTGTAGAGGATCTGTTTATCTTATATGCGTTGGCGTATGTTGCCGTCATGCACTTTGTTGTGCTTCAGGGCATTCGATAAAATTGCTGTGGAGTTGTTTGTTTCCCGCGACCTACCATATTGGATATTTCGACTCTTTTTTGACAGAATTTCGACAAAAAATCGATCGAAGTTCGAACTCCCAAACTCAGTGTTTGCCTTATCGATTACGTCACGTGTGCGCATCAACCCCGCTGTCGAGTTGGGCATCAATCCACTTGAATCACGCTTTTTGCTGCCCGACAGTGGCAGAAAGTCATGGGAGCTAGTCATACGTCATCAGTAAACTTCAATCCTCAGCCTGGGTAAATATTTTCCGCGTGGAAGATCAAAAGCAGAACAGAAAACCCGAGGACAGATCGAAGTTATATCCAGATCAGCTGCTGAACATCCGCTGTCGGAGCTCTCGAAGTTTTGAATTTCTATTCTGAATAACCAAGAGGTATTTATCCTAATTCCTTTCATTTTATCAATCAAATTAACCCACATTAGTCCTGCTCCACGGCGACATTGCGCGAGCTTGGTCGACAAGCCACCTCCTTGCGCTCCCGAACTACTACAGTGCACTTCTCAGCGCGTAACCTCGACACCGCATGCTGCAGATGCATGTTCACTTTCAGCTATGACAAAGGAGGTATACCGGCACCATTCCCTTGTCACTATTTTGAACTACCGATTAACACGATATAGGTTGGATCTCAAGCACTGGCTGGGGCCGAAGAGTACATCGATGTGAAGCTCTTCGAAGCCGTGAGCGTTCAAAGGACCATCACCGGAAGGGGCAAATCCATTATTATATATGATCCGAAGGCAGATATGGACTCCCCCCCGTACTGGCAACACAACAAAGTCGCAGAAAATGGGACAAGTGATGTCCCTGCTGGCTTCAAAGTACGCGTGATATAGATGCCAGTTTAAGCTTCTCAATCAATTCCAGACCTTTTTCATGACCCACAACCAATGTGATTGAGATGTCTTGGTTTCGGTCTTCAGGGACTAGGACATTCAGGCAGTCTGTTGTTTCTCTCTCGTTTCCTCCTACGGTCCGCTCCCAGATCCACTGGTTACTGTTTTGAATTGCTCCAAACAGAAGACTGCCTATTTGCGGTATTTCGCTGACTCGTGCGGCCGAACACCTAAAATCAACTATGGATGTTGTTAGCGGCGCCATGGGTAGCTAGCCTGAAGAGCTTACGGACCTCTTCTAGCTGGCGGGATTGAAAATTGCTCGTGGTGAGTCGGTTGAACGGCTGCACGTTCAGCTACCAGGTTGGTCAGCTCCACTCGGCACACGGTAGCAATCACATAATTTTACCTGCATGCGTCTCCGAGGGATTCTGTTGATTCATAGGAGAGCATATGTTCGATGGTTGAGATCCAGTTATAATTGGTGTATGGGACTGTTCCACCCGTGAGGAATAGAAGTCGAGATATTGATCTGCAAGCCGATCCAGCACAACGTGGCGAAGCCCAGGTCTATCTTTGATCACGTATGGTAAATCAAGCAAGACATCCTCCTTCGCGATGGCGATCACAGATAATCCGAGACCAACCACACAGAGAATAACCATAGGAGGACCGTTTTCTTCCATAACTCGCTCTAGAAAGGTGAGATAAGTGGTGCGTCGCTTTGCTCCTTTGGTATCTGAAGGCTTGCCACTCCGCAGTAAGTCGACGGCTTCTTTGATCCGCTTTTCTTGGTAGTCTGTGACACCCTTGCGGCGTTGAATTGCCCTTGACGCATCGGCAAGGGCGGATAAAGCGCCATCAATCGACAAAGGGGCCATATTACCAGCACGTCAAGGAAGAGTCAAGAGGAAGTCAAAAATAAGTCGAAAATGAGTCGAAAAAATCGCTGGCCTGGGTGGGTTATAAATGTTGCGTATGCACGGACCTTCAATTAGTCATCAAGCGGCGTCTGGAATGCGTCATTTATTTGTCGAAAATGTGTCAAAATTTCGACGAAATGGCATGAAGTGGTGATCGACTTGCGTGAGGCAGGATGACAGTACCTGAAAGGCACTCCTCACATATCAACACGAACAAAATGTAGCGTCAATATTCTAGCTCTGGAACCGTTGCGGAAGCACGGAAACATAAAACGTGGCTCTGTTCCTCTCTTTCCTGAGGCAATCAATGCCCAAACTGACCCCAAGTTGTTACCCTATCCCGATTCGAACACTATGGATAACACCTTTTCGGCCAAATCGTCCGCCCTTCGAAGCGATGCCTCGACCCCCATTCCACCACCCAGTCCCGCCCACAACCAGACCTCCCTTGACAATACCAGCGGCGGAAACGTTAGCCAAGAATTGCACCTAAAAGATGAAATGTATGCCACCACCCGGAGTGCTGTAGCCGCCGTTGTGCTGACCATTTAGATGGGACGAAACACAGACCGAGCTCTTTGCGGTTACCTGGCACGACCCCAATAGTGCTCATGTAAACAAAACCTACGTGGAAATTCGCTCAGAGTTTTTACGCAGCACTCTGGCAGAATGCGGCCTTGCCATCAACAGCCGCCTACCAAGCACCAGGGACCTTAGCGGCTACCTACCCCAGCTGAAGAAACATGAGAAGCGGTTAGGCCCATTTATCAATTGGCTTAAAAGTGTCTCGACGCTGAATGATCCGACGTTCTGGGACGGTGAGGTGGACGAGAGGGAGGATCCCACTTTTCAGTGAGCAGGCACCCGCGGGAAATTTTACCGGCAGTAACAATGCCGGAAAGTGTTGATATTGTTCGGGCGGTTCTTATCTTCAGGATATGGTTTGAGGCCGGATTCCAATGAGCAATTTCTGTTAACAGGCAATGTTGTAATGAGAATTACTTTGTATACACTGCTTGCTATAAATTGAAGTTAATGCTCCTCAACCTGAATTCCTCGAAACATCGGCTGCAAGGAAAAATATTATTCCAGAACCACCTCTAAATCTACGACAGTCAGCTACAACCAAAGGTGCAAATTGAGGGGCGCGATGCTTCCATGCCAGGCGAAAAAGCGCCAGAAGATGGATGATGGAACGAAGACCATGTCTCAGGCTTTGGCCCTGGGCTACGATATAATCCAGCGAAAGAACGGCGAATCCCCACCCGAGGAGCGATTTCGTGAACTTGAGGAAGAGATCAACCGTCGCGGATTTGGGGAACTGCGTCACAGCACCAGCAATTTTCCCGGTGACCGAAAGCCCGTTGATGGAATGGCGGCAAGAGAGCTCCTCTATCATGGAATCAATGTGAGTCCACATCTCCACTTAATGGTAGTGGCTTGGTGCTAAGATTCAGTTCGCCGACTCGGATCCTTTTTTCCATGCCGCCATCGGCTGTTCCTTCGAACATGCAGGGAAGGAAGGTCCGGGACTTGTATTCTGGGCTAAAAACCCAAGCCAGTTGAAACGTTTCCATGCCGGAGCACGCAGTACGGCATTCATATACTGTTCAGCAACGAACGAAGAGCTTCATGAGGAGAACGGCCTCTTTCGCATTGTGGAAGGCTCCCATACGATGATGCAAGGACAAGTTGATGAAACTGCGACTACCAGCATCCGTCTTCGGCCAAATGAGGTGCTGATAATGTCTTCCAACTTGACAATTGAGTATCCAACAGCAGGAGGAGGAGTTGGCATCTGGATGATGGTGTATCGCCCTAAGTGATACAGTTCTCGAACATGGAGACATATATATATATACACTTCACTCATTACAGGAATGTGGGATCTAGGGTTGCAAACATCGGATCATCTTCATAGTAACCATTGAAGAGTGTTGGATCTTCGGCAGACCTTGCCCATTGCCTCTCCTTCTCGGTCATGTACGATTTGTAGTATATTTCGTCCTCAGTTTTATAATCGTATTGGAGCAAATCGCAAATCTCCTGTAACCTGGAAATTTTGTCAGCCAAGTCCGACGACCAGTGAGCCCGATGACATACGATATGGGCACCCCTCCCAGTCGGTGAACAACACAGGGTATAGAGAGCGGTATCCACGCAGAGCTCTCTTGGTTATTGTCCTCCAAGATGTCCTCTCTGGCTTTCAGTCTGTCGACAAAACTCTGGAGGGTGTTCGTGTCTGATGCTATTCGAGCGTAATAGCTCAGCGGGCGTCCATCTACTGTTCAGTTAGCACGGGAGTTTACTGCCTCGGTAAACTCTTGGATACAAACTCAAGAAGAAAACTTCAGCACTTCGACTCCCCCACTGTGTTTTCGAGAGTTGGGTAATGCACCCGTTGACCCAGCGCGCTCCCCGAAGGTATCCTTCAAGGTTGCTCTCCCCGGTGTCGCAGACACATTCGCGCATAATGCGGATGACTTTCTCCTTTGCAACTCCCGTTTTGTACATAATGTAACAGTTCGTGGCGACGATCAGATGGCGAAAGTTTGCTATCTTGCCAAAAATCTTCGCCTTACTTGCGGCCTCCGCCTTCACTTGTGCATCGAAGGTTGCTGTCTCCTGGGCATACCTATACGAGGCCTCTTCCCACGGCAAACTTTCCACGCCTGGTGGAGCTGGCAGACTAGGAGGAGTGGATGAAGTGACCTTCGCCCTAGCTGAGTTGGACGTGTCGAACTTGTTGCGTAGAACAATCGCCAGTACCGAACGATTCTCCTCGATGCTGTAGAAATGGTTGTCTTTCCTGAAACTCGTCCATTCCCCAAACTTCGGTATGCTCCGAACAAACGTGTCTAGCTGCGCTCGCCACTGCTGTGTCGCGTTGGGTTGGACCCGCTGCTTCTTAGGTTTCCAGATGACAAAATTCAGCTCTGTCGTTTGGGCTTGTCTCTCGCTTGTGGAATGAAGCCTCTTCTTCAATGATCCGCGATGTGGATCAGCGCAGGATTCACAGTTCGCCGGTTTGCTGTTTGGACGCGGTGGCCCGGGAGACGGAAGATGTGTGACAATAAATTGTTCAAGGTACTGGATGTACTGCTCGTTGCTACCATTAAACGGGAAAAGCCGTTGTCTCGCGGCCATCGTCGCGACAGGTTTTGTAGGATGGCCGTGTCTTCGAGCTTCTCAACGTCTACCAGGGAAATTTAGCGTGCCTCACGGTCAGCTGATCCCCAATTTCTTCCATCCGGCTGCTTGGTTCCTCCTCTTGCAACCCGTTTCCATTCCGCAGACAACCCAAGCCGGATTTTCGTTGGGGGATACCTGTCAATGCTTGAGGAAGACCAACCTTCATCCACTGTTAGAGGCAATCAAAAGTCCCAGCATAGACACCAGCCTCTGTGCCTGTAAGCAGAGTATCTGGCGCCTCGATCAAAACGACCAATTCAACCCTCAGCGGGAGACGATTCTGAAGGCGACCAAGACTGATTTCTGCGCTATTCCCAAAACCGTATTATCTATTCGGTCTGAATAGATAATACGGTTTTGGGAATAGCGCGGTGGCTTTGATTTAGGTTGGCGCTGTGATGTTTCCGGAACTTTCAGAGGTGGGTCCGGGCTCGCAAGATCGGCATATCAGGTAAGTACCCGCCATTTTCCTGGGCAATGTACTCTCCTCTCCTGAGGCGCATTCGCCGCGAGCCGAGCACAGGAGGCATGTATGACGGTGATGGCCAAGATGCTTTAAAACGCTGATCGAAACTCGTAGCTGAGGATAGCGCGTTTCCCGGATTATGAGCACATTCGTCTGAACTTCTTGGTGGCTTGCAGACGTGCTACTCCTGAAATGCTGGCTTAGATGCCGCATCAAAAGGTCTCTAAACCGATACCCAGATTAGCATAAAAGGTCGCCTTACCGCCCTTTGGATACCTTTGCTCGAAGATAGATGGTGCCTGGCCAGTCTTGATCCTAGCAAGATACCAACTGTCTTCTGTTATTTCCTTTGTTTGACTGACCTTGCATCATGCAGGATGCATTTCTTATCTCGGGGTTACCAAACCTTGTCTACAGCTTCTCCTCTCTGCCCATCTTTATTTTTTCTGTTCAACATATCCTTGTCATTTGGACTGGCGTGAACGAGCGGGAGAGCAAGCATAAGAAGCGCGATATACTTCTGACCTCGGCATACTTTTTGCTCATTGTGGCCAGCATTGCTGTTTTTTCCTTCAGCTTCTGGCCCGTGTATCTGCAAAGTGAGTGTCTCGTGCGGGCGACTGTGACGGTGGCTGACCAGGAGCAGATGAACGCGCGCTCTATGTGCCTCTGATGATCTGCATGATGGTTCCAGCAGGCGTTGAGGTATGTACCCCCTGATGCACGGTGGCATGAGCTGATAATCCAGGGAATGTGGCAAACAAACACCCTGCGCGGCCTGGCCTCTCCATGGGCTTATTTGGTTTTGATGGTTTATGCATGCGCAATTCCTCAAATTTGCTTTGCGTTTATGTACGTTCTAAACCCATGAGGCTGAACCGCTGTACTCATGCCTGTCTAGGCCTTGGCTTCTCCGATACGCCCTTTTACTTACCGCGCCCGAATATGGAGCTCTCACCTTCATGGCATTCTTCATTACACTCCGATCGGGGTGTGCCCAGCGAGCCGCTTTGCGGGAATCTCTCTGTATCAGCATGCTCACTATTACAGCTCTTGGTCTTGCCGTTTACGGGTTTATTTATGTTGAGATGTGCCCCTTCCTTCTTTTGGTAAGCTTTCCAAGCCGTTCTTCTGCACAGTTTCTGATCCGGAAATAAGATTCTTGGTATTGTCCTTGTTGGCAGATATCCATGTCGGATCAAGGGAGCAGCACCTTCCGCTCCCTCAGAAGCTTCTCTTGTATCCATCCGCTGTCCCTCTAATTAGGTGAATGTCACCTCTACATACGTTTCTGCCTGCTCGGCTTTTTCTTCTTCAAAGCCGTTCGCCCTATTACTGCTTCCTTTCCTTTTACAAACATCCATTCATTAGCTTTTTTTATCCTTGGAATACAATTGTTTTGCGCACTAATAGTAGTTGGAACGCCGATGAAAGGCTTGTTAGCCCCACTTGTCGAGTGGGGCTTCCGAGCGGACCGTGAGTTTAGACCAAGGTCCACACTTAACCGCTGCTCGTCTCCTCATCTCTTTTTGCCCGTTCGCTTCGATGATGTGTGGAAGCGAGTGTTAAACGCTATTCTTGCTCATGTACGGAGTACTCCGTAGCGTACCTTTGTTTGTTGTGGATAACTGAGACTTTGGTGGGGAAAATGATCGGTGATTGGAACGAACAAAGTATGTTATCATTGGCGTTATTCGCGCCACATTTCAGATAAGTACAGCTGTTGCGTTATTTTGCAGTATAGAGGATTACGACAGATGCCGGATACTAGCTCTGCAACGGATAAGATAAATGAGACAGAGCAGAAAGGAAGTAGGGCACCCGGAGAACAATGAGTCGCGTGTATGTGAAGGAGGAATATAAAGATCAACAGAATTTCATTTTCTCCAAAGCATTTTCAAGAAACTAAGCTCCCATGCGCTTGACTCCCTTGCTCCTTATTCTATTAGTTTTTAGTATCATGCTCAATAGTCCACTATTCTGGCCATTGGGGAAATCTGACTGTTCTCCTCTAGTCGACGATTCTTCGGGAGAGAAACGCAATGAATGTTCCATATCCACATTTCGCCATGATTGCGATCAACCACGCCGGGCATATCACATATCATACATCGTCTTCTGTTAGAAAAGGTTGCTACGACATTTTCAGTGATGATGTCGAGGCGCGTTTCCTTCAGTCAGCCGGCATGGCGCACCTATGTCATACCTCTTTGGAAGAGGCCCGCCAGAGCCCGTTCTCCGAAATTAACAAAGACTCTGAAGTTGGCGAACATCATTTTGCTCTCAAAATTGGTGACAGAGAGAGAGTAGGGGCCTATTATCACGCAGCCTTTTGTGGATTCCTACAGTTCAATTGCCGAGCCATCTGTAAACCCTGGATCGATGTCATTGAACCGAAGAAACAGGTCAAGCATCCTTATAATGGAGGAGAGAGCACAAAACCAGATTGGTGGCCTGCAGGAGTGATACACAAGGAACCTGATCATTTGAAGAAGCCCGGTAGGTTCAGTACACATAAATGTTAAGAAACAGCCACTGATGCATAACCCACTGTTCCACAGATCGCGTCCAACTCTTGGTCCATATTATCCGTACCGCTATGGCTGATAAGCTTCTAGAGGCTGGAAAGGAAGTCCGACGCAAAATCAAGCCAAAAGAGAGGTGGAATATTCTTGAAGAAATATGCACGGTTCGGAGGATGGAGGAACGTTATGAAAGAGGGGAAATAGGTGAGTACTTCTTCCATATCCTCAGCCAATACTAACATTCGATAGGCGCCGTACGCCTGCAACCAGTCCATGGGGATTCCAGCTGCAGCCGCAACCGCTAGTGACCCCTGGATCTACACCGGTCACAGAACAAGAGACCTTTCTTTCATCTCATGTTTCAGCACCAGCAATTTCTGAATCGAAGGTTCCTCTCAACGAGCTCCCTGTCGCAGACATGAATGGCACCAGGACACAACTACGGCGTGGATACCTTACAGATACTGCCGGTCTGCAGTACCACTTTGCCTTTGCACCTCAAAGTTGGCCACCCATCGCCACTCGCAGTACATGGTGAGTTGTCTGTCAGCAAACCTCACTCTGCCTCAGCGGAAAAATTTTGCTGCTTGTATATTTTACAGTCGCATGCGCCCATCCCTGCTGCCCCTGGTACACCTAAGTCAGTGGCCCATGGTTGCTCCTCTAACATTTTACGTTCTCTCGAGTTGCCCCTTGTCGTGCTTTCGGTTCAGTAACCAAAGGTTCTTCTGGCCGGAACCTAGCTAGTTGGGACCATGGTAAATCAACCCGAGTGTCTAAGCATTTTCACCCACATTCACCACGACCACGAACCCTGCGGGCTCATGGCCGTCCTTAGTCCTCTCCACCTACGCTCTAGAACCGTGGTCATCCCACCCTTAGCCCGTGTTTCTTGCAGTGATGTGGCCGCCCCTAGTCCACTCTGCGTCCTACTCTTTTCATGCTATTTGCTTTCTTATGCCTGTCCCAGCCGCCCTTGTGACAGCTATGCAGCGCACCACTATACGTACATACCCCTGCTCCTTGCCTTAGAATTTAGCTATTCCTTAGAGGAGCTGCTGTGTTCCCACTTGAGCTTCCTTGATTGTTTTTCTATCTGTTCTGTATCTCTATCTTGTCAGGTCTTTTCTGGCCCTCCTCTCCAAATTTGACCGTTGGTTGAAACCAGAAGGTCCATACCGTATATATACCGCCGTGGTCATTCTCTTCTCGTTTCTTCTTATGTTAGCCTTACTTGATGCATGCAGTTATACGAACAATAATAGAATAGTTTCCATATCAATCCAGATGTTCTTGGCGGATTTTTACGTCAGCCGATGTCACATGAATTGAAGCCGGATGCCTCCTCCAATGAGGCATGAGGAACTGAACCCTCGCAAGCTCTTGGCTGACCTGTCGCAAACTCCGCCATCCGGGGAGTTCCACGACTGCATGCCGACAGCCTGCAACTTACCTTTCCTGCAAAACGGCGTCGAAGGGAGCACAGCAGCAATGAATTTGATATGTCGCAAGTCTGTCAGTCGGACCTTGGTGGCTGGAGCTTGCTTTGGTTATTTAAAGCGTCACCCTCCTCTTCACTGGACTTGAAGCTGAGTTTCTCAATGAGTCCTCTATCTCAATTTTGTCGGGACATCGGTATTTGCTATGCGTGTTTGGAAAATTTCAAAATAGCTAAGTCAGCAACCTTCTCCCTGAAGACAGTATTGCCACCAGCTCGATGGATGCTTACAGTTTGACAGTAATAGCGCCCAACCACACCGTTATCATAGCCGTACTGCGGTTTACCCTCGTGGTTAAACTACCAGCAGGGGTTCTGGCTCTTCCGATCCTACCAGAATTCCGTCAAACGCCTTCAGGCTGCCTCCATGACGCATGTTGCTGTGCAAGATGCCTGCCGAAGGCCAACAAGCCCCTTCCAGCAGAACTTCCTCTACACACAGGCCCCGTTTATGCACCACAGCGCGCACCCGCAGCAGCCCTTACCATTCTTGTCCACTGAGGAACTACTACAGCCCGGGCAGTGGGCAGAACCTGAAACCATCTGGCCCCGGGGGTTCGTTGAATGCCAGGAGGTGCCAGAGCAGTATGAGCTTTTCCCCTCGCGGACCCTTGTGCCGGACCAGCAGCAATACGGCTTGGAGCCACCACCAGCGTGTCCTCAGCTGCCCAAAGAGAACAGCAACAACCACAGGCCAATGCGACAGACCCCCGAATATTCCCCGTTGACGGATCAAACCAACAGCGAATTGTTGAATCCGACTTCTTCGTCTCCTACGTATCAACCTTCCAGTGACTTGATATCACCTTTGCTCAACGTGTTTAGGGAGCCCCAGGACTCCCCTAGCAATCCGAATATGTACGGCTGTACCTACCGCAAATGCACACTACGCTTTGAGACGCCTACAAAATTAGAGGAGCACAAGCAATTAGCCCACCACCAGTTTACGCGCAAACCTCATAACTACCGGTGCAACGACATTAACTTGTCCACGGGCAAGTCGTGCAGCCGGAGCTTCAGTCGACCTTATGATCTAACTCGACACAAAGCTACAGTCCATGATGTCTGCAAGCAAAAAGCGCAATGTCTTCTCTGCGGAGGGACCTTTAGTCGCGATGACGCACTCATCCGACACATGCGCATGGTTCATTCCGAGGTCAATCAACCAGACAAGAGGCAGCGGAGTTACAGACACATGAGAACTTACAAAGCAACGAGGATCTGAGGAAACGCTATCCAGCATGAACTGCAAGCCAGGGGGAAAGTATTTTGGGAGAAGTTGACGGTTGCCTAGGGGGTCTCTGACTTCAGCCTCTGTTTCTGGAAATCTTGTATTAAGGGCTCAATGTCTAATCGTCGCTGCCGCCGGCTTTTATCTTTAAACAATTGTTGACCGTAAGCCCTACTAGTACAGCGTATTAAAATCTGTCAATATTAAGTCACGATTGAAGACGAGTTCTCGAGCATTTGGGCCGCACACCAGTCCCTCGCGTGTCTTGTACTTCCACCCCAGCAAGTGGCTGTTTTCTTTTCTTGTTTCACTTGAAAAAGTTCGCGCGGTTGCTCTCATATTCTTTGGATGCCCAGAGATCGCCGCTGAGTTCTTCAGGATCAGCAGGAGTGGTGTTCCATTGACATCGCCCCTTTGGGAGGCGAGCAGGGATAATGGCCATGATACCCCATGAAAACCATCGGTTCTATGGAATCAACTCTTATGCAGGCATTGGTGACGTTCAGATATATATACTGGCGATTCTCCCCTTCAAACCAGCAGGTTTACTTGATACTTAGCCCCCAGGACTATCGATCCCACATTCCGACGGTACGCAGACATTCGGCCACACTCTACATTATTGATTAAACGCTGCTAAGAGCAGCAATAGATAGGTAAGGTGAAAGCTATTATTGTCACGGGCTTTGCTAAAGAATGCGTTAGACTATCAGCAATGGCGACCGCAAAACAGGTTTATCTTATTCCAGACTCCGATCCCACATCCACGGCTCCCTCTACAGGATTGGGCCCTGCCGATATTTTCCATGTTTTCCGATCCAAGGATGGCTGGCTTACTGTTGCTGCAATAGAGCCTCGGGTTTCTGGGGTTCAGAATATATCTGCAGAATTTTCCTGTGATATAGAAAGCTTCCTCTATGCCGCAGCGGTTGCAGAGTGTACCTCTCCGGACGCCAAGACGGCATATTTGCGGATTATCAGTGGCCGAGATCTGGGGGAACGATTCGAATCAATCTGCGAGACTCGAGATGCGGTGATAATTGACCACCTGGAGGCTGTGCTGGAACAGTGGCAGACGATTATTATTTCCCTGGATGACATAGAGCGCCAGGCACCCAAATGGTCTGTGAACTGCCTATATGGCAGCTTGCTTTTACAAGAAAAAGCTCTATATCTTACCCGCGACATCATTCGGGGGAGTATCGCCGAACATCCTGAGTGCTGGAGAGCGGTTCTTGACGTTCCTCTGCCTGCGGTCGCTGACTGTGTTGGGAGGATTCGAATTTTTCTAACTGACCCATCATGGCCCGAGTCTCTCGACGATATTCAACGTTCAATGGAGCCATTCAAGCTTGTTAGAGAAAGGTGTGAGGAGGAAACGAGAGAGCTTAAAGCGAGGCTTGCACGCCTCGAGGCAAGACGACATTCTCACGGCGCAAGGCCTATCTTGGTACGCACTCTCAGGTCCATGGCTAGAACTCTCTACTCACTGCTTTTCTAGACCGAGAGGCCTACTGTGTATCAGAGCCTGCTTCACTTATGCTTGATTCTCTGCAGGTGCGACTATCCCGTTGTCCGCAGGCTTCGAAAAGAGACGGATGTGGTTTCCTGGCAGCACAGTGACTGGAAAGAGAGATGTAGCCAACTCAGCCATCTCTCGGATGATGACTACGAAGGTCTTGCTTGCACTCTGAGCGACTTTGCTCCGTTCGAAAAAATTGAATTGACAGGCAAGAGAGTGAAGAATCAGGTTATGGCTCTGATGGCGAAACTCAAGGCGAGTGCGGGTGAGATAACTCATGAAACTGGGTCCGCTCCCCGAGCGAGTGATGAGTTCAGTGTTCATGCAAACATCATGCTACTCTGTGCCCCCATTGGAATATTTGCTATTGTCCCAGAGCTAGAAGGCGACGTACTTCGCAGAACAGATCCCGAAGATCATGCCGCTGAGCTCAGCCTGTCGCCTCTGTACCAGAACGACGCTATTACTGCAAAAAGCGCAAAAAGTGAGCTTGCTGGCATTCTCTTCTGTCTGGAGCCGCAACATCTTTCCATCCAAACAGCAAAAGATGGCCTGTCGGTTGGCTCTCACAGCCTCTCCCCTGGTCGGCAGAGGCTTCTTAAACGGCCTAGCTATGACAGCATTGACGATGCCAACGAGAAACGACAGAGAAGGAGCGAAGAGGCGGTTGATAGATGCAGCGAACCTCGATCTGAGTCTGACTAGGCTTGTATCTATTCCAAGGATGGGAATGGTTCAGGCCCAGGATTTTAGTATGATTGGTAATGTATCTGCGTTCCACATCTCGTCTCGGCCTCGAGACTGACTCTTCCGAAACAGCCTCGACCCGACGCTACGATTGAAAACAATCCCCACCATCGCTGCGGAACTTTCCAATAATACACTCTAGCCTTTTTTCTGTCCACAAGACAGCCTGCCTGCTAGCCAGTCTTTGGGTTGGCCTCTGCAGCTTTCCAGCACCGCGAGATGACTTCTTCCATTCTGGCGAGTGACATCTGAGGTAAACGGCTGTTCTCCCTACATTCGCCTATGATGGCACTAATTAGAATGTGATAACGCTGTTTTCTAATTTCCACGTACTACACTGGTTTTCTGTGTGTTTCCTATGTCAGGTTAGTCCTCTCATTACATGAAAGGGCGAAGGAAAGCTGAACTTACTCTTCGACAATCCTTGGAGGACATCGTATTTTTGTCGTCTGATACACTGTGCACCATGCCTTAACAATGCACCTCACGTGTTCGCATTCGTAAATTGACAATGTATAGTCGCACATGGCTGGAAGACAGGATGGTAAGTGCTATTCAGGAGACTATGGGTGGTTCGTGAAGCCCATGAACATTTATATATGTGCGTATCATAAAACTTGCTGTACATGGGCGAGGCTGATCTGTTCATGACCTCCCGCGATCCTTCCCGCAGCTTTCCTTAGCCATTGCCATTGCACAAGGGAGAAAGGAAAGTACACAGGCTGCATAGAATCTCTGTCATGATGCATAGACCCAGGTCCCTGTTCCCTCTTCGGTTCGGGTATGTGGTTTCGCCTTGTTTGACCTCGCACAAATGGTATTCTTGACAGCCAGACTGGAAGACGCCACGGGTCTGGACTAATAGCACTGAGACTGAGCGCGGTTCTCCTCCTGCAGAGCAGGCGCTCCGAAACAGTTGTGCGTGGCTACTGGCACACGGTAATATGCAGGGTCAGAATGTATCCCAAGGGCGGCAAGAGTCCCTTTATGGCCTCCAGCTTAGCGGCTCGGATCTTCCTTGATCTGACGCAGAGTTTTCATCCCGGTTCTCATCTCAACCTCTGACGAGGTGGGAGAGCGAGGGGACGCATGTATGGAGTTCACGTTCCGTGGTTCCTATAGCTTCCGCATATGGTTAGTAGCCTTGTAGGCTCTTCGAGACCATGATCGCCGAGTTATTTTCCTGTAGCCGAACCCTGTGTATGTGGCGGTGGGAGGCGGTTCTTTTCAGTTTATTCCACAGCCATGAGTGCCGGTTATTTGTGACGAGACGTCTTGCTCAAGCACTGACAAGCAAGTAGAAGCGTTCCCGGCGTGATTTCCCCACTGCACTGGCGTCCTTCTTGTCGTTGGCAGGTGACTATAGTGGCGTCTATTTCAAAAAGAAAGATGCAAAAAATAGGCGCCTATCTCCACTCACTGCCATGGCATAAAATGGAAACATCTTTGGGAACATCTTCATCCCCTAGCGCAAGTTGCACTGTTGCGGGAAATTCACCCGCACTTCGCAATAAACCCGAAGAGGACATCCCATGCTATGCTTCGAAACATGGTATCATGTTTGTCAATATTAAAATAGAGATACCGCCGCTCAGTGAAGAATGGATCTGTCCATTGCCTTTTTCCACCTGACTTCAAATCTTTTGCCGATCTCTAGAAGCCACTGGTCGTTTTCCTGTATCCGCTATGCATGTTTTTGATTTTTTGGGTGTCTGTTCCCCTTTCAGCTATGACAGATCGGAAACACACTTCCAGACATCCTCCGCCTTGTTTGATTCCGAACTACTGGAAGCTGGGTTGATTGGCAACATCGAGCATCAACCTCATCCAGCCTTGCATCCAGCCGCTGGTGGTTATTCTTCCCAAATTCCTGTTGCCGGCGCCACATACAATGAGCTTGTATTCATGCAGTAAGTTTTCGGTACCTTCGAGCGCCTCTAGCTAAATCTCGGGCTTCAGACCGTCCCGCCTTTTTTTCACTCTGCGTGACATCGTTCGCATCAAGAGTCTAGATGGGGTGAGACATGATTCATGCGGTACGCACCGTATGTTGGTGACTGCTGAGACGCCATCTGGACTCAAAGCCGGTGAATGTGAACCGGAAACGTTTATACAGGCAAACAACGCTCAAGATGTTTACGAGGAAAAGTGGGGAGTCTGGGGTTCTGACAGTTGGAGAAAAGATATGGGACTACCTCCAACATGGGTCGGGGTGGTGGCAAAGTACCTAAAGAAACACCTGAAGGCAGTCTTTCGCTATGTTACTTTGATGGGTATACCCAGTGAAAATTCTGATAGAGCTGTGGTCCATCGGCAATGGATTGGACATGCATAAAATCTGAGGAGAACAAATCGCAACGAAATCGCACCGCCACTACTTGGATTTTGTGGCTTGGAAAATGGCATTGGTTGATGTGGGGTGCGCCAAGAGAATATCTGTCAAAATCACGCCTTGCGCTTATGGTCTTGGCAATAAATTCGCTAGCTCATTTAGAAAATGAATACCTGCAAAAAAGCTTCCATAGATATTACCTTCAACATAATCAGAACCCCAGCAGCTGCCCCAAAAGGCAAGGCATAACACCCAAAACAAAATAGTACCAGCTGAGAAAGACACAGACAAGGAGGTGATTTGGTTGAACCATGAGCTGTGAGAGATTGCAAGATGGATGCTAAATTTCGATCGTGCCTGTGACAGGGCAACTTATTTGTGTATGGTTTCGTTCCTTAAGTGACTTGGACCACATCCGTCGGTTGGCCAAAACAACCATCCGAATTAAGGATTATACCCGCGATAGATACATTGATCCACGGCCATAACTCCCACACCGATGCAGGTGTACGAAAACTCCGGGTGTGTAAGGAAAAGCATTGCAAACCAAGACAATTGAGGGTTGTCGCGCACTTACATTGACGATTTCCTTGCTCCTGGCAAACACTGCTAGCATCTCATACTACGAACAGGTAAGATCGTTGCTGATCTATTGGAGCATCTTCGACAAGTAAATTGGGCAACCCTTGGCCGGGTGGGAGAATATAAAAGAGCATTGGAGGATCTATGTCACAAAAGTGGACTAAACATACATGAGATAACTCAACCGGAGGGAGGGTATTAAGCGACGCAATACTGAGTTTTCACACGTGCAGGCTCTTTTTATCACTGCAGCAGATCATAATGCCATCTTTTTATAAGTGTTATGCCATGCCCGTTTTGATACCTGTCAATTTTTGTTTCACTGCCATAATACCAGCCGCTGTCGAACCAGGTCTTTTCCTCTAGTTATGTCTGAAATTTATTTTGTGGTTTTCTTATTTACACTATTTTTTTGCTCAATATAAAGCCTCTCCCTCTGTATTTTGCGAAGAGACTGATAAGGGTTACTCCTGTGGCCAAATCCCCTTCCTTTCTGTGTCCACAGTCAATAACTTGGATATAAATCTATCACAAATTTCTTAAGGAAGCTGCAAGAAATATCACGATCGCAGCCTCTCTATTTGGAAGATGCCTGGTATGTGTGCAACTAGCCTTATCTGCAGAAATAGTTCTGACGCTCTGTCTCAAGACTGGCGCCCATCGAATTTGCAGCCATCACCAACACTACACGAGTCGAAGAGTGATGCTGATCTTCGTGCCGAGCTTATTGCCCCAGGAAAGGAGAAGGAACGGGATAGGAAACAAAATTGGGTACTGAAGGATATCAGGATGAGGAGGAAGTTTCTGAAGGAAATGGTCTTTTGCTGCCAATGTAAGGGTATGCAGCAGGCATATGAGGAAGGAATGAGCTCTGTTTGTGATTCCTGCAAACATCATCGGTGTTTGGAATGTATTAGTGCGCCTATTGTCATCTCGCCCAAAGATAGGAATACCAGCTAAGGGATTGCGGCATACCGCACCGCAAGGTCATAGGAGGGATGTGAAGGAAGCAAGCGTTTAACAAGCATGGTAGCTTGAGGTCAAATATGCAGTGATTAAGTCAGATTCTAAGGGCGCCCCGATTGAGCCCGTTTTTCTCCAGCTCCTTCGGGGATCTTTGCACCGGCATTCGAGCATAGTTTTCGGGTATCCTGGTACCGTTCCATTTCTTCTTTTGAAGTACTGTAAATGGCGAAGATGTGGTCAGGGTGTGGACCAAGGACGATCGTGCATGCTTTTGGGGCAGGTAGGCCAACGTTGGCAGAGCCAAGGCTGTGTCAGGTGGCGTGGATCGAGATTTTGAAATTATCTCCTCCACAACTCAAACACCAGAATGTATGACCAAGTCTAGGTCAAGTCGGCTGTCAATGTTCTTCAAGAAGCGCCCGACAATATTCTTTTGGAGTTGCGATGCGAAGTCTTGACTGTGATTGCAAGCCTGAGGAAAAGACTCACCATTCCTTCGGATGGGTGCTGTGGTATTCTCAACAAACTACTAGCAAAAGTTGAGACGATTGAAGAGCTCAAGAAAAAAGGTGTTGTCGAAAGCATCGGTCCAATGCGCCTTTCGCCTCAGGACATCCGCTTTTGGCATGTTTCTACAGTGCAGCGCCCAGTGAAGGACTCATTACCCTCCTTTTACAGCGCAAAGGAGGTCCATTGACAACAGCAGGATGACCTACCATTACCGAGTGACCGCAATTTGTTGCCAGCTCCGGTGCTCACCAAGAGACCCAGTTGTGACGATTTCCGCGATATCAATGATGAGAAACGGCAGAAACTCGCACAGGAAGCAGAGTCCAGAATCTAATTAATATTTATCTGTCTGCCTTGAATAATTCACATTTTTGATCAGTACGGATTTTTTTTTTTGTACATAGCAATTGTTGCCCAAAACACTTCTGCTTGGCGCGCTCCAGCTTGTATCTACCCAGTAAGTCCATTTTTGAACCTTGTGAAACTTCGGTGGTGTTAAGAGGCCCGAGCCGTTCACAGGCTGCCCAAAAGAGACTTGCGTGTTGCGTTGGTATAAAATTGTATTTGAAAAAGAGTGCCCACATCAATCTGACTACTTTGTCGTGATCTTTGAGGGATAAACTGTTGCTGTCGGACCATTGTTGAGGGCCTAGTTAATTTTGTTTGGAACAATAATAACTAATCCAATGCTCCACGAAAAACAAAAATAGTACTCTCTGTATTTAACATCACTTAATAGATCATGCAATGCTCCTCGAGAGCATCTTCAGATTGTCAATGAAAGCAAGAATTTGAAGAAAAACTTAATCATCCATGCCATCGCGCGCATAGATTATCTACTCTTGCATTGGTGCTAAAACAGACTGGACATAAAAATGTCCTCAACCTTCCGGCAAATGCACCTTGTTCTTCGACCCCTATAAATAGTGATTGCAACCTTCCCTGAATCCTCGTCCACAGTCACGATAACACAAAGAATAGGAGTTGAAAAGGTACGCCCGCATGGGCAGTTGGCCCCATCACGCCCGCCGTTGCTTCTTGTGTGCAGGGAATGACTCTTCTGTATAACTGCGAGCCAGGCATGCTTTCAGCCCATTTAAGACGGAATTCGAACTATCCGCCCGATCGGGCAGGAAGGTAATCTGATATGCCTCCTCACTGCCAACACGCATAGTTCTAAAGAAGGCACGCATCGGCGCGCCGAGTGCTGGTTTGAAGGGTGGACTGGCCCCTTCCTTGGTTCCTATGGTAGTGCTGCGTGCCGGGCCGGATGAACCGGTGCGAGATTGGGACCGTAACAGATAGCGGTGTTCGCCCGGAGCTTGGGCACGGGCATGGCTGCTGGCGCGGCAACTGGTCGCTGTTGAAGCCTCGCCCAGGGCAACTTGGCTTCCTGCCTTGTGCATGGTGTTGTATTCCTCATTGATGGGTCCAGTGCTCCCGCAGCTGTCGCCACTGTCACTGTCACTGCCCTCGTCGACAACTGTTCCATGGAAACATGCGTTAGAGTGGAGACAGATACGGGTGCGGCAACAAATGTACCTTCAGTGCGCGTGGTGTCATCACCTGCTGGCTCGGTGTCAGGTTCAGTGTCATCTTCACCAGTGAGGTTGATGATGTCTGTCCGGCCAGGAAACTCAATCGGGCTGTGGACCATTTTTGTCTGGGGGATCGGATGGAAAGTAGATAATTTGACTCTTGCACAAGGGAGGGGAATACAGAGGTGAATAGTCCTTGAGAGAGCACAAGTCCACACCACCAGGCGGATAGGGGGAGACATTATATGTTCTTGATTTTCCAGCCCCCCACTCTCTTCCCAACCCGTTCCTCCAACCCCTAATGCTCCTAAAGGAGGCTACCTGCACGCGGCGTAGCATTCTGACCCTGGCAATAACTACGGCCATCCAGCTAAGGCTCATCCAGGCATACACCGGCGCCACGCCACCTTGTGTCGGTTCCCTGACTGGAGCGAAGCATTTGCCACTCCCTGGCTCCCCCCCTTTCCTTCCCCCTTTTTCCATTTCTTCGCCCCCGCACGGGCTGCGAAAATCAGCTTCAAGGAGACCCCTCGCTCCACCACACCCTTGCGGGGGAAACCATGTGGAGTACTTGCTGCCCGCTGCCGGTGTACAGGAGGCGCCGTTCCCACCAAAAAGGGCCCAAGGTCCTTCATTAGAGCATTACTGTGATTGGTGGATAGAGTATACCCAAAATGAACTGCAGCCGGTCTGCAATTGCAACTAGCTGCTCGCATGAAATCACAAAAGCCCCCACTCACAGCAAGGGTTTCTGGTGACTTTGAAACAACCAATGGACGCAGGTGCAGGTCCACCAAAGAGCCAGGACATGCCCTTCAGTAGGTCCAACAAAAAAGGGCCCGCTCACCAGGAAGTGTGATTCCATACCGGGTTGCTGATTGTGCTGCCATCGAGATCGCCGTACTGCGCTGCACTGAACTGTGAAGAAGGTCATGGAATGTGGGAATGGAGTGGTTGAGGCGCCAGTGCTGGATGTGAAGGGCAGCAGAGTAACAAGGTGGGAAACAAACAACTCCGTGGTTGGCTGTTGGGCTGGTCCATTAGTTCCCATTCGACACCATTGGCTTTTTTACCATGGAGGTGTAAGAGAGAACGCACAGTCTGGCGGTTTGCATGTGCAAATTGGGCGACTGGATCATCTCCCAGCTACCACAATGGCTGCTATGATGGTAAACTCCAGGAGCCAATGGAAACTGCCTGTCACAACAGCACATAAGGGCTCCTTCTGTTGTATCCAGGATTGCCTCATAGGCGGCCCCAATCCAGCAGATCAGAAGGGAAAAGGCTGCAGCACTGCGGCATTATCAGTGTGCTAAGGTTGCATTGTTGGCTGCAGGGATTGGAAGGTGGTATACTCCTGGTACAACCTTTGTCAAATCGGACTCGCCGGCGGTGTCGGTGTGGTCCACGGACAGCGACACAACGACAGGTCAGAGTGGGGGAGGGTTGTCTTTTCCCGCAGAGCACTAGCTGCCATTCCCACACGCCTCCTGGTAGCAAGAGCGCAAAAGTTGCTGAGAGGGCAAAACACTGGGCAAAGGAAAAGCACACAGGCCTTCTGAATACAGCTAAGGAAACCTGGAGCAATGAGTGGAAGTGATCAGGCAGTGTCAGAACTCATTAGCCACATTGTTTGCAGGTGGCAGCAGTGCTGCTACTGATTCAACAGGGGAAAAGCAAGAGGTGGAGATCAAAGGCAAGGCTGCTGAGCATTGCTGTAACAGAGCAGGAGGTGAAAAGATGGAAAGCAGGAAAGGTAAGCGGGAGGAAGAGTGGGAAGATCGCAAAGCCTGAAAAGAGAGGCGAGAACCACCCTTATATACCGTACTCGAGCTAGGCCCCGCGCTATACCCGAACAAGAACGCTAAACCGGAAGGGGGAATTAAGTGTACCCGGAGAGTACGGAGTACTCCGTACGGAGTACATCGAGCAGTTTAACTATCTCGGCGCCAGGACAGACCACGGGTCCCAACGACTTGATTGGTGGTTAGTGGGAAATGACGCATGAAAAAAGAATTTTTCCGCTGAAGCAAGTTTGGTTGTCCCAAATATATGTATGTCCCAGTACGTGCAATGCAGGGGAGGGGGAAATCAAAAGAAAAAATAAATAAATAAATATAAAAAAATAAGGAGCGGTTGGGCTTGCGGTTGGTGCAGCGTGGCGGAGGCAGTCTGGATAGCGGTACTTGGGTGCGGAAAGGACCGCAAGCCAAGACCAGAGGGAGAGCCGAGTACAATGCAGCGGAGTATTTCTCACAACACTCCTCGAAGTCACTCAAGTCAGTTCCTGCATGCAGAGTATACTCCATCGATGTGTATCTCTCTCTCTCCCCACATCGTTCCAATCGAAGTCAAGCCAGGATGTTTCAGGCCCCGGTAAGCAGGCGGTATTGGGGTGGTGTGCCTGGCAGGGATACGGTACCGGTACACGCCCACCCCTGAAACACGGCGAGCTGGGAGTGGGGCAGCTCGTAAGATTGAGGTGCGGCAGGGGCGTTTGATTGGCCGGTTCCTGGGCTGGTTTGTCGCCCAGTGCTGACAGCTGACAAAAATTAATTACAACGATATCAGAGAGGGAGAGAAGAGGAACACACAATAATAGAAAAATAAAGGGAGAAAAATAATAAAGAATAAAAAATAATAAAAAAAAAAGGAAATGTATCTATCTGTTTCATCGCCTGCAACTTTTTTTGCATCTCGGACTGCGAGTCAGTTGGATGGAGACTTGATTGACGGGCCGCCCAACGTTTTCCAGGAGAAATCCTTCCGGGGGCGCAAAAGCAACAAAAACCAGCTGGCTCCAGTCAGGATTGTATGTCTGTATGTCTGTATGTATGTAACTAATGTCACAGAAACACCCGCTGGTTACCGCCTAACCCAGAGCAGCAGTGCGGCGCCCGCCACAGCCCAATCAGCGCGGGTGCCGGCGGGGTGTTCCTGGTACTGTGACCGTCACGCCGTCCGTTCTCTTCCCGTTCCGCTGCACTAACCCAAAGCAAACAGCCCCCTTTGCCCCCTTCTCTTCTTTCTCTTTCTCTTCCTCTTCTTCTTCTTCTTCTTCTTCTTCTTCTTCTTCTTCATCCTCCCCTCTCCCCAGGGCTCACGATCCCCATCTTCCATCCCCTCCCTTCCATTCTCTCAATCTGTTATCACTGACCACCGCTTCACTCTTTCAGCGGGCATTCTTTGCTAGGACGGTTTTCACCACCATCCCAATTGTTTACGGAAGATCATTTCCCCTCCCCTCCCCCCCAAGAAGGGCCCTTATTGTACCCAATTTGCTGTCGAGTTATCTAGTTCGTCGCGCGTGCTTGGATAGCTCTCGAGAGGAGAGATGAAGGGCGTTGCTTTGTTGACCGCTGCGGCGGGTCTCGTGGGCTCTGCCTTGGCTGGCGGAAGCCCGTCACCATCGCCATGGCCATGCCGTCCTCCACCGCCGCAACCCTCAGACCTGCGGCTGCACCGTCAGGACCATCACCATGACCGGAGAGCCAACCTGTAAGTTGTTTGTAAAACATTCTGTTTTGAGCGTGTTTTCGGAAACAATGCCAAAAAGAAAACAACCAGAACAACAACAAGAGCCATTCTGGACGTGTTCCGACTAACATGAGACAATAGTGGTTCCGGAACCCGTCACTGAGAAGACCACCACCATCCGCTCCACCAGCTACACCACCGTGACCGTGTCCGTCACTCCTACCGAGGCAGTCCAGACTCCCACCGAGGCGCTCCCAACTCCCATCGTCACCGTCTACCCAACCCCTGGCACCTACACCGTTGAGCCAACCACCATCATCGTGACCAAGGAGACCACCGTCTGCGCCGCCACGACCACCGGTCTCTCACCAGGCGAACACACCTATGGAGGCGTCACCACCGTTGTTGACTCGCCAGCCACTCTCACCGTGCCGATCGCCACCGTCAAGCCCGAGGGAAGCACCTTCACCAGCGTCATCGAGAAGACCACCTATGTCTGCCCAACTGAGGGAACCTACACAATCGCCCCCTCTACCACCTCCGTCTCCAAGAGCACCGTCATCGTGTACCCAACTCCGGCCATCATCACTTCTGGAACTTACACCCAGCCTGGAGCCACCGTCACCGTCACCGAGACCGACTATGTCTATGTCTGCCCCACCCCAACCGGCATCGAACCCCCCAAGGTCGACCCTCCCAAGGTTGAGATCCCCGATGTTGAGCCACCCAAGGCTGAACCACCCAAGACCGAGCAGCCAACACCACCAAAGCAGGACAAGCCTGAGCCGCCAAAGACGCCTCAGATCGGTGGTGGTGAGAAATGGGGCATGACCTACTCTCCTTACACCGACGACGGCCAGTGCAAGGGTGCCGGTGACGTCAAGGCTGACATTGCCATCATCAAGCAAAAGGGTTTCAAGACCGTCCGCGTCTACTCCTCTGACTGTGACGGCCTCAAGAACATCGGCAACGCTTGCAAGGAGTACGGTCTCAGAATGATCATCGGCGTCTTCATCTCCAACACCGGCATCGAGGGCGCCCAGAAGCAAGTCACCGATATCGTCGAGTGGGGCCAGTGGAACATGGTTGACCTCGTCGTCGTCGGCAACGAAGCCATCTTCCAGGGCCACGCTGATGCCACCTCCCTTGCTTCTTTCATCGGTTCCTGCAAGGCCACCTTCAAGAAGGCTGGCTACAACGGCCCAGTCACCACCACCGAGCCCCTCAACATCTGGCAGGCCAATGCTTCCAAGCTTTGCGGTGTCATCGACATTCTCGGCGCCAACATCCACCCGTTCTTCAACTCCGATGTCTCCCCCGCTGATGCTGGTAAATTCGTCAAGGGCCAAATGGACATCCTCCACGGCCTCTGCAACAAGAAGGTCATCAACCTCGAGACTGGCTGGCCCAACGGTGGTGGTAACAACGGAAAGGCCATCTCTGGTCAGTCAGAGCAGGTTACCGCCATCAAATCCATCGTCAAGGCTGTTGGCAGCGACTCTGTCTTCTTCTCCTTCCGTGATGACCGCTGGAAGGAACCCGGCCCACTCGGTGTCGAGCAAAACTGGGGCTGCATTAACGTTTTCGGCTGAAGCGTCTAATTTGATCAGAGTAATTGTGAATGTCTTTATCTCCTTTTGATTCCCTTTTCCGCCTTGCGTTCCTTTTTTTTTTTTTTTTTTTTTTTTTTTTTCCTGCGTGGGGATTAACATCGGAATAAGCGGAGTTGTAAATGTTCTATTTTGTTTTTTTTTCCCTTTTCCAAAGTATACCATGGTCTGATTAGGAGAGAGGAGAATAAGTGATGAAAAAAAAAAAAAAAACCAACATATTCCCGGCTTTCTTGTCTTGTCAGACAAGAACAAACAGACTTTCTGGTCTTGCCTCTCCAGGAGTATTTCTTTTTTTTTTTTTTTTCAAAAACTTTCTAGAAATTCCTTTTTCCTCTCCCTTGCTTTTTCCACCTCCATGTGTGAATGTACATCCCTGGAACTTTTACGAACTAAAGTAAATAAGAACCCGTTCCCTCCCACCGGATAATTTGACCATCATAGAATATCCGCAGCACACGAGAGCCTGCGGCCAGCTCTCCCGGTGTTGAATTCCCTCCCCCGCCTTCCATAGAATTCGGCCTATGTCCTTCTAGTGTCTGTCTTACCTATTATGCTCCATTCTGTCTTCTCTTTTTCTTTTTTTCCCGCTGTCGGTATGAGATGTAAAAGAAGTCTATGATATCAACCTGCTCACTCCCCAAATCTCCACCCCCGTAGTTCATTATTTCATTTCCATACCAGCGCCAACCGCCGATGCAGCATAAAAGCCGCAGTCACTGCAACCAACGCCAGCACCACCTTTCCCAACTCTGGAATGTCAGGTAGCAGCGCGCTCCCGGAACGCGCAGAAGACTCCAACCAGAATTCCTCCTTCTCATCCTCTTGTCGCTCCTCGTATCCGACCGGTTCAAGGCCAAGGTCCTCATTATAAGCCTCGAGCTGCATTATCTTAAGCTCCACAACGCTCTCCAGGCCTTCGTACAGACCTCCCTGGCTCGCTGTCCGCGCGACCCTCTCCGTCTTCGACGACGGTCCGAAGGCACAGTTATCTAGCACGGTCCAGTAGATGGAGTCAAGGCTGAAGGGGTTGCGTATGGCGATGTTGAACCAGAACGTCTGCTCATCCATCGAGGCGCGCATGCGCGTAGAGAGGGATTCGCGGTTTCCAATGGGCATGTTCCGCTGGCGCTCTAGCTTCTCGATGGATTCGATGAATAGGTCGAGCTTGGGGAGGTAGGTTTTTAGAAATGAAGATAGCCCGTGGTCGTCGGCCCAGTCGCAGGGGTTCTTCAGCAGCAGCCATTCCGGAGCGCTTCCTAGAAACTGGGGAGGAGCCGCGTATGTGAACTCCCAGTCGATTATCCCGGTGATTTTGAGGGTTTCTGGGTCGACGAAGATGTTGCGGGGGTGAAAACCGTCGCAAAATAGCTTGAATGGCCCGTTGATATCTATGTCGTAGGTGAAGTACGGAACCGTAGAATGGAAGAGAGTGCGGCAGACATATTTCTCGCGGCAGTCTCGAGAATTATAAACAGCGTTGCGCTGCCGCATAAGATGGGTGACGTATTGGCCTGCTGTGTTTGAGAAGAAATCGAGCGCCGACTTGAAAGAATCAGTGTAGAGATCATCTGCGAGGACCCTGCCATATACCATCATGTCATTGATGCATGTCGTAAAAGCCGGCGTAAGGGTATCAAATTCCTCCGTGTCCATGTCCCAGCTTACGGTACCGATTCTATCAAAGTTTACCGCCCATAGCTGAAGAATGACTTCTGCAATCTCGTCGTAGAGCTTTCGAAGGAGCTGTTTGTCGACATTAGGATCTAGGATGGTCTCGTACATATCTTCCCCCACGGGCACCCGTTTCCCTATCAAGTCCGACATCCTCGTCCCCTCTACCCAGGTCATGATTATAAACGCGCCCAATCCCGTCGGATTCTCCGACGCACGCCCGTACGCGATGACCTTCGGAACCGGGATCTCGGTCTTCTCCGCGAGCAGCTTCAGCGTATCGACTTCGGCCACGACCTTCCCTTCGGACAGGTTGCACCTTGTCGGGATACAGAAGCGGATGAGCCAGTCCTCGCGCCCGTCCTCCCAGTGCAGGCGGACGCCGACGTTGTTGGACCCCCAGTGCTGTGAGATAAGGAGACATCCTGGCTCGCCCCTGTGCTCGTCGGCCAACGAGCGAATGCTGGTTCTGCAGGTGTTCAGGAGTTTCGTCCATTCCTCTACCAGGTCCTCCCGCTCCCGGTCAAGGGAGTGGTCGAACTCCATTGCTTTATCTCTTGACTGGCGCCTTAGTATAACGGGAAAAAAACAGAAAAACGACGCTTTCCTGGTTATGTGGATATGGATATTGTTGGAGGAAAAGGAGAATATTGCTCTCAGAGGATCCCCTGCGGGAGCAACGTTGATTGAGAGGCCACAACATGACAGCTGCGATCCGGGTGGAAGTAGCTTGTAACCATGGCAGTTGAAACCAAGGTCCTTCATGGTTGCAGCTTCTTTCGTTGCTCTTCTGTAGAGTATTCCAGGGAAGATGCCTTCTCTCAGTTGGAAAAAGGAGGATAGGGGCAGCTAGGGTTCACTGCGTTGTCGCGGCAATGGGTAGTTATTTCTCACAGCAGCCATGGCAGCGTGGTGTCCAGCTTGGCTGCAGAAGCCTATGTCAAACACACTGTTCTCATGGCGTTCATATCCTCTCTGCAAATCCAGGGTATTCAGGAAGGCACATGGCGCTTAGCTGCCGATGGATTATGCCCATGACAAGAGCAACCACAGCCTTTTCAGACAAAGGCTACATTCTCCTCTGAAAAAGTCAGGATCGTGCCCAAGAAGAGAGAAGGAGGACAGGATCGCTCCATGGTTGGTCATTCCCATGATATTTCAGAAATTCATGAATTCAAACGTCAGACATCACATATGTTGCCTACGGCTCCCCTAGCCGATTCGATACGTAAAAAAACACAGAGCAGAAGAAAAATAGCTGCAGCTCCCTCGCTTCAGAGGAACTTCTTCGCCAAGCCGAGCAGTCCAGAACCGCCTGACTGTCCGCCGCCGCTGACGCCGCTGGCCAGGCCTCCCAGTCCTCCAAGGCCTCCAAGGGCGCCTCCTCCGCCACCAGCTTGGTTCTTCAGGTACATCTTCAGCGCCATTTTGGCGGCTGAGTTGATGACGGACTGCTTATCGGTAGCCTAGAAAACACACCACGTAGTTAGCCCCTTTATCCCCAATTAATCAATTAATCACTTCCCTCCAGAAAAAAAGGGAAAAAAAAAATAAAATAAAATAAAATAAAATAATAAAAAAAGAGAAAAAGAAGGAACTCCAAAGAGAACCGTCAAACTCATACCACGTTCCCCTGCTGATTCTGCTGATCCCACAGCTTTCCAGCCTGAGCCATCGCCAGCCCAATCAACTTATTCTGATCATGACCACCGGTTTGCGACTGCTGGCCTTCGCCGCTCGTAAACATCTTCAACGCCTGCAGCGCTGCGCCATTGCCCAAGAAATCCGCATCATGCTTCCTCTCAGCTTGCTGCTGCTGCTGCTGCTGCTGTCCTCCACCATACAGCGCCTGATGAGCACCCACCACCTGCTGCTCGTCAATATCCTCCTGGCCAAACCGATCCTTGTGCTCGCTGATGAAGCTTAGAGCTTTCTTGAAGAATCCGGACTCCTCGTCATCCTCGTCGTCGTCTTCGCGCCCGGAGTTGTGGTATTTGGCCTGCTTGACGGCGTTGCTGAAGGCAGGATCGTAGTTGTAGCCGCCGGACCCGCCCTGGTACTGCGATTGCTGCTGGTATGGCTGGGACTGGGAGGAGAAGTCTGCGCGGGGATCGTAGTAGTTTGCACCGCTAGAGCCGCCGCCGCCGTACTCGGCGGGGTTGGGTGGACGGGAGTAGTTGGACATTTGGTTTCTGTGCTGTCTGTGTGGCTGGCTGGGTGGAATGGGGTTCACGGGTGAGATGCGGGTGATCTGGATGATGGAGCGATGCCGGTTCTTTTACCTCTGGCGTTGACGCTTTATATGGAGCATCGGCGGACGCGGTGAGTTGTGGCTGCAGCTGAGGAGCGGGGGCGACCGAGGGGCATTCATCATCGCCAAGCTGCGTCATAGCGAGGGGCAGCCGAAAACCCGCTGCTGCATATATATATATATATATATAGAGAGAGAGAGAGAGAGAGATACTCCGACAGGAACTGCATTTGCCCTCCGGTATTCTAACATCTAGTTAATCTAACATGTTCCCACAGTGATCGTGATTCGCCTTTTTTTTTTTTTTCTTCTGCGCCAAACTCCAGGATGAATTGAAAAGGCTGTTAGAAACAGGAAGAAGCATTGAAAAGAAATAGGTACTATAACACGCAACAGCCATCTGTCCGTCTGTCCGCCCGTCCAAGGAGCGGAATGAGAGCGGAGACGAGCAGCTCATGTCCCTTAAATCCATTGCTGTCTCGCCAAAGTTGACGCTGTGTATCCTGTTCAGACTCGACTGCATGTCACCGACTTAAATGCTCCCTCCAAACCGACCGAATGCGTAGAGAGTCCTCCGTCCGTCAACCATACCCGCCAAGCAGCGCTAGAAATGCAACAAAGCAAAGGCAATGCCATAGAGATATAAAACAGGGAAAAAACTGACAAGCGGTCGTACATCGATTCAGAGAAGAAAAAAGAGAGAAGAGCAAATGCAAAACAAGACAGCAGACAGAAAATAACAAGTCAGCAGGCTCAAGAAATATGTAAGAACACACAAAAACAAAGACCGACTTTGCCAGACTCAAAATCATGTAGAGAAACAAAAAAAAATCAAGGAGGGCAGTGCAGTTCCAACCCCAACACAAGAGTCTCCAAGTCCAGGCCATTTTCACAATAAATCAAAAAATGGCTGAGAATCAAGCATCTTCTCTCCAACATGCGACGAAAGCTGTCAGGTTACCGCTTAACTAAAAACAGCAGAGGCTAATCGCAGATTGTGAAACAGACGCATAGAAGTTGAGAAGCGGAACTTTTGGGCTGCTTTACAGCTCAGCATACTCCAAACGCCACTTTCATTTTCCATGGATGTTGTGCCCAAAGGAAAAAGGTAAAGAAAATAAAATTGAAAGCAAACTCCCCAAAGGATGCAAGATTAAAAAAAAAAAAAAAAAAAAAAATTAAGGAAGAAAAGAGGGAAAAAAAAGGGGGGGTAGAAAAACCATGCAGGAAACGCAAAAGCCTTCTTGACTGTTGTCACAAAATTACTCAAACAAAGATGTTCCCAAATAAGGATCACCAAATCGTCTCTTTTTTTTTTTCCCAAAGTCACTTCTCTCCTATTCAAACTGGGATCAAATGCTCCCCTCTATCCCAAGAGAGGATCAAGCATCTCATACTGTGTATCGTTGAACAGCTTTTGAAACCGTATCTTGCGCTCTCCTGAACCCAGTACGCACCGCGGGTCATCGTCGAGCCGCGCCTCGGGCAGCCATTCGTTTGGCAGGTCGGGAGAATAAAAATCACCCTGAGCCTCGATGCGTCGCCGTCGCGTGTGTCCGATTCCAAACTCCTGCCCCCACTCGCGACGGTCGAATTCCATGAATCCGCCGAACTTGGTGTCCATGTTGGCAACCCAGATCCGACTGCCGTCCGGGGAGTAATCCGCTCCGCCTATCTCGCCGAAGAAATCGTGGACTTGACGCGTCTGGTAGGTCTGCGCGTTGACGATGGCGATGCGATCCGCGGGTTCACACATGAGCAGGGTGCGTGGCCCACCGCCGACGGGTGAGAAGCGGAGAGACCGATATCCAGCAACGTCGGAGTCGATGACCTGCAGAGTTCGCCACATGCGCGCATCCCAGATGTTGACGGTCTTGTCCTGGTTGCTGGTTGCGATGTGTAGCATATCCGGCGACCACGCGCATGCGAACCCGTAGTCTCGATGGCCGATCAGGGTCTGGACCGGTTTGCCCGTCTCACTGTCGATGATCCAAGCATCCGGCGCGTCGCCAATAATCACACGTAGGCGACCGTCTGGCGAGGTATCGGTGCAGTTGATCGCGCGAGCAAACTTGTGCATGGACACGAATCTATTCGTCTCGCAGTCGAGAATCCGGATGCGGTCGTCATTGGATGATATCACGGTTCGAGGGCTGTTGCTCGTCCGGTGTTTAATGATATCGATGTGGTTAGTTATCCCGTTGGGGTCTCTGGTAACGCGGCCGTCCATGACTGCAAAGTCATTGATTTCGCCTCTAACAGCGTACTCGCCTGAGAAGCCGCCGACAACAGTGACCCCGTGCTTCGCCCTCATCGTCGATATCTTAACAGAATCAAAGAACGTTGCCGAAGGAACGGGGCCCGCGAGATTTATCAGGCAATTTTGCTCGCCGTAAAACGGAGTTATAGAATACACTTTTGAGTGAGACGCATACTGTATGGTGTTCGATGCCGTCACGGACATAAGGTTCCGAAGTTGGAAATGCGCCATGGAAGCTCTATATTTGGTGTACATCGTCTTTGGCCGGAAATAATCTTCCTTCTCTGGCAACATTCTGTAATACTAAAATAGACGGTCAATCCTCGAAAGCAATTTACAAAGTTAAAAAAAGGAGGTGTAGATCCTCACGCCATGTGGTGTGTATTTCAGGTTGTGATACGAAGTGTACAACCTATCCCTCAGAGCTCGAGCATCTGATCTCTTCACCTTCAACGTCGTGGACCACGGGATTCCTTGAATATCGTATAATCTTGATGAATCGGGCCGTGAGATCTTCGCGGGGCGTTCCCAATCTAGAACATTTGCGGCTTCGGGCGAGATAGGAACGAAGGGCTCTTTGAACGCGCGTAGATGGTATCGAGGAATGCAGGATCGCACGAACCATTGTCTTATGAACTGATCGACGGTAAGGTTCCGCTCGAACGCTGGATATTGATTTCCATTAGCATCAATGTAGATATCGCCTTCTGGGGGTGCAAGGAGTGCTGCGAGTAATGAACTAGCAATGTGTTCTTGATCTGCGAATGTTTGCAGAATCAAGGCGGGCTGGATATAATAAATGGAGTACTCCGAAGGTTGATGAAGGTCATAATACTGCTCTTCTGTCAAAAGAGGACGTGCCGGCCTCGTAGAAGATGAGGACGCTCCAGTGCTGTTTGCTGTTTCGCATTGCGAAGGGCACTGTTCTTCAGGATGGCATCGCGGCAGGGCTGGGGCCTGCGGGAGAATGAAGGGTGCACTTCCATTCAGAGCGGTGTCCAATCTGGAAGATTCGCATGAAACAAGAGCCAGCACAAGCTTTCTATACCGGGCAGGGCTATGCGGGGACGCATATAGAACCCTCGACCCAGACAGAAAGGAGATTATCGGCTGGTTGACAAAGATATCAGTATGTAAAACACCGGGTATAAAGCCTTTGTCCAGGTGGCGCTTAGCAGCGACAAGAATCTGCGAGATTCTTGTTCCAACCAAGGTAGAAAATCGGTTTGCAAAACTAAAGCCTAGTTTCTGCACATGCAGCGAGATGCCTTCCATGTTGAATAGGTGGTCATCGGCGAGTCGAATGTTTCTAGGGCTCGGCGCTTGTACAATTGTGCGGGAAGACACGGCAACAGAAGAGTTTAGGAAAGAGGCTTTCATACTTTCGGTATGCATTGATAGCCCACCTTGATTATTGAAATCTCCATCAACTTCACCATCGTTGTGTTGGGCGTAGACGGCATCGAGCGAGGGTAGGTGGGGCGTACCGAGGGGTACAGGATGCGCGCTCGTCTCGTGGTCAACCCGATGATCTTCGGCGATCGCTCCGTTGTGGTGTATGCGAGTGTCCGTCGATCTGCCTCGCCCAGGTGGTTCCGAATCCATGGCGGCGTCCCCCATAGAAACCTCGTCGTCTGAGGCGTAGAATTTGTCGGTATCCCGGTCGTCGCAAGAATCGTTCGGGTCGTTGACGGCTCCAAAGAACATGGCTGAGGGGAGTCTATCGTGCGCAAAGCCAAAGAGGTCGGAACGTTCGATCAGGCTGCCATCGTCTCTGATAAAGCGGAGGTGAGCGCTGTGTAAGCCATCACTGACCTCGTCGCCGAAGCCCTGATCTGCGAACGCGTATTCGTCGTTGTCGCCGTGGTCGTCGTGGTCGTCGTGGTCGTCGTCATTGTCAAGAGCCATATCATCGTACTGCAGCCCGTCACCGAAGTCGGGCGGTGCCACGTAAGAAGGCGTGGTGGGGTCAGAAGGGGCAGCTGTCGCGAAAGAAAAGGGATCGTGTATGTTCATGTCCTGGTCGTCGGGGTCGAGGTAGGAATTGTTGGAAGCGGTGGACGACAGCCCGTCGGCGAAATCGGAGACGAAGTCCATGGTTGGTGCGTAGTAGAAGTGGCTGAGATCTTCGACGAGTTCGCCGAACGGCTGACCATCTTGTTCGGGGAAGGATAACAGGTCATTGCTCGAACCGTACTCGGCTCCCAGGGTCAGACCGGGGTAGTCGTCGAGGCTCTGGGTGCTGCTGGCGTCGCTGCTGAAATCCGAGATGTCGACTTCTGGGCTGCCGTCGTGCGCCCCGTTCGCGTTGCTGGTGCCGTCCGGGTCGCGGGCTTCGCTGCCGCCGCTGCTGCTGCTGTGGTGGTGGTGGTGGTGATCGTGCGCCGGCGGGCTCGGCACGCCGTCGGCAACCTTGCTGGCGTCACGTGGCGCTGTCTCGGGCGCAGGCGACTCGGCGACGGCGAGGAGGTTGTTGTTGTTGCTGGCAGCGCGGCCGAGAGCGCTCTCGCTGTGGTCGACCATCTTTTCTTTTCTCTGCCGCTCGACCCGCTCAGCTTTGCATCCCGTAATGTAACTGATCGATGCGAGACGTGGGCCGGATACGCACAGCGAACAGGGACCAACGGCCAAAGGGCGGGTTTGCTTTTCGGCAGTCCCCGCTCCGGGATCGTGAGATCTGACCTTTTGGCGACGTTCTATCGATGTAGTCGGCAGGTCAGGTTATCCTCCAGAGGAGAAAAACAAACCCAGGGCCGCTTGAAGCAGAAAATTCGCCAAACGGGGAGAGCAGATATTCGAGGCGGTGCCTTGGGCCCTGGAGCCAGCCAATCTCGAGCACGGCCTGTCGGTCCTGGCCGCCCATTCACCACGTAAGCATTAACACATCACCAAACAGTTTGCTCCCCGGGAGGAGGAACATACCTATCCGGGAAAACCAACTCAGAGGGTACGGTGGCCCGGCAGTCTTGCAGGACGGGTTTTATCTGAACTGGGGACGCGCTCAACCCGCTCACCAGATGTAGATGGAGGGCTGGATGAGCGTGTCACGAAAAGCGCAACCCAAGCACTTCCAAGCGGAAGAGACACTCGATCTAGCAGTGGGGCCAAGAAGGCGTCCTGGGAGATTGTCCTGGAGGGAATAACAGGGGGAGAAAATGGCCGGTGTGAAGAGGAATGAAACAAAAAAAAAAGACACCAGCGGGGAAGGGCGAATTCAGGATCACAGGGGACAGGACCTCCTTCAGAGTCCTTGTCCTTGCTGGCCTCTCAAGAGTGTAGAGCAGGGTAGGATTTTCTCTTTCTTTTTCTTTTTCTTTTAGTTTTTCTCTTTCTTTTTCTTTTAGTTTTGGAGTGTGAAGTGAGCTTCACCTGTTGACGTGTCTGTTATGGTTGGAGGGGCTACGGGCAGACGTTCTGATGGCCCTGGCAGCGGTCCGGAGTAGGAGAAGAGGGGATCCGGAAGCGTTCTGAAGATAGAGTGAGTATTTGGCACCCAAGAGCGCTGGAGAACTGTCTGCGTGGAGCCTGTGAAGGTGAAACAACAGAAAGGACTGACAGGGAAGAAGCAGTCAATGTGGATGTTACTGCGGAAATGGCTCAGGTGGGAGAGAGAAGAGTAAAGCAGGGGGTGGGAGAGAGAGGAAGAGAGGAAAAGAGAAAAAAAATGGAGAGAGAAGACAGAGAGAGAGAGAGAGGAAGAATGTGTGAGAAGAACTGTGAAGAATCACAGAGGAGGGGCTGAAAGGACTGGGAATTGCTCTACTGGTAAAGGTGACGGGACGCGAAGCAGGACAACAGTGAGTGAGAGAGTGATGGCGGAATGCTTGCAGAACATGCTCCCCAGGCCTTCTTCACAGCTTCTTCGACAGGGGGGGGGGGGGTCCCATCAACCCGCTGGTGAGGCCAGGATTGACACTTAGACAGGCCAGGGAGAAAGAGAGACGGAGAGACAGAGAAACTACGTAACTTGAACCGTGCAGCTGGCTGCTTCTGGGATGCCGACAGCAACGCGCCGCCCGTGGGGTTATTTTCGGGGGGCGGCCGCCTATCTGCGCTCGATGGGGAAAAGGCCAGCAGCAGCAGCACACGCTTGACGTTTTGACAGGGATCTGCTGTGCGGAGTGACAAACCCTGCCCGCTGTTGATCAGAATCCAAGGGCCTGAAAAACCTTCTGCTCTTCGCGCTCTGGGTTGGCTGCATCGTCCGGGCATGTATGTATCAGAGTGTGAATGGAAGCCCGACCTGCGTGCCAATCATGCAGGGGTTCAACTCTCCCGCCGGTTGAACCAACTCATTCACTTCTAATAGTTTAACTTAACTAACTTAGTTTTACAGTACTCAATTGGAAAAAAAAGAAAAGAATAGAAAAAGAAAAGAAAAAGAAAAAGAAAAGAGAAGAGAACATAAAAAAGAGAAACAAAAAAAGCCAAAGAACCCAAACAACATGACCTGTCCAATCTACGCCCTCGTCCGCCCGCCTCGTCTCCCGCCACCATCCAGGTCTGAGTCGTGACAGCGCCGTCGCCCTTCACCATTCCGCACGTGCAGCAGCCCTTCAGCTGTGCGTCTGGCATGCGATACGGCTGTCGACGCAGCTCGCCGCTTCGGGACCTCCATCGACGCCTCTGTCCGACCACCTTTGAAAGGTTGAAACTCTCTCTCCCCTCGTTGCCTGCCACTCCCGCCGTCATTGTCTTGCCGTTCCGTCGCAACCCATGTCTTCCCCCCCTCAAGTAGTTATGGAACTAGTATTGATGGACAGCGTGAGGCAACTTAAACCAAGCTTCTCTTCCTAACTGACTACCTACCATCGACGTAGGCATGCCGTGTGACAGGTATGTTATTATTATTCATTATAGTCTTATGCAGTCAATGACGGGTATGTACTCCGTACGTGCGATCCTTAATCCTTTCCCTCCAAAAAAAAAAAGAAAAAAAAAGAAAAAATGTGCCCGTCGCTCAAACGGCCAAAGCCCCTTGGGCCAGGCATCGATTTGCGATAGGTCAACTTCGTAGAGAAGAAAACAAAACACCCGTCTGCCCGCTGCGAAGCAAACTCGCCCCAATTCGGAAACGAGTAGAGTTGCTCCCCCAGAGATATTAGAACTAACTAATCAGGTCGTCTCGTCTCTCGCATCTTAAGACTCATCTCTCTCTTTCTCTCTCTCTCCATCTGTCCGTCTTTCTTTGTGTACGCAGTACTCCGTAGGCTGCTGGGGAACTCTCCTGATCCTTGTTGGCTCGGCAAATGCATTTCGACGAACTCCGGTTCGTCCTTTCAAGGCAGCCACTGCACAAAAGCCGACTCGTTAAGTGTCACCTGGCTATGATGTCTTGGTTGGTCTCTTTGCCAACGAAGAGCAGTCTTTAACCGTTTATGACCTGATGCGCTTTCCGTGAGGCAGCGGGAGATACGCGCTCGTGTCCGCAAATCCTCTCCGTGGACTAACCAATACAGGAGTGTTGTCATACACCACGAAGAACATGAAAAGAAAAAAGAAAAATGCAATTCACAGATATTTCCCGACACCGGGATTTTCTCGGGACCCTCTTTTCCTTTTCTTTTTCTTTTTCTTTTTCTTTTTTCTTTTTTCTTTTTTTTTTTTTTTGTGGTGAAACGAGCTCTGATATCCAAATCCCGACCGGCGTCGCTAGTTTTAGCGGAACGGCGGGCATCCCAAGCATCTGGGAGTTAACCAGCGAGCTAATCAACGAACTACACGCAAATCGGATAGTTCGAGAGCAAGAGAACTGTCCGACGGGGTCTCGTTACTTTGGTCTGGATCGAGAGTCGTGCAAAGAACCTCTTTCGCTTCTAGACAAGATCCCTGTGGTCATGGTTGTGCGACCCCGCTCCCAGATTAACTCGTTACTCGAGCGCTATCAAATACATACATACAATTTTTTTTTTTTTTTTTTTCCTGTCCCTCGATTCCGATTTGTGTTTTTAGAAGAGAAAGTTTGCTGCCGGGTGCGAATGCCGTCGAGGAAGCGAGACCATACCTTTTCATTCTGGACTATCAGTGCATTCATTAACCCCCATTCTATTCAATGTCCCTGCTAACTGCATCCTTCTTGGATAGAAGAACTGCCGCACTGCTCATGTTGCCCGCCCATTCCAGTTCTTGGCTGCGATGTGAGATTGACATACGGGCATATGTTAAGGCTATCATACCCTACATATACCGTTATTATGAGGCTTTATACTAATTGTTTTCCCTTTACCGAAAAGTCTTCTCGAGTTTGTTCCATAGTAGGGAGGTGTACGTTTAAACAAAAGGACGGTAAGGCTAACCATTCACGAAGCAGGCCGAGCGTGTGCGACATCCGCCTCAGCTGGCTAGTCACAAAGCCAAGAGAAGATTGTTCTGTCCGTTCGCAAATTTGAAGATAAAATCAACATTGATTCACGGTGGAAAACTCGATGCGTCAGGAGAAATAGTGAACTACTTATATTGATCCCTTTTCTCTATCTACACACACACACACACACACACACACACACACGGGGCGCAGCCATAGTTGCCCATATCCCCCTCTCCATCCACTCGTATTGGTATCACCAGCTTTTCTCATAAATCGAAGACAGAAAACAGATACATCCCTCCCGGGAGAAACAACACAGAAAACAAAGCCTTCACGGGCCTAATATTTCAACAAACACAACAAAAGGGTGTCTCTCTCTCTCTCTGTGTGTGTGTGTGTGTGTGTGTGCGCGTGTGTGTGTGGCTATACAATAAATACATGCACGGCTTGGATTTACATCATAAAATAAAATAAAAAAAATAAAAAAAAAAAAAGGACGAGGGGAGCGAAAAAGTAGGAAGAAAGAGGAGAAAGTGGCCAAAAACTTAGACCCTGGTGGTTTCGCAAAAAGGAGACACAAGAGAAGTGTATACGATAGAACAGCACCAAAGCGGAGGGAAAAAAAAAAAAAAAAAAAAAAAGAAAAAAAAGGGGAGACGGAGAACTAGGAAATGGAGAGGGAAGAGGACATAATTAAATTATAGCAGAGAGTAATAACTCCTGATGGCTAGTAGTTAATAGTGGGCATGGTTTCGTGACAAAGAAAAGCCTCTCTCTCCAAATCCCCTTAACAGTAGGTTAAAAAGGGGGGATGGGGAAAAGGACTGGGCCAACATGACATGACTCCTAACATGATGCCTTGTTTCTATCACAGGCAGACAGGGTAATAATAAAAAAGAAGAAAAGAAAAGAAAAGGGCAACCCAAGTATATGGACAAAAAATTTAAACAAAAAAAAAAAAAAAAAGAAAGAAAGCAGCAACGTTTTCCCAAAATCCAGAAATCTAATAATCGGATTCGTACACGGAATTACGATGCGGATAATGCGCAAAATTAGTCGTTGATTGTGAGAACGCTCCGGCACCAGTTCTTATGCGACGTTCTAGCAAGCGGGAAGAAAAGAAAATGATTAGCATTCGTTGTCCCCTGACCAAAGGAGGAACAGCGTATACAATACCTTTCTCAAAATCACGCCACCGTTTCATCGTGATCTTGCTGCTGTCGAACTCCCCCTCATACTCGATACCGGCCTTCTTCGTCTTCTCCCCCGCCGTCTTGCGCGTATCACCCCAGCTGAAGTCGTCGAATTTCCAGTAGGCGTACGTGGGCAGGACAAAGTTCCATATCGGCAGAGACAGCAGGTAAATAAACATCCACATGACGTAGGACAGGCGATGCGCCGTGACGACGATCAGAACAGCGGGGAGACCGAGAATGAGCGCGAGAAGGATGAGCGGAATGATCTGCACGGGTTTCTTGATGATGGAGATGATGACGACGTAGAAAGTGAACGAGATGGCGGCGGGGAGGACCAGGGTGCCGACGAGCTCCATGAACACGACGAACTGCATGCTGAAGCAGAAAGTACCGCAGAGGTCGCGCACGAGAATGAGTTCCATCAGGTTGTGAACGGTACTGTTGATCCACCGACGACGCTGAGAGAGAAGGACCTTGAACTCGTCCGGCACGGTTGTTTTACACACGGCCTGCGGAACGAAGACCTGCTTGCGCTTGGGGAAAGTCTTGAGCATCAGCGTGGATAGGTATCGATCTTCGCCAAGAAGTAACAGGTTCTTTTTGTGCAGGGTGTCGACGACGTTCTCGGAGTAGTGCTCCACCACGTCCGGATTGGCAAGGATTGGCACCCAGTAGTTCTGTCCGCCCTTGGGGGCCTTTATGCGATACATACAGAAACACCCGGGCAAACAGGTAACACCACCGAAGACGGACTCGAAAGACTTTGACAGATGATGGGAGATGAAGTACTCAAACACCTGAATCATCGTGACCCAGCTCTGAGCTTTATTTGCAATCTTCGTCTCGCCGCAGAGACCCATAATTTCAGGATCGCTGACCATCGCAGAAATCATATGCGTAAGGCTGTCCGGGAACACCTTCGTGTCGGCGTCGACCATCAGAACGATCTCGTAGAAATCCGGCGATATTCCTGTGATCTTCCACAAGCCGTTGAACATTTCGAACTCGAGCTCGGTCATCCGCTCGTCAAACATGACTTTCTGAAGGAACGACATCAGGATGATCTGGCTGTCACGTTTACCCCTGTTTCCTGGTTTGCTGTTCTTCGCCTCGTCCGGGGTTCCGCATTTCACGATGACCATCATCGGAACGCGCTGCTGCTTCTCGCGGGGAACGACGGAATTCTCCCCATAATCGTAGAATCCGGCGTACACCTTGGCCATGTTGTGCCTCTTCGCTCCACTGGCAACGGCAACGTACGAGAACGCTTGGACATCTTCCGGTAGCACGGCGTAATCGCCCATCATGCCGAGACAGATCTCCGGAGTGGTCAAGCTTTCGCCTTTACCCTTGATCATACCATCGCAGATAACGATGATCGTCTTGTGGCTGTTCGGATAGTCCGTCATGGCGATGGAATCTAAGGTTGTACGGAGACCCTCCTCGCCTTCAGAGTACGCGGTGACCAGACAGATAGCATGCGCCAAGGGGTAGCCAAACGGTTGCCACTCGGGGGGTGGCTGGGGAACAACGGCCTCGTGGATAAGTTCGGCGGGACCCTGGCCCTCGATGTCGCTGATGGTAGAGTAGCGAGGATCCGGAACCATGAGACTGGACCGACTGGCGGCGACGCTCTGACGATTGAAGGGCTCGGCGCTCAGGGTAGCCTGGCTGGAATTTTGACCGGCTTTGTACATGGCGGACGGCGCGTTGAGGCGGCTGCCTGCGTTCTGGCTTGCCATTGTCGTCGGCACGGGCCGCTGCTTTTGAGCTCCCATGACGTAGGGGCTGGAGAAGCGGGATGTCGTGGGGAACAGGCTGCTTCCACGCTTTCCTGGCGCGGCGGGATCGTTCAAGCGTGGGCCAGGGCGATATATATCATCACTCCAGTCTTCGATCTGGCGCTTGCGCTCTTTCGATTGTGGATCGATCGCGGTCTTGGGAGCTGCAAACCGCCTTGCGATAAACCATTGGAAGCCCAGTGCGAGGAAGAACTTGACCGAAACAACGGAGAGGATGAACACCAACGAGATGTACAGGACGACCTTGGAGGCGATACAGCCGACGGTTTCGGTGTCCACGGAGCCCACCTTGACGATCTCGGATAGACATCTCGCAATCTTCTTATCCTCGCCCGACTGGAACATATGAGTGATATCCACCCCCTTGAGGTCCGGGTTGGTGCGCAGATCATCGAATCGTGCCGGGTAGACGACCTGGCTGGTATTGAACCACGCCAGGAGATCTAGGTCGAGAACGTTGCCGGAGTAGACCACCAGATTACGGGTCTTGTTCTTGACGTCGTCCCAGGTGAAGTAGACCTCGCCAGCGCTTTTCAGATTGTAGAGGGCTCTTCTCGCTTTGCCCGTGGTGTGGCAGGCGTATCCGGTGTATCGGGGCTCGGTGAAGTTTGGCCTGGTCGAACCATCCTGGTTGAACAATGAGCAAGGGAAATACCAGCCCATCTCCTTTTCGGAATTCGTCGGTATCTCGGAATTTTCGACAGCGGTGATGAGCCCCTTGCACTCGCCGTTGACGTTCTGGAAGAGGAAGCTCGCGTCCTTGCCACCGTGTTTTTCGGGCAGGTCGAAGATAACGTTTGAACCGCCGGGAATGCCGATGGCGGCAGGATGGCTCGATTCGACCAAGTCGTACGCTTTGCCGTGGATGATCAGGTAGCCGAGACCGACGTGGTTGACCTTGAGCCGTACGCCTGGGCTGCCGCAGACGACCTGGGTGAAGCCAAAGGTGAGGAAGCCGACGAAGCCGCAGATCAGGAGGATCAGACTGATGAGGCCCATCTTCTCACGCCAGGCCCTCCTCTGCGCCTTGGCGGGCATCCCGAAGCACTTCAACAGGAAATCGGGGCACCAGAAGGTGACCATCGCGCAGTACACGTTCCAAAGGCTGGGCGGCCGGATCGCATCCAGCTCTTTCTGACGCCTCTTCTCCTCCTCTCTATGGGACCTGGACGCCTTCCGCGACAGTTTTCTGCGCACGTCGTCCTTATTCTTGCCTCCGCCGGCACCACCGGCGGGGCGTGAGGATCTGGCGGCAGGGTGTGGCCCACGGCTGTAGTCGAGGCTTGGGATACCGCCGCCGCCGCTGCTGGCCTTTTCACGTTTCAAGCTCTTCGTGTCGGTGCTGCCGGAGCTGACTGTCTCGGCCTCGATGGGGTCCTCCATGACGGGTTCGTTACCGGTCGTGGAGGGGTAGGTGGGCATGTTCTGGGCGTGCTGGCGGTAGTGGTAGTTTGGGTGGTCGCGGTTCATGCGGGTCCTCTCGGGCCGGACGAGGCTGCGCTTGCGGTTCAGGCCACGAGGGGAGGACATTGAGTCGTATTCCTGCGGCGAGGACGGGGAGGGGGAGCCGGTGGAGAAGTAGCCTTGATTCCGGCGCGACTGCGAGGAGGGGCTGGCGGGGCTGTCGGTGTATCCGCCCGACTCGATGTCATGTCTCCGCCGGTGGTAGGAATCGCGGAAGGAGGGCTGTTGGGACAGTTCATGCCTCCCAGGCCGTTGTGGGAGCGACATGGTGTCAACCGCGCAAGTCGGACTGTGAAGGGTTCCCCGGTCAACCAATGAGCCCAAGGGATCTCACAGTGAATTGTATGTTTGGGGGGGGTATGAGAGGGAGGTATGAGAGCGAGGTATGAGAGGGAGATATGAGAGGAAGATATGAGAGGGAGGTATGAGAGGAGAGGGTTGGAACTGACGCTGTCTGATATCAACAAAAGGGAATTTTGGGGTGTGGTCCTCTTGGAGATATCAGGAGAGTATCTAAAAGAGATTAGGGCTACGAAGCCATGCGATGCACCTCTGGATGGCTAACTAAGAGGGCCAGCCGAGAATAAAAGTAATGGTAACAGAAAAAAAAAAAAAAGAAAAAAAAAAAAGAAAAAGAGAGAGGTAATTGGGTAGGGTGAGAATGGTGTCGTAGGGGTGTCCCGATGGTTTTGCAGCCCCCTTCGAGCCGTACTCGCGTCACGAAGCAGGGCCGGTGTATATGTGTGTGTGTGTGTGTGTGAGAGAGAAAGAGTGAGAGATTGGACACCGAAAAGACGACACGGGCAGAGAATCAGTGCAAAAAGAAGCGATCGCGATGCCAAGTCAGAGTGCAGATGGATGGGGATGGCGGAAAAGAAGGCGGGCTCTGAGGCGGAGTTGAGCGAGTGACGAGAAACAAGCAAAAACAAAGACGGTATCCCCCTTTTCCTTTTCTTTTTCTTTTTCTTTTATCTCTTTTTTTGTTTGTTACTAGTAGATTGGTGAGGTAAGAAACGAGAGGCTCGATGGAGAATGCTGGAGACGAGGGTTCAGGAGGGCATCGTGGAGCAAATCCAGGCACGAAGGCGCAGAGACAGACAGACAGACAAGAAACAATAACAAGACAAGACAAGACAGACAGAAAAGAACAAGACAAGACAAGACGAGACGAGACGAGACGAGAACAGAAGTGCTTCCTGGCTGGGGATTTGCGCTGCTGCTGCTCTGGCGTCTTGTAAATTCTGTATTGTTGTTGCAGCGAAAAAAAAAACAAGGGGCAGCAGCCACAGAGACACCGCCGGGTGGTTTGGCTTGTAATATTTCCAGGCTTGTTGTCTGAGACATCCAGCCGACCATACCTCATCTGGACAAGCGTCGCCGCGATGGACGAATCAGCGAGTGTGGAGCAGCAGGGACGGGTCGATGAAGCTTCCATAGTGGCGACGAACGCGGCGGCTGATTGGCCGTGTGGGATCGAGTCAGGCTCCAAAAATGGACAAGCTCAAGGTCCAGTAATTACCGTACGACGTTTCGCACGGGTCACGCCGGGCAGCGAGCCAATGGCGGGCACAGACGGGCGGCCAATGCGAGCCGGCGAGTGGAGCATAAGTTTCACAATACAGGGCGTGACGGGGGAGATTTTCGTGACACATGGAACCGAGTGGCAGACTTGCCGTGGCCAGCCATTTCCATCATTTCCATCGTTCCATTCGGCCTGGAGAAACTCGGGGGAAAAGTTGGTGGGGTTGAACCGATGTCACGATTGCCGGGCACGGCCGTCAGGCCACCACAGAGCCACGTAGTAGAGGTAGTAGAGGGAGAGTATAAAGTAGAGTATGTACCTGCATTTGAACCCTCTCTTCTCTATCGGCTTCTCCCCCTCTCAGCTGCCTAGAGATTAGAAAGTAACCTGGTTTTTGTCGACCGGATCTCAGAAACTTCCCTCCCAACCCAATCCCGGCCCTGCCAAGTGCCGACGATACCCAGTCGACAGCACCCGAAAAGGAAAATAATGACAAATCGAGAAACAAACACACAGAGAGAGAGAGATAGAGAGAGAGTAACCATACCAAGTTAATTAGCACCTGCACTCAATCTCATGTTGGGCAATAATTTTAAGGTTTGACTACTCACTCATTGTAGGGTGGCTGTACGGAGTTACCGAGTACATCTACGCATTCACACTGCCACCTATATAACATTAAGCTCTCAAACAACGCATTGGATCTGATAAACTTCTTCTTCAGTGTGTCAACTGCTAAGAATGGAATGTCTGGTTACTCCGTACATGCCTCGGGGGGTCCAAAGTCACTCAATGATTTGACCCACAACACTTTCGGACACTGATGTCAGAGGCTGAAGTTGAGCATCCATCCACTTTTCAACCACTGACTGACCCTACTCTGTACTTTCTTTTCCATTGACAGGAGGGATTGGCATCATTGAGGATTGTGAATAAGCATGGAACTAGCCAGCCGATGCCACACACTCAATTGAACCACAAAGGGCAGAATCAGTCTGTTGTGAAACATCCGGTAGGCCGGTCTCAAAAAAGCCCATCTGCCGTCATCGTCGTGTCGCTGCACGATTCTCTCAAACATCAACAGCGGCATCCAGGTCCAGCATCGCACTCGCGGCGCAGGAAAAAAAAAAAAAAAAAAAAAAAAAAAAAAGACTTCAGCTCATCCAACAGCTCCATCCCCCTCGCCAATCATCAGCACTGAGCTCGAGGATGGTGAAGGGAGGGAATGGGTGCAAAACTGGCGTCCAACAGTTGGGACGGGTTCGGTCCTGAGAAACATCAGGGAGGCAGTCTCCGGAGAAAGCTGCTCTTATATATATATATATATATATATATTGAGAGCTCTCATCATGTACTGTCATGGTGAGCAGTAGTGTGTGGGCAAGCAGCCCAGAGTGTCAGTGACATTGAGAGCAAAACTTAGTTTATTATTAACTTGACTGCTGTATCATATAGTTAGCTGTCAGACTGTTCAATGAAGCTTGAATGACATGTTGATATGATACATATATACATATATAGCATTGAAAACAAGCTTTCATCTGATAGGCTCAGTTACTGATAAACTTTGTTACCTATCGATATAATCTGCATGAGCGTTTACCTTCACTCCTACATGTCCTTTCAGCCGGTCAAGTCAAGAATCCACCACGATCCATGTTCTCCATCTGCCAACCGAGGATGGCGCCCTCGAAACGCTTCAGCCTCACGACTCCATCTTCCGCCACCATCTTCCGCCGTGGCACCGGTGTTGACGTGATCCACGTGGTGCAAGATGTTCTTCAGACCGGGGCGCTCGATGCGATTTACGAAAGAGAGGGGCCGAGGTTGATCTACAAATACACAACACAGACAATACCCTGTCTTTGTTGTTCATGTCAATACGCTCGAGGGCAGGGAGAATGCTGACTGAGCCAACAAACTTTTCTCAATGAGCTCCCATTAACGAGTTCTTGCACTCAAGATTTGAAATAGCAAATCGTGGTGTTTAGAAAGGGATGTTTTTTTTTTTTTTTTTTTTTTTTTTTTCATGCATAACCCAGCCTCAGTTGACCGGGTTATTTAAAAGCGGCAGTCCCGCCTCTAGCGCTACTCTGGGCCCAGAACGATATGTAGATAAAAAAATTTGGAATTAGCAATTTATGGGGACAAATCCCGATCATTAACAGGTAGTTTACCATGTTTAGTTGGGTCCCGGTCTTTTAAGAGACTGCTCGATTAGTAGGAGGTTCAGGCTCACTAATTATTAGAGTCTTTTTCACAGAGTGCATCTCCACAGGCTAAAATATAATAATTAGGCAGGTTCAGCCCGCAAAATTGAGGCTCAACAACAAACCAAAAACACAAATAACATAATGCCGGGAAAGAGCCGGCCGCAGCATCCCTGTAGTAGCAAGACCGGTCTTAATTCGTCTTTTCTTTCTTCTTCTTCACCTCTTCTTCTTCTTCTTTTTTTTTTTTTCTTTTTTCCCCTTCTCCACCTCTTCTTTTTCTTTTCCTTTCTACTTCTTCTTCTTCTTCTTCTTCTTCTTCTTCTTCTTCTTCTTCTTCTTATTATTCCTTTTCCTTTCCTTTTCTTTTTCTTTTCGGCTGTGGCGGACTACAGATCTCTTGAACTGGTGGAGTCGAGACAGATGCGGTCAGAGATGCCGAATTGGGTTTGGTTATGCGGTCGACTCCAGATGGAACATCCGCTAATGGTCACGGCGTCTCATCCCACCCCTCCGAAGCATGCTGGACTGTGTGCATATAGTCATGGTTATGCAGTTATGTTACTTCACAGTGTCAATATGCAGAGAGGGGTATCCAATTAAAAGAAAATAAAAGAAAATAAAAGAAAATAAAAGAAAATAAAAGAAAATAAAAAATAAAAGAAAATAAAAATAAAATAAAATAAAGTAAAAAAATATTCAAATGAAAAGACAAGAAAAACAGAGTCAGGTCAGGTCAACTCGTGACAGGAGATGCATCTCCGGTGTCTTGGGTTCATGGGCATGTCTCAGGCAAAACAAAGAGAAGCCCCGTCGTACATCATAATCATCATCATCATCATCATCATCATCCTCCTGCTGCCCGCTTGCGACGAACCGCACGTGGCGGAGGCATCAATGCTTAGCCGAAGTGACTCGACGAAGCACGCAATATTTTCCCTTTTTCTTTCTTTTTTTTTTTTTTTTTTTTTTTTTTTTTCTCCGCCAGACCGGCACACTCAGCCTCGCTCCCCACGTCGCTCGTCAAGCGAGAAAAAGAGACCCTAGACGTGGAGGGGGCGTTACATATGCGGTGAAACTATTTCGACGGGCTGAAATCTGTACGAATTAAGGACGTATATTTTCTCTCGCTCTCTTTTAAGTTAGTACTTTAATGTAGCTGCATCTCCGCCGGGTCAGCCTATCTGGGGCAGAATCCGCCCCTGATCTGCGGCTGAGCAGACCCTCCGCTAGTCTGTCTGCCTCGAGTACGGAGGATTCTGTAGTATCGGGAAAGAGAAGAAAGTAAAGAAGAAAATAGAAGAGAAAATAAAATAAATTGAAATAAATTGAAAGAAGAAAAAGAAGAAAAGAAGAAAAGAAGAAAAGAAGAGGAAGAATAGGAAGAAGAGGAAGAAGGAAAAAGAAGAAAAGAAGAGGTTGTAACTATCTATATTCCATGCTGTTCTTCTGTGTTCGTCGAGATAAAAATAATTCCATCGGAGCCGTGGTAACTCATCGAAGCTGTCTTACTGGGGAACAGGCGTAATCGTGAACCAAAACCAGCCCTGAACCGACCAGAGTTCCGTTTCCCCAGGGCCCAGCGGGAAAAACGGGGGGGAAGGGCGCCCTTCTGGACAACTCCCATGGTTTGACTGGGTTCGTGGGCAACCCAATGGTTGACTCGGTTCGTGGGCGACTCCCATGGTTTTACGGAGCACTAGGCTCATGGATAACTCTCGTGGGTTTACTAAATTTCCCATGGTTAATGGGGCCTCGCGGCACTGGCGCTCTGAAGCTGAGTTTCATGGCGCTTTGGGTTCGATCCCGCAGTTTTAAAAAAAGAAAAAAAAGGGCGTCCTTCAGTCTGGTCTGCCTTCCAGAGCCGCAGCGGAAGCGGAAAAAAAATTAATAAATAAATCAGATTAAATCAAATTCAAAAAAAAAAATAAAAGAAGGGAGGAAGAGAAGCAAATAGCATCAAAATCAAATATCAAAAAAAAAAAAAAAAAAAAAAAAAAAAAAAATAAGAAAAAAGGGAGATCGTCTCTCTCCTGCAGAGCCGTTTTCTTTTCCCTTTCGACTCTGTGCCAGAAACGTTATTTTGTCTACTCCGTACTTTTTTACAGGTAAGAAGTTCGGCTATTTAATTAAACACATCTCCGCAATCCCAGCAACCCGCCATTTATATTTTTTTATCTTTTTATTTTATTTATATTTATTTCTCCCTCTCTCGCTCTATCTCCTCCCCCCCCTGGAGGCTTGGGTGTCTGTGTTGAGACAGGTCCGTTAGCCCCGTTAGATCGTTTTTGACGAGGTCGTTGAAACTTAACCAACTCCCTCTCCAAACTGCCAACTGCCCGCTCGCGTCCCACGTTTTCCGGTCTCTTGGATCTTCTTCGCCCTCCCTCCATCCAACTCCACCCTCCAAGGAAACCCGGCTCGAAATTCCAACTCATTCATTCTTTTTCTTTTTTCTTTTTTCTTTTTTCTTTTTCTTTTCCTTCTTTTTCATGCGGCCATTCGAAACTCTCCATGTGTCCTCCTGTCCCGGTCTATTGACTTCTCTCACTCATTAATCTCTTGTTCTCCTGTGGCTGAGTTTAGGAGAGAGGTACCTCTAGTCTTCCTCCCGCCGCAAACTGTCGTTACCCCCTTGCGTCACATCTGTCGCTACTCCGTGTTCGTGTCGTCCTTTCGCCTCCCCCCCCCCCCCGGGCGGCGGCGTCACCTTCGTACGTTCGTCCACACACCCTCGAGCCTAATCCAGCCCTGCTCAGAGGAATAAAAATCCAGTTGTAGGTTTACCGAGGCCAGGCTCCTAAAGAAAACAAGGAAAAAAAAAAAAGAAGAGAAAGGTAAAAGAAAAAGGAAAAAAAGCAAAAAAAAAAAAAAGAGACAGGTAAAAGAAAAAGGAAAAAGAATTCCCAATTACTCTGGCTACTACCGTTCTCCTCGGGGGTTGAAATTCCACAAAGACCAATCCATCCATACACTCTTCTCTCCCCCCCTTTTCTCCCAGAAAAAAAAAAAAGACAAAAAAAGGAAAAAAAGGGCCCTACAGGCAGTGTGCCGTAGTTGGGTATTCCAAAGTCGCACAGAGATCTCCCACGGCAGCTCCCCATGTGTACCTGTGTTCTCCGATGACGTTGCGAGGGTAGTTCTTTAAAAAAACCGAAGATCACAGACTCCATTCGACCAACATTGCAGTGTTCTTCCCACCCCCTCCCCCTTTCATAGCCCCTCCGTCGAAGGCCACAGTTGTCCCCGGGCCTGAACCCCACCACCATCTGCGGCTTGACAGTATCCAGATGACCGGCGTGTAATCCTCGAAGACACAGTCAGAAATCATCCGCTCAGTTGTTGCTGGGACAAAAAAAGGAAAAAAGAAAGGAAAAGGAAAGGAAAAGAAAGGAAAAAGAAAGGAAAAGAAAGGAAAAAGAAAGAGCACAGTAAGAGTTTCACCTGGGTGTGAGAACTTTTCTCTTGGATGCTCTATAGGATATACGTACCCTTCTTGTCCTTTTAATGCTCCATCTGATTCTGTTCCAAAAAAAGGAATTGTGTTGAATTGGTAGATTCGCAAAGCAATTCCCGCAGATATTTTCCCATCATGAGTCGGACAGCGGAGCTACAGCCTCCCCTCTCCCCCCCTGAGCCAGCGTACCTCAGGTCCTCGGCTCCATTTCCTTCCCCTGATCACAATCCACCACCTCCACCTCCACCCCTGATGTCTCCAAAGAACTCGAGCAAACATGTCTCGAGACTCTCGCTTCGTGAAATACCGAAAAGAAAACCTGTCGGTCTTTCCGAACTGGAGGCCCACGAAAGTGCCGTCATGCACCATTCGCCAGTGTCACCCGTGAGGATCGACGATCCTTCTATAATACCAGAAGCTTCATCTGCTCTCGTCGAGGATGTGAGGAATCTAAGGTTGTCCCAGGAATCCGGGAATAACTATAGTTATCAAGAATATCCCCCTCGCCGCAGCTCCTTGTACCAAAGTCCTCCCCCTGCTCAGTACTCGCAAGATCAGCACGGGCCCATGGACGACACATCGGGTATTCCCCCGCGAGGCGATTCGCTCAATCATGCCGGGATGCCGCAGCAATTCTCACATTTGAATGGGCAAGGGCGCCAGGTTGAGACGAGAAGTTCATCGAGTAGAAACAGCCTCGAAAGCTTTCCCGAGGAACAAGAAAGCACCCAAGGAAACCAAGAGCCCGAGATCTACCAGCCCCTGCAGTATCACCATCAGCCTTTCCAGGAGCATCTGCTCGACCGTGTCGGGCATCGTGGATCAAAGAGCACAATCATTTCGGCTTCCGACTCCTCCTCTACCGGAGGGCAATCAAATAACCTTGCACCGGGAGGGTTGGTGGTTCCACGCCCACCGTCAGCATATTCGGATGGCAGGGGTCGCACACGTTCCCTCCAGCTCTCTCCTTACGGCCATGCGCGCGCGGTATCCTCTCACTCGGCTGCTTCTCCAGACACCAGACCCCTATCCTTCGTGGACTTGATGAACGTACCGTATCCACAACCCCCTCCGGCTCCTGCGACTCTCAGCAATGCGCATCTGCGGGCGTCCGTGGGGAACAGCGCTTCTCTGCTAAGCCATAAGCAGACATTTGAGATGTACCTGGCGAACGTCAAGAAAACTAATGACTCAGGGGCGCAATATGAGTTTGCGGTGTTTATGATCCATGCCGCACAAGAGGCTTCTCGGCCGGATTCCCCCGCCGCCTCCAAACAGCAAGAGATCGGGTCCGATATCTCGAAGGCGGAATTGCTTCGAGAAGCCAAGGCGATCTTACAGCGTCTGGCTGATCGTAGTTATCCGTACGCGCAGTATTATCTCGGTGATGGGTATGCCTCGGGTCTTTTTAACAAGGGAAAACCAGATTATGACAAAGCTTTCCCGCTATTCGTCGCTGCCAGCAAACATGGTCACGCGGAAGCTGGGTACCGTGCCGCCCTCTGCTATGAGTTTGGCTGGGGAAGCAGGAAAGACGGCGCAAAAGCAGTCCAATTCTACCGACAGGCAGCATCCAAAAACCATCCCGGGGCAATGTTACGATTGGGAAAAGCGTGTCTGACTGGCGATATGGGTCTTAGCAAGCGCTATCGTGAAGGCATAACCTGGCTGAAGCGAGCCACCGAATCGGCGGATTTCCAATACAATGCCGGCCCGTACGAGCTGGGTCTCCTCCACGAAACTGGTTATGGAGACGATGTCTTCCAGGACGAATCCTATGCGGCGCAGCTGCTTACGAAATCTGCGGAACTCGGACATGCGGAGTCGAATTACCGACTTGGAGATGCGTATGAGCATGGGAAATTGAGCTGTCCGCGAGATCCGGCCCTCAGTGTGCATTTCTACACGGGTGCTGCCCAGTTGGGACACCCGATGGCGATGATGGCTCTCTGCGCCTGGTTCATGGTGGGCGCGGAGCCCATGCTGGAGAAGGACGAATATGAGGCGTACGAGTGGGCGAAAAAGGCGGCTGAATGCGGTAAGTCTCTTTTCCTTTTCCTTTTCCTTTTCCCCCTTTTTTTTTTTTTTTTTTTTTTTTTTTTTTTGGTTTCCCCGAAATACATCCCACAAAGTACGCATATAGCCCATATGCTGATTTTGGCAAAAAACCTGCAGGGCTTGCGAAAGCGGAGTATGCGGTGGGCTACTTCACGGAGATGGGCATTGGGTGTCGGCGTGACCCTCTCGAGGCCAATGTGTGGTACGTTCGCGCAGCTGACCATGGCGATGAGCGCGCCAAACACCGCATCGCGGCAATCAGAGCTGCGGCGTCAGGCGCTGATCCCAAGTCGGCGGCGCGGCGGACGCACGGGAAGATTGGAAAACCTGACCCTGCTACACAGAGTAAGTTTCTTTTTATTTTGCCCTTCCCACTGTGCCTTGTGAGCGTGTGATTCTGATCCAAGTTCTACAGACGATAAGGGGAAAGGCAAGAAGTTCGGTCTCTTCTAGTTCCCAACCTCCTCATTTCTTTCTTTTTTATTTTATTTTATTCCCCCCCCCCCCCCCCCCCCAACGACTTGTTGCTATTGGGAGCCGCGTATATTCGTCACGGTCGCACAGCATTATCCCATCCGTTACGCTAATTGTTCGAGACATGCATTGAGACGGGTTGCTTTTTTTTTGGTTTTCATTGACGCCTCCACTCGCAGAACCGCCTCGACATGAGAAACATGAATTTTCTGTCCTTGATTGTCCAAGATTTTCGCCGCTGACCGACTTACTAGAGAAGGGAGAGAGAAAGTCTTAGTTCCTTTTTTGTCTTTTTGTTTTTCCAAATATTTCTCGCGATTTGGCCCATATTTGGCAAGTTTTCATCGCATTGCATGTCGGCACCGTATTCATTCCCTCCAATGATTGATTTCGCTGCAATTAAAGCTCTCATTGCCCATCATATATCATACCGCTTCTGCAGCCTTGTGCTCCCTTTTTATCATCTCCCCATTCAGCATTCATTGTGCATAAAATTTCACCCCATCTTAATGACTATTTAGCGACATGCAAATATCCTCTCGCTTATATATCCCCCTCCTTTTTGTTTTTTACTTCTTTCTTTTTTTTATTTTAACTGGGCATAAATACGCATCTTGAAGAATACCATCATTCCAACGCTACCTGGGGTATTAACAACACTCCCTCCGCCCTGGTCTTGGGTTGTGTGCGGGCTTTTTTTAAATGCCTTGGGTCTATGGGCTTGACAAACTCCCTTGATTGTGTTGCGTTGCCGTTCATACATAGTTCTCCTCTTTTCTTTTCTTTTAGTTTTTTTTTTTTTTTTTTTTTTTTTTTTTGGGACGGCGGGTGTTTTGGGTGTGTTTGGCTTAGGAGAGGGTTTTTCCCCTTTTCTTCTCTGGGATTATTTCTTGTTGATATCATCCTCCCCGCTTTATTTCATTTTCCGTCTTGACCTATATTCGGATTATACTTGCAAATATAAAAAACGGAAAAAAGTTAGAAAAGAAAAGACAGAATAACTAGTAATTGCTAATAAGAATGATTTGGGCATGACCTGTTTTTCGGGTTTTATTTTTATTTTTTTTGTTTTCCCTCGCATTTTGGGTATATGTAATGTAAATGTGTGAGAGTTAATGGTGAAAGGAGATGTTGATTAATTTTTATTAACCTATGTCTATGTCTATCCTCTTTCATGCGAAAGCCTCTATAGACAGATGCAAAATAAAAATAAAAAAAAAAAAAAGGTAAAAAAAAGAAAAGGGGGTAGTTCAAAGCAGAGGAAGGAAATACGTGACGACCTTAGCCCCGAGTCCTTAAAAACGCCATTCAAAAACACCAGTATTCCGAGTGGAGAACTTCGTGCAATCGGGAAATGTACAGGGAGAATCCTCATAGAAACGCCAATTGCTGCCCCCTCCGAACAACACCACCAGGTTTGAGCGAGAAGTAGGAGAAGAAGACGGAAGCCTATTTCTCCGCGGCGACCTCAGCATCCCTGCTTTTCTTCTCGCGTATGGTCTGCTCCGAATCAATCCCCTTGTTCAGATCATACGACTCCGTGAACAAGCTCAACACCCCCGCAACCCCGATCAGCGCCGTGCACACCGCGTACACGATCCGCAAACTATCCGTGTACGCTTCTTTCAAATTATCCTTCTCCATCCCCGCAGGCATCGCGCGGACGATCTGCACCAGCCCGGCCGCGTCTTTGCTGTACGCACCCGCTAGCGGCGCGAGGTCGGGATATCGAAGCAGATTCTCATGCATTTGATTCTGGAATATGACACCTCCAATGGCCACGCCGATGGCCTGTCCGAAGGCGCGGAAGAAGCTGAACATCGCGACGGCGATAGACATGTGCCCGCTCAGAGCGGAGGCTTGGATCGCGAAGGCAAGGGAAGGGAAGAGCATACCTAGACCCAGGCCGGCGGGGAGTGTCAGGAAGATCCATCCTGCTATGCTGGTGTGCACGTCGAGAACGCAGAACAGGCCCGTACCGAGAGTGGCGAAGAAGAATCCGACCCAAATGGCCCAACGGTAGTGGCCTGTTTTGGTAACGACTATGCCAACGATAGCGGCGGAGGGAGCCACGGTGAAGGATAAGGGGAATAAGCTGACGCCTGCGAGGATTGGGGAGTACTCCTTGACTGTTTCATAGTAAAGAGGCATGTAGTAGAGCGCACACCAAAGGACAAGCCCGTGCAGCACGGTTTCGATATATGTCAGAATAGCCGTGCGAGTGGCGAAGATGGTGATGGGGATCATGGGCTCAGCCGCGAAATAAGTCTCATAGACGAAGAACGCAATCAGGCCGACTGCACCGACAATCAGTGGCACAAGCGTTCTCCAGGAGTCCCAGGGATACATCACTCCTCCCCAAGTGACTGGGATCAGAAAAGATGTTGCGCTTCCAATGAAGATGATTGAACCAACGTAATCGATCCGCCGGAGTTTAGACATCAGTGACGAGGGAAGGAAGTTGAGTTTTAGGAAAAGGATGACAAAAACGATACCGAACCCAATGAAAGGGAAGTTAATATAGAAGATCCATCTCTAGAACACGGTCAGTGATGTGGAGTAACTAGACGACTTCCTGCGGGAAAAGCTTACCCAGGAGACATCTTGAGAAAATCCTCCGCCCAAGATCGGTCCAGTAACAGATCCTACACTCCACATGGCGCTAAGAATACCAAAGTACTGGCCTCGAAGTCTCAAGGGAACCAGATCAGTCACAATGATTTCAGACAGGGCAATCAGGCCGCCGCCTCCAACTCCTTGAATTGACCGTCCAACCAGCATGTGGGTAAAATTTTGCGCCAGGCCGGCAACAAGGGACCCGGCCAAGAAAAACGCAATTGCCGTGAGAATTAAGGGTTTGCGGCCGAAAATATTGGATAATGATGCAAACGTGGGTTGGAACACTAGGAAAATCCCATCATTGGTCAGCCATGCGGTCTTGGGTTGCCAATCGACGCCGAAAATGGGGTCAGTTCCGGGGGGGGTTCATACCGGTTGAGCAGAGAAGAAACGATGTTCCACTCCAGAACGCTTCAATTGCCGTTCCATGGAGCTTGGAGGCGATGATCTGATAAGATAGATTTAGTGTCGGCGAGCCAGTCAACTTTAGACGGGTAATTTGCCAGAAAAGACTCACCGGCAAAGCAACAGATATCGAGGTACCATCAAGGGCCACCATCAAGGTGAGAGTAGCGAGAGTCATGAAGACGAGCCATGATCGAGTTGACAGTTTGAAATTCTCTGCCCCGTCATCTGCTTTGAGCGAGCCTGTTGATGACGCCTGGGCCGATCTCAGTATGCCGTTGTGCCCTGCATATTCCTCTTCGGATCCTTTCTCGCCATTTGCTGGTCGCTCGAGAGGGGGGTTTGGCGACGTTGACCAGTGTTCTTCCGCCATCATCTTTCTTCCAAAAACTGGCTGAACCGCTGTTGTTCTACAGTTGTCGTGCACCAGGGCCGTTTCACCAGTGTTCTCAACGCAATACCAAACAGACACGAATATCTAGCGAATCAGGATCCCTGGCTTGGGGGGGTCCAAAAAGTATGCGAAAACCTTTAGAGAGAGAGAGCCTGATAGAGAGCGGAAGAGGGTATATCGTCTGATCAAATAAGATCAAGTTGGCCAAAGAACAATCAAGGAATGGGGGAATATCCCCATATATACGAGGTTCAACGTCTCCATCTGGATCTTCATTTTGAATCTTTTCCAAGCGTGATTCATCTCAGCAACATTTATCCGGGAATCTCGGATCGGACTAATTGTTTGCATGCTTTTCTGAATCATGGCTGGTAGGGATTGATGAACTCATTTTGTGCTAGAGAAGTAAGCGATGTTTTGCAAAAGCTGGTGTAGGCAGCTAGATTTCTCCAAAGGTGATTGACGGACATGGGCCATGCTTTTGCTTCGGACGTAGTTAGCATGAAAGTGGAGTTGAGCCCTGCCATTTGTTAATCCACGTTTCCGTTAGCAGCAGCGTAGGGCGCTTGATCTGGAGGAACCTGCCATGATTTTGGGTTCCTCAAACACGGGGCCCTGGCGTTTTGAAGGATCTTTCGCTGGCCTGGAGCATGCCCAGCGCTTCATGACGTCGAGGCGGATCGGGCTCGGCTGAATAGCACTCGCAGAGCCTACCGCATTGGGTATAGCGTACGGAGCTAAGCCAGCTCGGCGTCAAAGTTCATCCGAACGCGAATCCAATCTCTTGGAACACGGCGACAGTTCAGGATGCTGCATTTCCCAGCTCGATACGATAAGAGACACAGCAGGGCTGTGGGTATGAGTTGGTCCAATGGATCGGGGGCCTGTCATTCTCAAAGTACAAGTTTGGTTGAAAATAAAGATCAGTAGCTTCTATTGACAGTTCTGAGTAAACATATTCTAACTGTATGTAAAGCTGGGGAGTTGTTTGGAAGCAAGTTTCTTTTTCTTTTTTTTGGAGGAGTTGGAGAGAGAACAGAGCTATCTAACAGTTCCGCCGACCAGCTCCGTCTAGGGCGTGGAGGTAAACCGATGGTGCGCAGACAGCAAGAGAAACTAAAAGGCCTCAAATCCGCACGCGGAAAGGGGAAGAGGGAATATACAAGATAACCCTAAAATGTTCAGCAAAACCACACACAGAGTCGAAATTGAAATCTTTGAAAAGCTACAAGAAAGGTAAATGATAGGAAGGAGAAAAGCCGAATAACTCAATGAAAATATGCACCGGCCAGCATGACCCTCCAGGAAACCGCAATATGTGAATCAAAATTTCAAATAGAAGCCCTCTCCAGAACGTTGATATCGAAGACTAGCTACCAATCATCATCATCTTGCTCTTTTCCTTGCATAGCGCTTTGCCTGGCCCTCAGGGCTTCTGCAAGACCACCCGCAATGCTCGCATTGCTTAGACTGCTTGGAGTGGCGCGACCACTACCAGCCGGCGACTCATGCGAATTCATGCTTACTGCGCTGTCTCGAGGGGCTGCGGCAGGGGCTGCTTTGCGATTTATATCTGGACGTTTAAATGGAGGGGCCGGAGGTGCCGGTTTGGCCTTCGCAGCTGCACCGTTGACGCGTGATGGTCCATTGGGTAATGTATTCGATACGGCAGACTTTGACTGTGGTGGAAGACTAGGTGGTGGCGGAGGAAGTGATGGAGTTTTAGCTACTATTGGCTCAAGATAGGCCTCGGGAGCCCATCCCTGGGCTGATGTCTCTAGATTCATACACAACCACCAACCTATGAAATAGTTAGCTGTGTTGCGGAGTTGCAAAGCGGAAGAACGTTGGATAAGATTATACCGTTGCTCTCTTTCGTAACCACCTGCACAATTTCACCTTTTCGAAGAGGTAATTCATTCGATCTGCCGCTGTCAAAGTCATAGAGGGCTTTGGCAGTATCTTTCTTCGGCGCGGGAGGCTGGGTCGGTGGGGGCGGAGGGGGAGGTCGATTTTGGGAGCCTGAGTTAGTTCGAGCATGTGCTGCAGCGACTGCAGTAACGGATTGTGCTACCGGTTTAAACTTCTCACCAGCAGGCTGCTTCGCTGCCCGCGGATTTTCAGGGAGATTTTGAGCAACTGGTTTGGGCCGTGGTGCAAGCTTGGACGGCCCACCTCCTGGGCCACCAGGTCGCAACAATTTGCCCTTGGTTATTGGTTTACCGGGGACCTGTTTTGGTCTCGGCGTAGGTTTGGAAACCGAATTCGCCGGTTCTCCAGGACCAGTACGAATCGTGCCACTCTTGTAGACATCATCACGAGGTACTGCAGGATCTTTAACTGCCTTTACGACAGCCAGTTTGCCTGGTTTCTTGTTATACTCGATGCTATAAACTTGTTAGCATACGGCGACAGAAGAAGCAACCTTGCACACTCACGTTTCTCCAATTCGCAAATTAAGCTGGCCTCGGAGTGCATTTGTGAGGTAGGTAAAGAATTCCGTCTTGAAGACGCAGCTGATGAGAGGATCAGGTTCCTGTTGAGCCCCAACCCCAATGGAAAACCAGTCATCCTTCAGATTTGAGGTGCTGACGAACTTGATGGCGCCGATTGGAATCATGCGCTCCGCCAATATGCTAAGTTGATTATTCACAAACTTTTGCACAACAACGTACACATTGCGGGAAGTCTGGGCATATGATATTAGCCATGAGCCGTCAAAGACTGTGATAAGACTTACCAGTATTAATAGACGAGGTGAAGGTTTGCTTGAGCGACCAAATTTAGTCACCAAGAGTTCGCATCGACACGAATATAAAATGTTTTCCCCACCTAGCCTATTAGACGAAGTCGTGCGCATTATGTGGGATGAACAACTTACTGCTAATATTGATCGAGCTCTTAATGACGTCCCCCATATCACCGGCGTTACTAATGCCGAGATAATCGCCTAGGAACCTCCTCGAGCCAACTAGACTATATCTTCGGCGCTCCTTCCTACCACCTAGAATTTTATGACCCTGATCACGCAGTTTGATGAATTCAAGCCCCCCTGTAACTCTTCTCCAGAATCGTTGAATGCGGATGGCGCACTCGGTCCGGTATCTCAGATAGTTACGCCAAGCCCGTTGAATTCTTGTAGCCATGTTATGCCAATATCGATCTCGCATATGCTCCAGTGCGAAAAGTGTTTCGGGAGTCTTGATAAACGCTTTCGCAACACCCATTTGATATTCTTCTGGAGGAATGCTGGTATCCTTTAAGATCTGGCGGGCACCGGATTCGGCATCGCCTGTCCAAGTATACTCCCCCGCATACGATGTCTTCGGAGAAAGAAGATAGAACCGCTCAACAAACTTTTCGAACGTTTGACGATAAGCAAACCCTGCTCTTCGAATTCGAACATTCTCTTGTAAACCGAGATATTTAATTTGATGGATCACGTTTGCAACGTTGTACTCAGACGGGGACTTGTTATCGTTTGGTTTGATTGTTCGAATATAAGAGGGTTGCGCTTTTGCCAACGTTGTGACGAGATCGTTAGCAGATGCCTTAATCTTGTCTCCTGCGGTCGGAGGCCGACGTTTATCATCTTGATTCACTCGGTTCGGGAAAAGTGTATGCAAAAAGCTATTGGTGCTAGAATTAACGAGATTCAGAAGATCTTTGAGGAGCTGGTCTTTATTTTTATCTGTCATTCCCTCCACAGCATAGGCAACATCTCCGGCATAATGTTTGACGATAAATTGACCCTGCCGGGACTCAAAGTTAGGATTTTGAGACAAAAAGTTTAGTCTTCCAACGAAGGTCTGGTCAGCCGCCCCTGAATCGGCATGGGCGGTCGCACAGGCATCATTCAGCGCTGCAAAGACACCAGGCGGTCTCTTGTCTTCGATCAACTGGCAAACAACTTTGTTGTCGAAGTATTTGATTGGCGTCCACTTAATCTGCTCTCGAGCATATTCCTCCTGCTCAGTTTTCAAGGTTAACTGAATAAAAATCTGTTGCAGCTTTTCGTTGACATAGTTAATGCAGAGTTGTTCGAATGAATTTCGTTCAAAGATTTCGAACCCGTAAATATCTAAGATACCGATCGTGTTTGTCACGGTGCCTTTTGCGGTCAACGATGCATTGACTCGCTGGACGATCCAGTCGAATAAATTGAAGTAAAGGGCCTTTGCTAGAGCATCCCGTACTGCAGTAGCCTGTACTGTGTTTAGGGGAACCTCATATATCGAGCCTCTTCGCCCACCTCGCGCTGTCTCGACAATTCTTTGGGTTAGCGCTTTCTGCACTCCCTCAGCATCCACTTCTAACAGATAAGCAACAAAATCGATAATGGATTGATCATTTATGGAAGCATTAGAATGATCATCTTCTTGGAATTGCATATTTCCTAACCACAATATCGCGGATAGGACGCGAAAGATATTATCTTGCTCCGCTTGACGAAGACCAATAATTCTCATTGCCTCTATTGTCTCATTGAAGTCTGCGGCATCATTCATCCCGGCAACGTCGAAGCATTGTGAGCGGCTGGTATATACATACGACTGGGGCTGCTGGATACCGAAAGCATCTATACCATGTTAGATTCCATGTTGCCAGGAAACATAGGATGTATTACCTCTGTAGGATTGCGGGGCAGCTTTAGTAAACTGATAGAATATGTGGAAATTCCGTTCATTCTTTATCTGGCCCACAACTCTAGACTTCTCGAGAAGATAGTTTGTAATGGTCGCGCCGACCGGTTCTCCGACCGAGTTGAACTGCAGCTCCAGGTATTTTCCGAATCTTGAGGAGTTATTATTTCGCAGAGTCTTCGCGTTTCCAAACGATTCGAGGAGTGGATTTGTGGCAAGAACCATGTCCTTTGTCTGCTGAATCGAAGAATCTGTGCCGCCGGACACGTTTGCGATATACTGCATAAGGCGCTTTGCGGCTTCCGTTTTCCCAGCTCCTGATTCCCCAGAAATAATGACACATTGGTTTTCTTTATATGCTTTCATATTATAATATCCGGCTTCGGCCACTGCAAAGACGTGTGGAGGAACTTCGAGCCGGTTCTTCCCCCGGTACGATTCGAGGACCTTATCGGTATAGATACCCACTGCCACCTATCAGGTCGAGGAAATCTTAAATCCGTCTGAAGTACTTACAGTCCCGGAACGGATTGACAGAGACCAGCACATGTCCAATGTATGTCTGGTGTCGGCTAATGTTAGTAAGGAAACAATATACCAGTCAGGGGCTGGGGGGCGGATGAAATACATAAATCTCGCCGTGCTCAAAGCGCTTCTTCAAGTTCTCATTGATAGCCTCATTGGAGACTTTACTGAGCAGTGTTAGATCTGAGACACCGATTTCCTTTTTCTTCGTGCTCTCGAACACGGCCTTTTTAACTTGAGGCCTGCCGCCAGCGCCCGCGTCATCGTGTCTCGATCGCCCAAAGCCTCTACTCTTTTTCTCTTCCTTGTTTTTGAAAGGGCGTTTTGATTGACCCTATGGTAAATCATATCAGTACCAAAGATCGTGCGTTTCTCCACGTAAATTAGTGAAATCCAAGCGGGGAGGTCGGGCTCACCATGGCTCATTGGGTGCCGTGCGCGAAGTGCTCACCGGAACGGTTTCCTCAATAACTTGACACTGATTTCTCCAAAATCTATAGTCAAAAGCGGTACGGCCGAAACAGCCAATCTAAAAACGCTGGGAATAGTATCAAAGAGCGAATATAAGCATACGGATCAGGTTGGGATGCGATTATCTGCGATGTCCCAACTCTTCCCCTCTGTCCCTTGGACACCTTTCGCGGCGCGGCAGATTACGTAACCACGATGATGCAGCCAGGTGGCAGCCAGTCTTGGCATTCTGCGCCACAGCGCCCCATCTACTCTGCACCGGGCCGAGAATTATCCGAGCATCCTGATTTGTGATAAAGGTCGTGGCAAGCTGCGATCAACATATGATATTGCCCAAGTTGATCCTGTATGATACTATGTACTTTGTAGCAGGTGTAATATGGAGGGACAAGCTCACAATCCGTGGGTTCTGGCTCAAATGTCATTTGAAGACCCTGCCCAGAATGACAGAATACCTTGTACTGCCTGTGGATCAAAATACTCCCTCAAAAGCCGTCGTCCTGTGTCGGTTCTCACTCCCAAACACAGATCTCGCACTGTCGGAAATAGATCACTAAGAATATTAACTGTGTGTTGGTCTAAAGGGCGGTAAGGATCTGTGGCTGTGCAGTATGGGACTAGATCTGCCGGAGCACATGAGAATGTCTGCTGGATTTCGCGAGAGGTTTCCTTGAGGTGTGATTGTAAAGCCGGTACGAGCAACTCTGGATGCTGGATGGGGATAACCGGAAGGCTTATTGGTAAATGCTCAAGCATGCTACAGTTTGGATGTGAGATTCTCTATCTTCTTTTTCTGGGACCGATTGGAGACAAGTTTAGCGTTGGACATACAGCTTTTGTAGCAGAAGAAGAGGCATCATGTCCGCTTTTTGGCTGTTGGATCCAGTGGCCTTTTCCTCCGAGAGCAAAAGAGCTATGACAAGGTCGCTCTCGATAGTCAATGCAATAAACCGTTCTAGACGGGTGACTGTATCGTCTTTCACTGCATCCCTAACAGATGCTGGCGTAACGAGCAAGACATGGAGGATTCTCTGGCTTCCAGTTCCACGAACATTCAATGGCAGTTGGAAATCGTGTGTGCCTAGTTTCGTTTCTACGGGATGGTGAGCCACAATAAACTGACGACAAGATGGGGGCAAGGGACCTCTCAATTTCGGTGACCCTGTGGAGGCGAGGACAGGGCCAACAATACGCCACAGCGGACGTTTTCTCAAAGACGCGCAAAACATGCTTCACGATCAGGGATAATTCAAGAGGCAGTTCAAGAAATTCGCCGAAGAGAAAGCTGATTTCATGACTTCGAATGATAGACGACGAGCGTCGTGCTTCGGATTACACAACGTCCACTGGGAACCAACTTCCATTACGGGAAAGTGAGAGATTATGTACTAGGTATATTTTGTACACAGGAATATTGTGTTGGAATCTATGGTACATTGGAGTCACGATATCTAAGAGTGAGATGGGTATCCTTCAAAGAAATTATGGAAAGCGAAGGGTTAATACCGGGAAAATAACAAGCATTCGCGATGAGGAGGCACTCCGCAACACAGCAAGCACCAGGCACTGTATATTTGTCGACTTGATTTTACCAGTAGATCGGGCCAAGATGTATTATTTTTTTTTCTTTTTTTTATTTTTTTTCCCCTGGCTCTTCTCAAGATGTACTTGACTTGGGTTGAGATGTTGACGAAGCTCCCGGAGAAGTTGAGATGGTGGAATCAGACTCTGATGAATTCTTTCTCCAAGCAGCCTTCTGAAGCCACCAAAAGTTGGCTTTAAACCTCCCAAACAGACTTGGGGGCTCATCAGGCTCTTCTTCTTCGTCGAGTTTACGGATGGCTTCCGGCAGGACTGGCCGCAAATCTTTGTGAGTCTTTTTCTCAACCTGAGCCCGTAGCTTCAATACCTCTTTTTCCAAGGCAATAAGGCCCAACCTGGCGGTCCTTTCCGATTCTTCTAGCTCGGCAAGGCGTTCTGCCACATCCTCCCTTCTCGACGTCTCCTTTCTTCGGGACCTCCAAGACTCGAACACTATCAAACCACCAGCAACCATGAAAAGAAAGGCCTCACTTATAAAATTTGCTCCGGTATCAATCGCCTTTGCATCAGAAAGGGGTCGTATCCGTGGCGTTGGAGGTGGTTTTGGAGGCTCAGCGTTCTTTTCTTGCTCTCTTGCCGCAGCCGCTTCATCTGCTTGCACCTGGGCTTCGGTCTTCACGGTTGCAACCTGATGTTTCCGTTTCTTAGCATGCGCTTCCGCCACTCCACGAGTAGCTTGCCGTTCTATCTGAGCGTTGGTGTGTAGTAGGCCAAGTCGAAGTCGCATATCCGCTCGGTGGAGCGTCTGAGCAAAAGATATGCATATACGGCGGAAGCGCTCATGTTCGCGTGCTTGTGCTTTAATTTGATTCTTCAATAACGGATCGTCAGCTCTATGTATTCGATGTATGTCTCCGAGTTTTTCGCCGTCACTTACAGCAATCGGCTTCGAAAGCGTCCGAATAATGAGCGAAGAAATTTTGAGCGTTATGCTGGCCATGGCTGATCCAAGGGCATTCTCTCGACAGGCCTAAAAGATAATGTAAAAACCACAAGCTATCTATCCATAGCAATATCGAACCTGCTCTCCTCTGCGTCACGGCGGCCAGAGACAGCGGCTGGTCTAGGCTGACGGTTGACTCGAACTTCGGCGCGCCGTTGCGCTTGTTAGTTGCTGATGACATAATCGGCGGGAGCTAAAATGCTTGGCACGGACGAACTCAAATCCCGTTGCCGGGCCAATGTTTACAAACTTCCGCTTTCAGAAATTGATCGCCTCGGGGCTTTCACTTCTCTTCTGCGACGGAAAAGACATCGGATATCAGCATCAAATCCCTTAAGTTTGCGCTTCAGATACTACATCATCTATTTTACTTTTGAATTTAGAGTTGTGAGTATTTGACTAAATCTCTAGCTTCTCCCAACATCTTCAATTAACACGATACCGGAAGAAATGTTATGTGCTTGTGACCGTCGCAACTAATCGTCATAATCATCGGAGGTCCCCGGTCCTCCCTGCTATTTTCCCCCTTTACCACTCGACATCCTGTGTATTCCAGTGCAATCTATGGTCTGGTTGCGGGTGACTCATCTGCAATAATGGCGGCCCTGTCCCCTCGCTCCACGAATATCCTCCCGAAACCCAAGGCGGACATTGCGAAGAAGCAATCCGCAAAAGACCTAGCAGCCTCAAAGTCCGCTCCTTCAAAGAACCATGCGCCGCCGCCTCCCGGATTTGTTTACGAGCCTGGGCATGCCGGAGAAAAGTACATTACCGGAAATTTTTTGGGCAGAGGAGGGTTTGCTGTGTGCTATGAGGGCAAACTGAGTCGGAATGGCCGTCTTTTTGCAATGAAGGTGGTCAAATCGGAAATGCCACAGCGCAAGATGGCGGAAAAGGTATTGACCAAGAGTATCCGTTGAACGCCAGAACGACCGGACTAATTAAAGTTGTATGGACAGTTTCGCACCGAGCTTCAAATACATTCGAAAATGCGACATCCGAATATCGTAACATTTTACCGTGCATTTGCATTTGAGACTAATACTTACGTTATCCTTGAGATGTGCCCTAATGGTTCTGTCATGGAAATGGTGAAAAAACGGAGATGCCTGAGTCTTCCCGAGGTTCGCAGATTTATGATTCAACTATGCGGTGCGGTCAAATATTTACATAAACGAAATGTTGCCCATCGAGACTTGAAAATGGGAAATTTGTTTCTGGACCGCAATATGAATATCAAAGTCGGAGATTTTGGCTTGGCCGCAATTATCCTGAGTGAAAAGGACGAAAAGAGGCGGAAAACACTGTGCGGGACGCCGAACTATATCGCTCCGGAGGTATTGGACAAAAACAAGGGAGGACATACCCAAAAAGTAGATATTTGGTCCTTGGGAGTTATATTGTAAGTTTCATATTCTGCTTTGTTCTCACTGATTATCTTTCTGATTCCGCGCAGCTTTGCCATGCTCACTGGCTTCCCTCCCTTTCAATCGAAAACGCAAGAAGAAATCTATAAAAAAGTTCGAAATCTTACGTACGCTTGGCCAAAGGACTCAGAGTGCCTGAATTATATTCCGGTAGAAGCAAAAAGCCTTGTTAGCTTATGCCTGAGTTTGGACGAAGACGAGCGCCCAGAACCTGATCAGATCGTGGATCATGAATTCTTTACTATGTATCCAGGGTGTATACCTGGTGAACTTGATTCGGAGTGCCGCTACTCGAAGCCAAATTGGATCAAGGCTCAAGATCCTCGCGGAGACAGGTGCGAAATTGGGTACAGCCTCGAGTATGAATCTAGATATCTTTCGAGAATACCTCATATCAAAGACCCGGAAGACAGATTTACTATTTGTAAGAATTTTTTTTACACGGAGTGTGGTGTTGGCAGAAAGCCGACTGGCGAGATACGGCGACCCGTCGGTAAGCGCTGCTCTAAATCAGCATTTGCCGAGTGCGCGGCAGAAGAAGAATTGGGAATGCAGCCAATAATCCCCTTGCCGCTGGATCAAGTCTACTGTTACATTCCAGAAGACGAGGACTGGAGCGTGCAAGAATTGCGCCCTGAGATCGAATCCCGTTTTTCTCCAGTCGAAGAGGAAGATCAAGCTCGAAAGCCATCGTCGAAGGTGGAAGCTGCTACTTTGGCACGTACTCAGATGGCATTGGCAGCGCAATTGAGGCGGAAGGAATCGCAGCCTAGAAGCCACGCAGCACAACTACGACAGCAAGCCTTGCCGCCCCGTCAGCCGACAAGAGAAAACCCCCTACAGCATACTCAAACTGGACATCATAAGCTAAAGCACGAATTACCACTTGAGGCGGCACCCGCGCCCACAACAGTCGTCCAAAATTTGCTTAGTGAGCGGCCTATCCGATGCAAAGCACCTGGATACCACGGCTCCCTTCGAGAGAGAACTAGATCTTCGGAAACATTGTCTAAATCCGCATCGACCCCAAGCGGCTTGATGATTGGAAGGACAAGAGCCCAATCGAGGCAGCATCTAGCGGCGCTCGCTGAAGAAAAAGCACGGCCCGATCCAAAACCTAGCATTTCTTTTCCTCAGGGTGTTGGATCAAGCCAAGGATTGAGCGAATCCTTACGCATTCAGAGCGTGAGAGAAGAATCACAGGATGCGACTGATATCGCACCCCGGAAGCCACAGCCCAAGCTATCCCACCCAAGCGGGGGAAGCTTGCCCGAACGGAGATCGCGGAGCAAAGGGCATGATGCGACAAGATCCACATCATCCAGTGGTGGTAGCAAGTCGAGATCAGCGTTTGGCCTACGACCCCTTATTCGACCTGACGAGGATGCCGAAATAATGCCTGGGACAAGTATTCGCGAAGTTATGGGAGACTTGAAGGCTTATTTTTCTGACCTCTGTCGTTCTCGCTCGTACTCAACAGCTACTCTCACAAGAACACGACGCCGTCAGCAGAAGTTCGTACCCACAAAGCCGCATTCGTACGTGATGAAATGGGTCGACTACACAAATCGATACGGCATCGGATACGTATTGGATGATGGAAGCGTTGGCTGCGTGTTCAAATCTGATAACGGAAGTCCAGCAAGCTGCGTTGTGGTTAGAGATGGAGAAAGGCATATACGACTAAGAACTCGCGCCAAGGAGAGTCCTGATGGGCAAGTTAAATATTCGGAGGTTGACCAGCTCGTGCCTAGAGGTGGGAGACCAGTTGAATTCTATGAAAACATTGATGTTGATCCTCGCGGACGTCAAGGAGGAGGTGTAAAGAGAGTCCTCGTTGACGCTAAGGGCTTCGACACCAACAAGCATTCACCCTGCGAATTAACAATTAAAATTCGCACGTTGGATACGGAGAAAGTCAAACGAGTCAAGTTGGTTGATCAGTTTGGAAAGTATATGATAGGATCATTGGGAAAAGACGTGGACGACCAGTCTCCGACGGACACCAAACCAGGTGAAGACGCTTCGGCCGGACAGTATGTGAGATTTTATCAACGCTTAGGCAACGTTGGAATATGGGGTTTTGGGGACGGCGCTTTCCAGGTAAGCTCATAATACTTTCTCGAAACCCAAAAAAAAGGCTCTTTCGGTTTTCTGATTTCGTCTTTAGTTCAATTTCCCCGATCACACTAAACTTGTACTATCTTTGCCTGTTCGACGCACCGGCAATTCTTCCGATTCTTCTACATGCTGCCAAATAGATTTCTTTCACCTTGCACCATCTGCTGCACGATATTTGAAGGCGAAGGGAAAGATGCATCCAAGTGGCTTCGATACTCGAGCGGTAATAACAGATACTGCTAACAATTATTTCTCTTCGCTATATGACGAGCGAGAGGTAGCCTCTGCTTCTGGAAAATATAAGTTCCAGGAGATCCTGGAAGCCAATTCGTTCCGTCAAAAAATGGACTTCATCATCGAGGTCCTAGAGAGTTGGATTACCAACGGCCGACTGGGAGGGAGGATATTATCCAGATCTGCATCCTCATCGTCCATCTCATCTTCTCAAACGTCAATGTCCCGAACGTTGTCTATGACATCCACATACCCAACATCCCTATCCGCGGGAAATCTTGATATGTCATGCAACTCGTCTGACATGTTCTGGTTGGGCCCTCAAGAGAAATCTTGGGTTGCTCCGGCGGGAGGAAAGTTTGTATGGGTCACTGTTGGTGCCCAAGGTGGAGATAACAAATACATGTCTCTGTCCCTAAAGAACGACGGAGAAATCGAGTCTGCCGACATAGAAGAAGTTGCGGAGTTAAAAGCTAGATTAAAAGCGCTTACGTTATGATTTTGTTTGCTTAATTCTCTCCCTTGACATTCACTGGCTGACGATATCATTTGTGCTAAATCTGCTTTTCGTTTTTTTTGCGTCTTTTTTTTCGTTGGACGAGTTGCACACTACCATCGCAGATTCTTTTCGTTTCATTTGCTCCTTTTTCTTTCTTTTTATCTTTTTCTCTTTGCACTCAGCTGAATACTCTCATATCTAACGAAGTTACGAAAGTCTTTGTCGGGGTTTGGCGCTTTTACGCAAATTTACTGAAAATACGTTTTATACCCCATAAAGCGTTTGCAGATAATGCTTTAAGCGTTGGTGCGGGTTTCGACATCAATTTTCAGACCTTTCTATCCTGCCTCCTGAAGATTCCATATTTGAATTTAGTGAATGTGCTCCCTCTCTTCCCTTGGGGAATTTTTGTTGTATATAGGACCACAGTCGAATTAAATCTGAAGCCAGGACTCCGGGGATCAGCGTTACCGGATTGTGAATAGGCTATAGAGTATTCTGTGCACATCGCAATAGCCGTGGAGCCTCAAGCTATCATTAATAAAATTGTTTTGGCTAGTCTGTTGGACTGCTTTATAAAACAGCGTGCTGGCTTTAACATCTGATTTATGCCATGACTTAACGATATGGAATATGGACTCCAAATTCCGGACAGTCAGCTTGTGGTCACGACGACGACGAGAAAGAGGCCCAGATGATTGGTATTGCCGCCAAGTTTAGGTTAGAGACTATAGGCCGGATGCTGTTGTATCTCTGGCTTCGTTTCTCGGATCACGAATTCCCTGAGTGAGGCGGTACGCTTCTTAGAACCAACGAAACAACACCCGAAGTCGGTCAACCTCGTAAGATGGCTGGAATGCCCTTAATACAATCCCCCACGCTACGACATTATTATCGACAAGAAAGTTATTGATGACTTCGCCGTCATATAACGCACTCCTTTAGAAAGCGGATTTAGGGCATAGTTACACCTCACGGTGTTTCAGCCGCCAACGGCGAGAGATTTCTCCTTGGCCTGATTTTTCCGTTGAATCAGAACTGTCAACGGAATATCATCCTCGTCATAGAATTCAGCTTCCTCGTCAACTCCAAAGTCGCGTAATCGATCTCCATCCGAATTCCGCCACCCTTCTTCGCCGCTGTCCGACGAGTAATAACCTTTTATAGAGTCATTTCCATCCGATATAGAATCATCTATATTTTGCATATATCTCTCATGGAAAGGTTTACGCCGCTGGACGCCTAAGTCTAATTGATGGCGCTTGTAATCTAATTCTTGTCGACGCCTGAACGCATCAATGGCATTTTGGCTGAAGTTTTGCTGCTGATCAAGTATCATGACGTTGTCGTTTTCACTGGGGAGAACATGTCGGTACATTCGATCTGGATCCGGAGGTGGCCAGGAGAGAGAGGGATCTATCCGTTAATGTTAGATATAACATTACAAAACGTACCTTGGATATCATGCCACAGCATCAACTTACCATCAAGCCCGTTGACTTCAAAATCTAGCCCAGTGCCAGGAAGTGGAGTCCTAGAGAGGGGCCAAAACCAGCTTAGAACCTGTACCTGAGTTAGCTTTCGCGGTACAATGGTTTCACCGTAATCTACTGACATTAGCACTGCCTCCCATACCCGCTTGGATATTCTCCCATATTCCAATATCGAATGGAAACTCTTGTTTTTCAATCCGAACTTTAGTACCATCCGGGCCATCAAGGTAGCCTCCGAATACGCGAGCCCGCCGCAATAAGGCTCGATGTCGTTCAATTTCCCATCCTTCAATTGTAGTCTGGTTTTGTAGTAGCATCCAGATGGTTCTCAGGAGCAAAACAGACAGGGCAAAAAGGACCATTGAATTAACCATTACGAGTAAGAACAAATGCCCTAGTTGCCGTGGAGAAGGGCCAAGATACTTTGGTTAAGGACCCGCGGGATTAGCTTCGGTATAATGGCTTCATTAGGGTACATAGAAATTCTGCCCACTCACGATAGGTAAATTTCTGTTGCTCCATACAATGGATACCCTATCATATAAAAAGATTTCAAGATAGATCATCGAAATAACCGCATATAAGACAAACCGAAGGAAATGTGGGTATGTAAAATGAGACACACAATTGTTTGTCCAAGGACAGTGATGGTCCATCTTCGGAATACACCTATGCAGAATATTAGCCACTGCCGTAGGCGGAGGAATTCCTGGGAGTGTCTCCGGATTTCTCACTTCTGACAGGATTTGCAATGATGCGCCCTTGGCGGCTTGAATGCCTCGCATCTCCGGCACCACCTTTGCCTGCTGCGCGACATGAGGGCTGGATCACCCTCAAGATGGGTTCCAGATGTCTCATCGGAGACAGCCGGCTTCCAGCCAGCGGGGACGCTTCCGGGATCGGTCGCACACGCTCTTGCATAGCATATCCAAATGCACACTACCAAGGCGTTGAATTTGATGGACTCAGATTTGGAAAGTGGCCCCGGATCAATTTCGTAGAACAGATACTGGGAAGTGTAAGAAAGGAAAGCAATTAGGGTGCACACAGCCGGCACAGCAAGTTGGGAGGCGGCGAATCCACCCATGCTGGTTGGCATCGTTGCACCAGTTAAGCCTCCGGTTCAGGAACGAGAGAAGACTGTCCGCGTCGCCCGGCCAGGCTCTGACGGTTTGCCGACCACATGCAGCCAAGAAATTAGCGGGTCCAGTGGTCTCCTGTCCAATGGTATGACCTCGTGGCAGAGCTAGCGCCAACCTAGCAAAGCACGTGAAAACCTAATCTCAACCGCGCCCCTTTTTGCTTTTCCCCTTTCCCCCCGACATGAGACGGCAGCATATCAGTATGTGCGGACAGGCCAACCCCCAGCTGCTCAGACATGGAGTCATCGTGGGACGACAAGGCTCCCACCATATAACTGGAGGTCCCTTCGGCATCCGCTTCCCGTCCTTCTAGATGCTTACTGCTCTCAGATATTGTATCGCCAATATATAACTTCTGGCATTTTCAAGAGCAAAATAGCTTTACAAAACAGGGCGATTTGAAATGCCCATTGCTGAACTCGATCGGGCCGCAGCCCATGCAATAGGCTCGGCTTCTGCCATTTCTGATCCTTGCTCTGTGGTCAGGGAACTCATTGACAATGCATTGGATGCGAATGCTACGATAATCTCCGTCGAATTGTCTGCTAACCTCCTTGATACTATCCACGTCAAGGACAACGGCTTGGGCATACCGCCTGAAGATCGAGAGCTTATATGCAGGCAAAATTGTACCAGCAAAATCAAGACCCTTGATGATTTGAAGCATGTGGGCGGTAAGTTGTTAGGTTTTAGGGGGCAGGCTCTGGCAAGTACAACGCAAATGAGCGAGTCTACGGTTATAATTACGAGAATTACGGCTGAAACAACTGCCTCGATCCTCGAATTCGGCCGTGCCGGCGATATTTTGAGGTAATCATGCTTGCGGCCGCGGGGAAAAAGTTCCACTCTGACTTTGTTAGTAGCAAAGGAATGGTTGCGCATCCGGTTGGAACATCAGTCCGGGTGTCCGGTTTCCTGAAGTATCTGCCTGTTCGGAGGCAGATGGTCTTAAAGTCTTCATCGAAGATTGTCTCACGAATAAAAAAGGCCCTCCAAAACTATGCGCTATCTCGACCGTGGGTCAGGCTCTCTCTTAAGATTTCGAGGCAAAAGAGGGGATTTGCATGGATATATGCTCCGAAGCAAAGCCCATCCGTGGCCGATGCTATTTCTAAAATCATCGGCGCGGAAGTGGCTGCCCACCGTCTAGGACAATCGTTAACTCACAATGACCCTAATCCTGAGAATAGTGATGAGGGCAAATCGACTGCTCAGGTCCATGCCGTGATTCCAAAATTGGACGCTGGTAAGTAGCGATAGCCGGGCCCTGATTCGCGTGCCCAGTTGGTAACAACGAAAGATATATCCAAACTGGAAAACAAAGGTCAATTCATATTTGTTGATGGCCGGCCGTTGTCCACGTCAAAAGGCATAGCGAAAGATTTAGTCAAGATCTATAAATCATATATTAATCGTACCTTTGGGCGTCCATCCACACCAGCAATTACGGACCCTTTTGTGTACCTATACCTCTCCTGCCCTCCAGGAATCTATGATGTTAATGTGGACCCATCGAAAGACGACGTGTTGTTTGCGGACTCCAGATCAATTCTATGCCTTGCAGAGGATCTGTTTGGAAAAATGTACGGCAACGAGCAACTGGGTGATGAGAGGCAAAGCGAGACATATCACGGCAGCCATCAGCAAGAAGAAATGTTTCGCGGCACCAGTGATACGGAGGGGAATTTATTTAAAAGGCCAGCCTACCATGATATTTCCTGTTCCTGAGCAGCGTCGGCTAAGAAGACCGTCCCCTGGTAAATTGCACGCACATTCAAAGCAAAAAAGGGAATGTGCACATAAGGAAAAGCACGCTACGGATGTAGCGTTGAATCCGTGGACGCTAGCAAGGCGAACCTCTACCCAGAGACACCGAGATCCCAACTCTCACTTGCTAACTCCTTCCCGAAGTCCACAGTCACTCATCGACAATGTCTCTGTTCCTCAAAATGGGCGTAGGTCTGCAAACAGAACTCCGCACTTAGCAATCTCTCCTGGAGCAATTGACAATGTTGAAGTGTCCCCGATCCAAACGAGGACATTAAAGATCAAATCGTACCGTAAAAGGATGCATCGAGGATCTCGCAAACCGGAAGGGGAATGTGGTGTTTCGATACACAAGCATGCCATTAATCGGGCCCAAAGTGACTTTGGAACATCCCCCGACGAAGCCCCTAACTCCGTTGCAACCTCGCAACACTTGGAAAATGAAGCCCTCCAAATTGCACTATCTGAACGATTTGGGAAACGGACTCCTGGATTGAACATTGGTTCTCTAGTGTCTCCTGCTGTAACAGAGAGGGGCGGGACAATCCCATTTCCGGTGAAAACAAACATTCAAAATGGAACATTGCCTGGTACTTTGAGACCAACCCATTCACACCCGGAATTTTTATATTCTGAATGCCATAAGAAACTTGCTGTTCATCCCCAATGCATGGTAGAGCAAGAGATGCATCAGTCTAAAAGCAAGATTGATTCTCTGAATGCGCCTTACCCCACTGGGAGCGCTACATTTATCATGTCACCAAAGGCACAATCAGTTGTTGCAAAAGACTCTGCCATGCTCATTAGAAAAGCTACTAAACTTCCATTCAACACCCCTCAAGCGCATAGCCAGACTATCCAATACCAGAACCAGAGACAGATCCGGGATGAGAGGATGCCTGGCCAAGAAGAAACGCTGAAAGTTTCAACCATTCACCACCTTGCAACTTCTCAGGTTGGTACCACTGCTGAGGTCGAATTGTTAAATCGCCAACTATGTGGAATAGATTCTTATATTCAAACGGGCAATATCAGCCCGGCATTGGTTGAACCTTGCCCGGCTAGCACCATCGAGCAGTGGAGGGCTACAATATTGGACTTTATCACTGGTCAATTTCGCTCTGAATCGACCGACGTTTGCACCCGCCTTTACCTCGACTCCAAGTCTTTATTCCCAACCGTGTAATGAATTATCACGTACATTAACACTTTATCAATTAGCCATAAGGGTTTACTAAATCTAAAGGGAAAAAAAAAAAAAAAAAAAAAAAAAAAAAAAAAAAAAAAAAAAAAAATTATTACAATAGTTGTTATACACCTACGAGACTCGCCTACCATTCCGACAAACGTAACCTTTCTTGTTATTCTTTGAGATGACAATGAACATGTGATACCAGCCCTCTAATATTCGTTTCAAACTCTGGGAGGCATATAGGATTGCTGACGAAGGTCGAAGTTGATGAGCCTAGCAATGCTCAACGCGGCTCCCCGCTCACCGCCAGTTTGAATGAGGGCGGAAAGTTAGAGTGCAGTTAAAAGCCCTATTCTAATACTTGGGATGCACTCGTCAACTGCACGGGTTTCGCTATCAGCGTGTGACCTTCCTGTGGACTGGACATAGGCTAGTGCAGAATACTAGCACATTGATGACTTCCCGCTGGGAGTTTTCGTGAAATTGCGAGTCAGTTTGTCAGAAACCTCAGACCGAAATACGAAACCGAGGATATTAGGGATTGTCGGATCCATAAGTCAATAACCAACTAGGTTAACTAATACGGAACAGCACTTGTTCCTTTCTCCGATGCATCGTTCGAATTTGGAGCAACTGGTTACGAGGACGAAAATATTCCCGATCGCACCAAACCTCCCGATAGAGGCTACTAAGTGGTTTGTTTCATGTTTCCTGGAACGCGATTAACACTGCATTTTACAATGACAGCAGCTGAATGTCTCTTTGCAGCTATTCGGGTTCGCCTAAATAAACATTGAAGAAAGCTAAAATCCCTTGTTTTCCATCCTGCTTCCATGCCTATGACGCTGGAAGAAGAGCACTTCCGAGTTTTCCCATTTATCCGGTTATTTCCAGGCCATCCCGATTTTCGTTGTTTGGCAATTGAGGAGCCCATGGCCTAAGCAGACCTTTTTTTAAAAGCTGAGGGATACACACAAATTTGATGAGGAATCGCGCCTTGCAAATTTCTTTCTCGATTTCCTTTTTGGAAGAAAAAGAGAGCTTCCATGAACCATTAAACGTGGATAATCTTGACTGTGTGGAAGCCGGATCCATTCTGCCCCCCATCTTTCCGGAACCACATCGGGATGATGGGTCTCTGACAACCTTAACCCTCCCGATTCGCATACTCCGTCACAGGGCCCGTCGTCTGATAGGGGCCACTAACTACAGCCTCGGTTTTCACCTACCGTCATTGATGTCAAATAGAACCGGGTCCCGTCGATGCATGCTTTCGTATTTGAAAGCACATAACCCCATATCCCAGAAATTGATCAATTCAATCATTTCTACTACTTTTTGAATCCTCGTCGCAACGATCATCATGGCAGAGACGCAAGCCCAGCAACCGCAGGAACCGCAAAAGCCACAACAGCCCTTGTCGCAAACATGGGAGCAGCCATCGCATTCAGCAATCACAGTCCGTCGGTCAGAGATTCTTGCCTCCGGCTCCGACGTTGCTGCGCCTACTTTCTGTTTAACTGCAATCGCCGCGCATGACATCCCCGCGAACTCCCTATTCGCAGTGAACACATCCACCACACTGGCTTCCTCAAAGGACTACTCGACCGTCCAGATCTCTACGAAGGAGCATATCAGACTAAACTCGGACCTCCTATACTGCAATCATTCATGTGATCCTAACGTTCGATTCGTCACCTCGACGCTTACTACCAACTCCAAAACAGAACTGGAGACCCCTGTTGCCGGCGTTCTCGAAGTGTGGAGTCTCAGAGACATCCCCGCTGGCGAGGAATTGAGGTTTTTCTATCCGAGTACGGAGTGGGAGATGTCCCAGCCTTTCCGATGTTCATGTGGTGCCGAGGACTGTCTGGGCTGGGTCGATGGGGCGAAAAACACACCGGCGAAAGTGCTGGAGAGATACTGGCTGAGTGGACATATCGCGTCATTGGTTGCTGAGAGAGAGAGATTGAACTGAGGCTGCCGGTGCACACGTTTCTCGCATACTCTGCTTTTGAGTGGCTGGCGGCGCGGGGTTATATTTATTCTTGGGGAGCCATCGGGTTGGAAATAGATTTTGAATAGAATATTCCACGCTAAAAGAATATTAAAGAAAAACTCATTCAGTCATATTTATCACCTGTTCTATAACGGATTTTCGTCCTTGATCGAATTTTGCTTGAGAAAACTGGATTCGTGGGCAAGAATTCATACAACCCCGCCATTTTTTGGAGGCGTATTAAGAACATGAACTGCCCATACTCTACGAGAACTTGGGATTTCGATATTTTGCCATTTTATTCAAGTCTTTGCATATTATCGACTGCCATACTCTCCGAGGTGTGAGCATTCGAGGGATAATTCGCAATGGAGGGGTAATTTCACGGCTCCGATCGGCCTGAGGGGCACGGAATGCTGGGCCAAAAAATGACGGAATCACCAAACCAGTTCTGCAGCAAAGGAATTCACCGTTCAAAAAGAGTTAAAAAAACGGCCAAAGCTAAACCACTCCCATGAAGACGTCCAATTCCGCCTCACACAGACACCCTAAATCTCTTCATCATGCCTCCGGTACCCATCACAATCGTCACTGGCTTCCTAGGGTCCGGCAAGACCACCCTTCTCCTCAATCTCATCCCGCAATTACCTCCCACCTACCGCCTTGCCCTCCTCAAAAACGAATTCGGCGATGTCGCCGTTGACTCCCAGCTCGCCTCTGCAAATTCCATATCCGGCGTCCGCGAACTTCTTAACGGGTGTATATGCTGCAATCTTGTGGGCCAATTAAGTGATGCGCTTCTCCAGCTGCGCGACCAGATCCAGCCCGATCGCATCGTGATCGAGACGAGCGGGAGCGCGTTCCCCGCAACCCTGGCGATGGAGGTGAATCGCTTGTCGCACGAGACGGGAGGAGAGTTTGTGCTCGACGGGGTGGTTAGTGTGATTGACGTGGAGAATTGGGAAGGTTACGAGGATACTTCGTACACGGCGAAGTTGCAGGCGAAGTATACAGACTTGATCGTTTTCAATAAGTGGGAAGATGTTTCGGAGTTGAGATTCGACTTGTGTCTGGACAGAGTGGGCGATTTGGAGGTGCAGACCCCGTGGGTCAAGTCTGCCAGGGGGAAGGTGGATAAAGATGTGTTGCTGGGGATCGATGGGGCATTGTTGGCGAAGGAGGCTGCGGATAAGGGACATGCGGGCTTGGATTTGATGCTTATGGGTGGAAAGGATGGGGTCAAGGAGTATGAACAGGCTCATGCTCATGATCACCAGTCGGAGGTGGAAGTACTTTCCGCGTCTCTTACGAGTCCTGATTCTTCCGCTGTAGTCGAGCTGTCCTCTCTTACCAAGCTCCTGCATTCTGCACCAAAGGATGAAGTCTACAGAATAAAAGGCATTGTTCGCTGTTCATCAGATAATCCTCCGCAGGACTCCTCTGGCGATCGTGCGCCCGCCGTCAACTGCTCAACGAGTGGCTCTTCCATTTCAGATGGAAACAAGATAAAAAATTACATTCTCAACTGGGCATTCGGAAGGTGGACATTCACTCCTTCGCCCAATATCTCCAAAAGTACAGAAACCGAATCCAATAATAAGGACGTTGTTCGAATGACTCTCATCCTAGCGAGATATGAATCCAGCAAGTGGAAGAAGAAGCTAGAAGGAGGCGGCCTTATCGAGCTTGCTGGAGAAGCGAAAGACTCTGCTATGTTGTCCATTGAGAAAGTCAACTAGCAGCTGAAGAAACCTGTTCGTGCAGCTTGATTATTTCTAAGATGAATGACCTGTACCATGGTCACCCAACCCAGTGCTAGGGTTCTCGAATGTCTAAGATTATAGACGATAGAGGTACTGGTTGCTGAAATTTTGCCGGAAACTGCTGGACATGCACCTTTGTATGCGCTGGTCTGTAAAAGTGTCATGAAAACTTATGCTTTTCCTGCTGGTCACAGAAAGAAATGCGCCTTGCAAAACATAAATGTAAATAGAAGCATCCAAATCAAAGAAGAAAAAAGCACTTTTGTTTATTAGGATAAACTAGCAAATAAACTTGTCTTCAAGGGAGGCCTGAGCCAGGTGACGTGGTCGTCTAGATTCTTCTATCATCTTATTCCATCTTTCCCCTTTTGTGACCAAAAATGAGCGACTGAAGAAACAGAGGGACAGATAACAAAATCATATTCTTTTTTAATAACAGATCCAAGGTGAAAAGATAGCTCAACGTTGTGTTTTGCAAACTTGAAAGATATTCATTGTTGGTTCATGTTGAATGATATGCCTCCAATCTTTCGTCTTACGTGGGATGTTGCCTAATATCCCATAAGCGCAGCGGCGCTGGGTTCTGTAGAAATGTAGATGATGTCATGCTTGTCGGTGAAGCCATTGAAACGAGTTGCACTGCATTGGGTATAAGCGCCCATATTCTCAAAGTACAACCAGTTGCCCACACCCAATACCCCGTTAAGTGTAACGCGTTTGCTGATAACGTCGATGCCATCGCAAGTAGGACCCCAGATGGAATACTCCACAGGGTGGGTAGAAGCCATGTCATCCTTGGTTAGAATCTGGGCCACCGGATGCTGATGATCGAAAACAATGTTGGAGAAGTTTCCGTAGACTCCATCGTTGAGATAGATCATATACATCTCCGCGGGACCAGTGGCAGAGTCAGAGTCAGAGGCTGCAGGGCTGACATCGCGGCGAGCAATGACGTTGGCGGCGAGGGTGAAGGCAGATGCAACATAGTAACGGCCGGGCTCTGCGATGACGCGAATATGGGGCGGGAAATATGTATCCAAAGCATCGCTGAGCGCCGCTGCAAACCGCTCAAAAGTTTCGTCGCAAAAGCCACCGCCGACATCGAGAACTTTGAGATCGTGACCGATGTCACTGGCTTGATCAAACACGAAGCGGGCATCTTCAACGGCCTTGACGAATGCTGTTGGGTCTTCCGCCCCCGAACCGACATGGAAGCTCACTCCAACAACGTTAAGACCCAAGTCCTTGGCCAGTTCAAGCAGAGAACGGGTCACGGTGAGCGAAGCGCCGAATTTCATGCTTAGACGACACAAGCTAGCGGAGTCGTCGGTTAGGATTCGCAAAAAGAGCTCCGCATCTGGACACATGGTCTTAATCTTGTACAGCTCATCAGCGTTGTCAAAGGTCATCTGCTTGACGCCTTGTTGTGCGGCATAGCGAAGGTAGGACTTTGTCTTGCACGGATGGGCATATATAATGCGGCTAGGGTCGACGCCGGCAGCGAGGACATAGTCGATTTCCGCCTTTGAAGCACAGTCAAAGCCATTTCCAAGGTGAGCCATGAGACGAAGGACCTGAGGGTCGGGGTTACATTTAACGGCTATTTTACCGATCCGTTAGCATTCACGTTATAATATTGTCAAGAGCACGTCAAGACAGACCGTAAAAGGGCTTGACGCGTCCTAGGTTCATCTTCCAGCGAATGTGCTGGCGATAAACTTCTCCTAGATCCGCCACATAGAATGGATCCTCCTCGCCGGGGCAGCAATTCTGCACATCGATGCTGGCAGCTTTCTTTTGCAGGATGTCCAAGATCAATTCTTTGGACGCTTCACGGGCATGTGACAATTCGGGCCCGCCATGATTGGTAGAATTATAACTACCTTTACTCTCGTGATGGTACTTTTCTGTAATATAAACGTCCGTGGGTTCGAAAACCGAAGGTGCCATAACCATCCGAGAGACGGATGATCAGTTGACTAATATCAAATGGAGTTCAGACACAAATGCAGTCCGTCGGGTAAGACGAACAGAAAATAGGTGTTAGGGGGGGCGAAATGTTTCGCAACCGTGGTTGACTGGACTGAACCTCCTCGACTCTTCCTCTGGAAGAGGAAGAACCTTTAGAGAAGTCCTATGCGGCAGCTCAAGGTTTTGGCAACTCTCAGAAGCTTGGGGACAGAGGTCGAGGGGCGCTAAAGGACGAGATTGACCTTGGTGCGACCAGACCTGGGGCGATTGAAGAGGGCACTTTGGTTCAAGGTAGGTGAGAAAAGCAGTGAAGGGGACTCTGGTGGTTTCTGGAGCCGTGATCCAATGTGCCTTTGGGTATGTGGCCCAAAGGCGAGCTGACACTGGATTTATATAGATCTAAAGCACTGGCCCTGCAGTATCAAAGAAAATCAGTACGTAAGCGTTGTGAATGCTCGCTTAACGGGGCACAGCGGTCGGCACTGCGTTTTGCAGTGTGTGGTTAAAAATGAAGGGCAAAGCTGGCGGGAAGTGCCGAGAGAGCAGCTTACCTCTCGGGATGAAAGGGACAGCGGTTCACAGAGCGGAGGCGGAGTACAGATGACTCGATGGCTTGCGATTGATGGTGTTCCTTCGCTCAGGAGGGATCAGGGTAGACGCTTCGAGGAGCTGAAGAGGAGAGGAGAGGAGGGAGGGAAAAAAAAAAAATTTGGGATTTGTGGGCGAGGGGCAGTGAGGAAAAAAAAAGTGGGCGAGAAGCTCCCTTAGCCTGGTGTGTTTACCGGTAATTTTTACGCAGCTATTACGGCACCCCAAAGCTAGGGGCCCCCGCAGAGTTAGGCCGGTAATACCGCACCCTGACCGTTCAGCGCCCCGTTAAATAACGAATTCCCGCAAGCCACCAAAGGTGACCCCCTTTTTCCCTCCAGCTGGCCCATGACTCAAACCGTGCCGGAGCCTGCATTTACCGTCGCCAGAAATATATGAGGTATTTTCCCCGGCCCTTGACCGCTGGGGGTCGGTGGTGCAACGTTACGGAGAGCCATGTCACCATGCTCTTTTCGCCAACGCAGACTGGTGAACCGCCCGGAAAGCTTGAGGATCACAGCCCGGACACAATGCCGGAGTGATCGACTAGCAACAGAATTGGCCTGCAAGGTGCCCTGAAAATCATCCTTATCTCGCAGGCGCGTACTCCGTACTCCGGTCCGGAGTGTTTTAACTCGGCCAAAGCTCTTCATCGTCCGTAGAACATGGGCTGGGTGGCTGGTGCAGGTTCCCATCCAGAGGATGCACGACCAGGACGCTGGGGTTTAACTAGCGAGCTGTCTTTCGCTGGCTTTTTGAAAGCGGAAAATTTTGATCTCTGGTGCTTCATGATCATCATCGTCGTCGTCATCACTTTCTGCTGCGACTTGTAAAAAAGCTTGACTAGACTCTCCCACAACGGCCAATGCTGCATCCTTCATTAGATCGAAAAATACCAACTCGCTCTCGCATCGCTTTTTCCATGCCACAAGCACTGATGCACCGGGCGAAATCTCCAGTAGGCTCTTGATGGTTCTAACTAATGCTGGTAGGGCGTCGGAATTGTACGTGCAGTCGGACAAAAGGATCAAGTCGTGGCGCCGATCCTTGACTGCCTGCGGAAGCTCTTCGTCCCAGTCAAGGGTTTGAAATTCGATGAGGGATGATTGAGCTAGCTGAGCCGTAGAGATATTTCGGTGAATTATCTCCCGGACTTCCTCGAGGTCTGTGAGCATCACGGAGCAGTTTGACATCATCTGCGCTAGGGCAATTCCGACAATACCGCATCCTGACCCCAATTCTAGAACATTAAAGGCATGGTTATCATTCTGCCGGAGCGGTTTGCCGCCTCTGTGGCTGAAGTTGTCATGGAACTCGACAATGGCTGCCAAAGCTGCATCCCTGAAGCGCCGATAAAAATTAAAATTTCAGCCCGAAGAAAATAGGGAGACCTCGGTGCTCACCAGATATGTCTCGCAATACTGTTTCCAGTTTCTTCCCATATTTTCAGTTCCGCCCCAATTTTGGGCTGGAACCGTCTCAAAACCAACTTCTCAACGGACCTCTTCCCAGGAGATATTTCAAACAATGGGCTCCAAGCAGAGACGACTCTAGGAATGTGTGGGCCATTGAGTGAATCTGCATCCATTACCTCAGTTACAGAGCGAACACAGAGCTGAACCGTACAATTGGTGAGATCTCGCCGTATGGGCCCGAAAGTTAACTTCTGCTCTCGGCTCCCCGCCTGCCAACAAACAGTCTGTTTTAGCGGGGCGATTGGGCGTGCAAACTGCACCGTGGCACTAAGTTGAACATCCTCAGCAAGAAAGGAGTCCCCGAGGTCCGTAGTGATGGTGAATAAGGTGGTGATGAAGAAAGAATCCCCATTCTTCTTCGCTATCTGTGGTTGTTTTAGAAATCGGATATAATGAGCCATGGCCTTTTATTTAAATCAACGAAAAGGAGCTTTTTCAAGGCCTCCTGATTTACTTCCGCCCAATCACAAATGTTAAGGTCAACGTTTTCTCCAGGCTGGGACCGAACGAACTCCATGTTTTCGAGTTGGTTCGGCGGCCGTTCTGCCTTGGCTTGCGCGCACACTTGTACAGCGGTGTTTGCTCGGTTTGCTTGTTCTAGGGTGCGCCTGTTGCGCCTGATCGCCAACTTTCGCGCAGAGATCATGGACACCGGCCGGGATGCCACACGGAGGTAAATGAAATGCAATCTGCTATCTACACCCTGTACTCCGTATCCGTATCACCTTGACATTTCCAAACCAGAACCGCTTGAGCCCTAATTCAATAGGTAGATAATTGTTACTCTGGCTTCAGTTTGAAATCTGTATGCGGTATTCCTTGGTCATTTCATATATCTATCATAGTCCGAATAGAACATTTCGTTAACATTATTTTGTTACTACATCCTGAATATTGACAGCTTGCTTAGTCTTATAGTTTCTCATAAGATATATCACCCCAGAAACTATCATCAACATCCCATTTACTGCCAGTCTTGGTTTCCTCTTCCTCCGAGGCTCTGTTCTCTCTTATGTACTTCAAATCTTGGTTCTTCGCAGCAAGGTTCCAACTTTCTTCTCTCCTGTGTTGCGGCTTTGTTTTCAATTCCTCTTTATGGCTCATCCCTGCTCCTGTTGTTGCTATATGCTTTCACGCACATGGTGCAACCAATGACAATTTTGACACCGGTCTCATCATGCTCAAGCACCTCACTGCTCAAGGCGTGTAACATGACCCTTTCATAGCCTTTCCTAGCAATACTGGTAAAGTTGATAGCAATTATTGTTTAGTTTCCCGGGCATCTTAGCCAACTCATATTTTGGACGGAGGACATATCCTGATTGTGTGATTCCTACCCCTACGGCTTTCGCAGGTTCGGTCAGTGTAGTCTTATGACATTTAATTTGTCACATATATTTCGCGTAGTTATCAGCGTCCTTATCATTTGTGAGCAGGGTTTTGGGCCTTGGTTTGGCCGGTAATGAGGGGACATGTTGGTTTTAAGGTTGGACCTATTTATGATAGATCAACCTTAATCCAACAATCGCTTTTTATGACAGCACTGATTAACGAGTGGTAAGCTGCATATTATATTGCTGCTGGTGCTCTGTACAGATAGAGTGCACAAAAATACAAGCTGGAGAAAATGAAGAGAAGGAACAATACATAAACAAGATGTCTGATCATGTATATACATCTAGCAGCCCTAACACTTGGCCCTTGGTTTCGTTGTCAGGGTTACGGAGCAGATTAACCATATTCTTTTGGATGAAAGTTTGTTTGAAAAACTGTACTCAAAGAGTTTACTCTATTCCTTTCGCGCATCCAAGGTTTCTTGTGCCCCTTGGGGCTGAGCAAAGTAGAAATATAAACTGAAATGATTGATGCATGAGGGGGAAAAAAAAGATGAAGAATGAAAGACAGAGGTAAGAAAAAATGGCAACGGACAAGGCGGTTTACTCAAAACAACCATTGACCCAAGGTCTTCGCATTAGTAGCATGATGGGATTGTAGCCCAGGCCGTGGTGATACATGTGATTAGGGCGTCGCAGCAGACACTGACAGCCAGATTTTCTGCTGGCAACAATCACCCAGAAGAGGCTCACCGGCTCTTTGCACTATGTATCATCCAGTAGAACAGATAAGGCTGTTAAAAAATGATGAGCCGACTCGACCGAGATCAACGACCAAGTTCACGACCAACGAGCAACCAGCAGCTCTTGCTTACCTAATGATGCTTTTCGGCAAAGTATAAACTGGCCTCTGGTTGGTGGGTTCATGCAATTTGCGAGGCTTGGCGAAGCCACTTGGCGTCTGACGTAACGTGCAGGAGTTCGTGGGTTGCGGCCAGTTGACTCTGGGGTTGGGCGGACCGCACTGCCGCTTGGGGAACATCCCGTCAGGCTTGTGTTTCAAAACCACCCATCTCCACGACAGGCACTATCAACCACGCTTCAGATGCACTCACCAGCCAACATATACTCGACTCCCATTCAATGCGTCCACCACACCCCATTTATCCCTCTTAATCCGGCCACGGACCACTGGCACCTCCCTAGACCGTGCTATCATCTGTGACCATGCACCCAAGAGATCCTCGAATCCGTCAAACCATCAACCAGATATCCCAGAACATCGAGTCTGCAAATGAAACCGCCCAGGAGGAGATATATGCCTTCTCTCACAACTACTTAGCCCCCTGCTTCGCTTCAATCCGTGATTGCATAGGCACATGCACCGCCTCATGCTTCCCCCGCCGAGACGATGTCTTGCGTCGTCGGAAGCGCGGAGCGTCGAGGGGGAGAGCTGAGCTGAATTTCGACTTTTACGATGACTGGGACTACGATGAAGATGTGATGGGTGATCAACCCCTAGGGTGGGGAAACGATGAGCTGGACAGACTACTTGCGGGGAGTAGTGGAAGTCGTGACCAGCCGCGCAGGAACCGACGTATGAGTTATGGCGCGCGTGGTGGGCGCAGGAAAAATTCCATCCTACAGCCCGATGAGAGACAGGATCCGACGGTGATCCCGAGTTCGTCGTTTCTCGGGTTCTTGCAACGCTTCCCATGGCGAATAGGGGCCCGAGGGATAAGGTACAGGCCGTCCGCGGCTGATATGCAGGAGAACCCTGGTGGTCTGAAGAGAAACACACTCGAGAACGAGCCCCTCTTGGAAGGTAGCGAGGAAAGTGACGAGAATGCGCAGAAAGCGGACCGTGGGGATGCTGCTACCAGACAGAGAAGCAGTACACAGTCGTCACAAGGCACTAGCACCTCGCTAAGCTCACGGGGTGATCTTATTCTTGGCGATGAGGAAGAAGATGCAGTCCCTCTTAGCGACGAATTTGCCATGGCACTTGAACGAAGACCAACCAACCTTGGAGACGAATCTGCCTGGCCTCGGAGGTCCGTATCGGGAACCTCCATCTCGGGGGGATCCAGACACACTGGCAAAGGGAAAGGAAGACGCGGAACGAGAAGAAATACCACTGCCTCCAAGAAATCATCTGAAGCGTCTTCTGGTGTGAATACGATCGATCAAGCAGCCCTCCCTGTTCCTTCCATTGCAGATTTACAACGGGAGGAAGAACAAGTGCAAATGGAAGAGGAGATGGAAATAGAACGGAAACGGCAGGCTGCACAGAGGCTCGCCCGCCGGAGAGGCTTGAGTGTCAATGGCGGAAAACTTGAGGTAGTGAACATCATCCATATTGCTCACGGCGTCTAACATTCTCTTCTGCAGGAGACTCCCGCTCAGGATAAACTTCTGCCGTCTAGCCAGGAGTTCGCTGTTCCTGATTCAACACCTCTTTCTATCCCGGATGCCATCCCGGGCGATGGACCTGATGACACTAGTATTGCATCTCCGCCCTCCAAGCCTCAGCCAACGGACATTGAATAATGAAGCTCTTGATTGATTTTACAACAGCTCTATCTTTGCGCTCTAGATCTAGCTCTTGAGCGTTTTATACAATATGGGATTTGCTTAGAGCGTCCACGCACTTCGAATATGCATGAATAGAAAATCGGACCAAAGACTCGTCTCTGGCCTGCGCAAATGCGGTCACATGTTTCAGTTGCTCAACAATGGACACCAAACTTTTCCATGTGTCAGGAAGGTAGCTACGCTTTCAGTGGAGTTGAAAAAACAAAAAGCTGAGAATTCATGGTCTATTTCAACCGGAGAATGGTTTAAATACTCATGAACCAGGTTATAATATAGGACTTTCGTCTAGCACCGAGAACTACCCCAAAGACTGCAGCCCGGTCTCTGAGCGAAAAGTTCGAATTTGAACATCGCAACTTACAAGACGCAACGGAAGCCCTTATCCGAGGAGGTTTCTAGTCCAAGGAAGGCGGCGACTTGCCCAAGATGGTCCACACCGAAGAAAGACTCAACCTTTCCTTCGGAGTTGGTGCATTCTATCCAAGGAAGGCCGAAAGCGCCAGAAGTGACAGCTCTTTCGGAGTTTGCCAGGAGCATTTTCTTCACTTCTTCCGTGGTAGACTTTGGAGATTACTGGTCAGCTTAAGCTTCGAGGCCCAGGGACTGCTCTCCCTGAGTTCATACCTTTCGAACAGCCTCTTCAGCGGCCTCCTCCCCCAGCACCTGCGATAAAATTGGCGTGAAGCCTTCTGGCTTACCGACATCTGGGTTTCCTTCGACCCAGAGCGACTTATATAGTGCATCAAGACAGGGCACTAATTTGCTTGGAGTTTCGGCGGCCACTGAACAAAGGGCTCGTTGCACCTATTGCAAAACTCGATTAGAATACGTTATCATCGTACATATTTTTCCAAGCGGGATCTACATCCTTTTCCTTCTGGATACTGGACATAGAATTAATACACTTTGAGAAGGTAAATGTTTAACTCTTACCGCCAACGTCTGGATGGGGAATCCCTTGACTGTCCCCTCCGTGACGGGAACGTTGAAATAGCGAGACCACCGGAGTCTCTCGACGTTGATCCATTTGTCTTTGTCTATATTTATTTGGTTGTTTAGCATATGATTACGGAGTATAGGCAATGTGTTACTGTCTGCATATCAACTGGGGGAGCCATACTTTTGATGTATAGTGGCGAGTTATTATTTGTTGCCTTGATGATTCCACCCAGCAAGACGGGTATATAGGACACTTCGCATTTTGCGAACACGGGTGAATGCTACAGAGCAGTATTATTAGCTTCTAATACACGATACTGGGATCGGAACCCTTTGCCTCAACTTACTCGTGTGATATAGTATGCAAGGTACGCGAAGGGGCTGACGACGTCGACGTATAGCGTAATCTTGGGAGCAGCCATTGTAGATACTAGTCTGATCCTCGCGCCGTGATTGATCATGTCTCGGGCGACGACGTCGGTGGCAATGAAGCAGTCCAGGTAACTTATATATTCTTGTATATACAGAGGGGGTCGAGCCGCTGAGGTGGCTGGTTGGTGTTTGAGGGGACAAAAGTGGTGAGACTTGTTTTCTAATCAGACATCCAGCCGAGGTTTGCTGCGTTTACCTCGCCAGCGATCGATCCATGTTCACTAGTTAATACGAGAGTTTTACTAAAGGGCGCTCGCTTTTCCACGGCACTCCGCTTGATCTCATCTGCACGGAGTAGTTAACTAACGATTGGCTTTGGACGACGCCGTTGGCGTAAGTATGCGACAGGGCGCCAACCGGGGTTTCGGGCCCGTGACGCCGCCGGCCTCGAATCAGTTGGATAATGGCGAATCTTCAGACAACACCAACCGAACGACCATCTTTTCCATCGTCATCCGCAACGTAGGAGTGGCCGCTCGTCTTCATGGCCATCTTCCCGGTGGCTTTGCTTCTGAAGATGCAGCCGGTGAAATGGATTCACAGTAGCCCTTCCCTCCCGGTCGGCTGCTGGACGGCCACCCATCGCCGCTTCCACGACGTTGGCCTTCTTTGAGCGATCTAGATGATGGCCGAGATGCGCGATGGCACGCTTGTCCTTCTTTTTCCTGCGTTGCCAGCACCGTTCGCCTCCTTATATAATCGTATTGATCATTTCGTGCATTTCGCATTCAGCAGAGCTTACTGATATACTTTTGATCCCCTCTTCTCTCCACTCGCGGTGCTCTGACGACGCTTCTCTCCGAAGCGCAGAAGCGGTTTTATGAGAGCCTGAGCCCTGCAACAGACGAACTCGGTGCGTGGCCACGATTGTCCATGGATCTGGCAACCCAATCGGCCTACAGCACGTCAGAAAGCGAATCTTCATGTCAGGATCGGGGAGTCACAGATCATGAAAGAGCGCGGAATCATGTTTCTGACGACTCGCGCCCAAGCTGTGCCCCAAGGGTCGCTGGGCCGGTTACTCCGCCAGCCAGAACGTTCCTCGAGAGCGAAGGAAGCACTCCTGTCTCAGATTCGCTAGCGCAATCCCTATTAGAGAACAGGCGTCGGGGTATATATTTTCATCGTCCTCCGGTTTTGATGCTGGGCGGCACCGGTGGCGACGGCGCTGGTTTGTCTCGTAGTGACGATATCGGCCTGCGATATCCCTCCGGTGATGGAGTTGTTGGACGAACAGACCTCGAGGAGGGTTTAGCAGAGCCTTCCAACGAACTACCGGATTCACCAAGGTTAGCCCTCCCGAATTTTCCAGCCGACACTATCAGTCCAATGGCAGTTTCAGAGCAACAAGGTGTCTCAGCAGTTGCAACTAATTCCCCAGAGACCTCTATTGGGGTATCGCTCGCCTCCCATGTTGCGATTCACCAAAACTCGGTACATGGTAGCTCCACAGACTCTATAAATCTGCCAAATTCAGATCAGATCCAACCCGAAAAGATGTCGGGCCAGCCCAGAAAGAGGAATACTGGTAACTCGAGTCCACTAGCTAGACACCGTCAGGCAGTGGATTCTGGAAGTGGGAACGGTGGCCTATGTCCACAATGCATGCACAATTTAGCGGCATCTCGCGACCCGCCACAGGAAACTGTTCCCCCAGTCGTGCAAGAAGAGCTGCTATGGGACACTGAGCGCCTGGTAGGCATGAGATATCTTGAATCGTATCGAGATATTAGGGCCTCTCCGGGTTCGAGAAACGGATTCGCGATTCGAAGTGGGTGCCGTGTTATTTGCATTGGAGACACCGTTCCTTGCAAAGACGACGAATCACGCGAAGACTCCTTTAAGATAGCGTTTGGGGACGTTTATCTGGTTCTTCGACTGTATCCAGATCTGTGGGCTTCCTGTATCAGAATCGACACTTCTACCCCGGTTTACCCTTTCACACCTAGGAGTGGGTTTAAGCCTCGATATGCAACTACAACCTGGCCCACCTCAACTAATGCCATCAAATTCTTACCTCTTTGCTGCGTGACCATAGAGGCGAACTTCAGCAAATATATTCGGTGTCACCCAATGTATGGCAATGGAAGCCAGGCCATCACCAACCCAAGCACAGGACAGGTTGTCATCCCCCCGAAACGGAAAGAGAGCTTAGCGGCAGGCAACGATGTTTTGCACCGTAATGGTGGCATTTTGATACCGCTAGACTATTACTCCCAACTGAATTACCCTATAATGAGCAGAGATGCACCCTATAGAGTTGCGGATCCTAGGGAAAAGGGGGACCCTGTGGGCCATGTCTGTGAGTCTATGCCCGTCTATTATGAGCCTAACCTCCCGAACGCCTTTCCCGTGAAGATTTCGAAAATGCAGTGGCTTCGGAAAAAGTTTCTTCGGCAAAGGCAACAAGCCGAGTCGCAGACAAAATTTCTGCCTCCAACACCACATGCAAAAGACCGCGCAGAAGGTGCTGGGTTGATACAAACGAGGCATCCGGGTGATAAAAGTAGTATTCAAGCTCGGAATGCCGAAATTCTAAATAAACTAGTATTTGGAGCCCCGTCACCAAACCAGGACTTGGCAGCAGCTGATGCTTCTTGCTCGCCTCAGACACAGGGAGGCGCGCAAATATTAAAGATTGTACCTGGTTCGAAGCAAGTCCTGGGCACTGCTGTATCTGAGCCTTCACCTACTTCATTTCGCCCCCTTGTTGACCGCATGTCACGCAGCCGCTCTGGCTCTAGGTTCGGGTCAGCTTTGGGCACTCGGTCACTTACACGCTCAAATTCAGCAAAATAAAGCGGTCTATGCGTGAGGAAGGGATGAATCCGAGTCATGCATGGGATGCAGCCACAGAGAAATTTGTTATTGTTATTGGGCAATGCAGGATGTTATTGTACAGGCTTTACTCCAGGTCTAGTAACATATCCCTTTATCAGGCTTTCATGCTTGCTTTCTTTCATCCTCATGTTACTTATTGAAAGTATCTCATGGATTTGTCATAGCCCAGGTGAACTGTTAACTATGCGTGCTTAGTCGGCGTCATCACAAAGTTCATCCCCCCAGAGACTTCATTCCTCTGTTCCAAATAATTTTCTTTTCCGGAATAACACTGTTTCCTTAACCCTTTGGCGAACATCGTCACTCAGGTCTACCTCATCAGCAATAACAATTTCCAAGAGGTCATTAAGCAGGCCGTGCAACAGTTCATTGATCTCTTTTGGCTCACAACTGTGGAGGGCAGTGAGACTGCCCGTGCTCTCCGATTCACCATTTGCTTGTGAAGCTGTCACTTTATTCCTCCCTGCTTCACTGTCCCTTGACAACCTCCGCTCCCTGCTTCTTGCTTCCACGCGGCGAACTTCATCCACAGTTTTGTCAACTACATTGTCCACCATTTCATACATGATTTCTCTTAATTTCTCGTTTTCCATTTTGCTGCTTGCTGAAGCAGCAGCAGCTTCTCCCTCTTCTGTGGCAGCATCTTCTCTAAGGACCCGTTCTAGTGTTTCATCGTCAAGCATGCTACGCAGCAGGTCTCGGAACGAAAGATCTTCCTCGCTCCAGCCATTCCTTGATCTTCGCGAGGCGGAGCGTCTTGGAGGGCACAGAGGGCACAGAGGGCTCGGAGAATCTCTCTTCGGCGCCCAGGTCGGGTTGAGCATTGTAGGATCCGCCGAACGATATGGCCTTTTGTTTAGGCCCTTGGACCAAACTTGAAGTTCAGGTTCTTCGATTGCAGGGACGAGAACGGGGCTGGTGATGAAAGAATTCGGGGCTTCTTGCTCTCGGCGTGCCAGCGATACCACTTGTTCTTCAGTTGCGGGGTTGACGTTGTCACGCTCTTCCTGCTGGCGCTGGCGCTGTTGGTCTCGCTCATGTTGTTTGAGTTCTTTGTGCTTTTTGCTGAGTCTGTCTCTTTCATCTTGCGTGAATGTGTGAGAACACAATGCAAGCAGAGGGGGTTCATCGTCATTCTCGTCGTTCATGTTGTTGGTAGGACCCTGAGTTGGTCGAAGCTTTACTAGAGGCTCAGGAACAGCACGTTTGCGCATCTTTTTGATGATTCTTTTGAGGGAGCAACATTTCTGCTTTTTGAATGTTGCTACCAGTTTTTGAAAGTCTCGAGAGTCTCCAGTCTCAGAGGTGGCACGCAAACGGTTCGTTTGCAGCCTAAAGATTCGATTGAGGATGGTCCCGAGGTTCTCGACTTTGAGTTTCTTCCCAGCTGTTTCGAAATGGCGGAGGGACTGAGGCCTGTTTTTGCTCTCTTGGCCGATCGCTTCTTTGCTAGAGGTAGCTTGCATGGCGTATGTCCTGGTGAAGCAGGTCTCTTCCCGAGATTTTAGGGGCCAGGCTTTGATGCTGGAAGAGAAAGAGAGAGGATGGAGGTAGAAGGGTGAGAGAAGATGCAGTGAGGGCAGTGATAAGGAGATGTTCTCGGGCAGGTTTCCTGCAGATGAAAGGAGGAGATTATTTTCACTTGTTAAGGAGGCGTTCAGAGGAAATACTAACTGGCACGGGACATGCCGTTGTTCTCTTGCTCACGAATCCTACCGCGTTACACCTTGTTTACCCTTTCACATGAGCTGGGCATTTTTGCTTCCCTCAAGAGCTGCTCTGCTTCCTACATACTGTCTTGGATGAAATGGGGGGTCTATGGGTTACCATGGCCTCTTAGATAGGGGCAAAGAAGCGGCTGAGCGGTCCCCTACAAATTTGATCTTTAGATAGGAGCTAGGTATCCGAAATATCAGTCCCTTTTAGGTGCCCTGTCTCATGCCAATTTCTGGTGGCTGAGGGAGCAGGGGGTTTCTGGGGTGTCCATGGGGTAGCAAGCCTACATGATGTGCACCGGTTCAGCCTCGAGTCCCAAAGGAGGGGATTTATGGCATTCTAATGCATAAACATTGGTCTACGATGAGGGCCTCTAAGAATTTGATCCTGAGGGAGTGGAACCACTATCTTGGGCTCTTTATATTAGGTTTTATATTAGCCACTATATATTAAGCATGTTAAAGCACAGCTTATGTACTAACCAGTGTACAAAGGCAAGGCTCTTGAGAATCAAGGTCCATCTAGAGTAGAGCCCACAATTGTAGATAAGAGTAGGACGCTCTATTATCATTAAGAGTAAACAATGCTTGCAGGTATCTCACAAGGGTATCGAAGCTGGACAAATTGTAGTTGCAAAACCAAAGATGAAGAGATAAGAGATTAAGTAAAATATAAACTGAAAAGACGTGGGCAATGAGGTTAGAATAAGAAAGTCAAGAAGCTCGTAGTACACCCAAAACCCAGCTTCGAATCATGGATGTCCTCGCCTAATTCGTTCGAGAGTAGCAGGGCGTAGCAGCGGGGGATCTTCATCGTAGGTTGAGGGCTGCACAGATCGAATGGAAGCAGCGGTCATATTTCGTTTTCCTTCCCCAGTCGCGAGTCTCGCGTGGTTGGTACGTAGTGGAAGATGTGGTCGAGATCCTCCTCTCCTTTGGCATATTGTCAAGTCATGAGCTGCCGTGCTCGGAACTTGCTGGTTTTGCTGGGCAACTTCACGCGCGTAGTAACGACGTTCTCCACCTAAAATCGGCTGCCGAGGGAGTCCTGGAAGATCTTCTCTCAAGTCTATCAGACCAAGGATCTCCATGGTAGCAAGTGCAATGTCTGTGTATGAGAATTGTCTGTCTGCCATCTGTGTGATGATATGGCCGAGCCCTTGATCATTTTGTCGGAATTGCGCAACGATGAACCTTCCTATCTCTGTGCCAGACATCCCGCTATCGATTTTTTCTGCTACAAGTCCGCGTACTCGTGCTCTCTCTCGGGAGTTGATGTTTTCGATTTCAAGGTATACACCACCTCTAACTAGCCGGTCAATAAGCTGCCATGAAGGAGGAGGAATTTCCTGGTCGTCAAAAGCCCGGTGAACCGGTGGAGGAGCTGCACTTTGGCTAGATGCCATGCCTTGATTGGAAATACTTGGCCTCTCGTTGGCGTTAGTTTGATCTGCCGCTGGGATTGATAAGTTTTCCATGTAAAAATAGCATCGTCAGAGGTGAGAGGCTCACATTTAGCGCTCTTAGGCTCCTGTGAACCCGTTGACTTTGACAGCCATGAAAAGGGCTTTTTAAAGGCGTGCTTCAACATATCCCGGCCTTTAGTGTCTTCCAGATTGGGCATCACTTATAAGTAGTATGCAAATTAGCGTTATTTCAATCGTATGAGGGCCCGTTATAGCTCTGGATGTCGTGCTGAGTGTGTAAATAGGCCAATGCTGCCTTGTACTGTAAAAAAAAAAAACAAAAAAAAGGAAAGAAAAGGACCTATAGATAAGAGGGTGTAATGGATAAAGCGGACAGGTCTAAAAGGTTTCGAGTTCGAATAGTTGAAAGACAGCTTGATTTCTGTTGAGGAAACAGATATTGGCTTTTGAACTGAGATGAAGGAACAGTTCATCACCCTTTGTATGCATCACTTAGATGTTAGAATTGTGCGCGAGCACATCGTTAGGAACATCCCTTTGCATGTGATATTCAAACGTGGAAATATATCGTGTTTGTGTGAAGCAATCACTTTGTCATGCTTTGTACTTGATAGATGTAAGAAAGTTTGTGCAGTTAAAATGGTGTTAAGTCTGGGACCTGCCGGCCTGGCAAAGGAGGCATGCATGGTGAGGCATATAGCAAAGGATATAATGAATGTGATCTTTCAGGCCATGGTATAAACTGTAACTGTTATGAGGGTAGAAAGGAAAAGTTATAAGTCCTTGGTTAATGAACTGATAGGGGGAAAGTTGCCGCAAAACTGGATCGGCACCATTATCATCTGGTAACATCAAGGTAAGATTATAGGGAAGAATAAAGTGATAAGGGAATGCTTTATGAGGGTATCTATAGCAGTACTGTGCAAGAAAGGAAGTCTGGGGAAAAATAGGGACTCTGAGAGGGAAAGAAAACACAAAGCGATCTCTAACATGACCGGTCCTTTGAGAGTTTGCTTCAAGGGATATGCCTCAACTTTCGACATTACTCTGATGGACTTCAAAGCCAAAGAATCCATCGAATGCCACTTACACTGCCTCTCCAGATACCCCTGAGAAGCTTCCACATCATCACGATGGTCCAAACCCACCACATCACCCCAACGAGCACCCACTCAAGAAGCACATAGCCTACGCGGCTAACCCAGCGAAATCTGCGATTTCGCTTGCGGATTCCTTTGTCCAATGCATCGTGCAGCTGCTTGATGGCCAGAGTACTTGTGGTTGCAAGCTGGCCAGTGAGATGTTCCGCTTCAGTGCTCACTCCACGAAGACGACAGTTGAGGGATGAAGTAATTAGTCGGTCCAAGCAGTCAAGTTCACGGGTTAAGCTTGGGAGATCCGATTCCGAGAATTTGATGATCGAGCTTTGGACATAACTAACCCTGTCATCGAAGGCTGTTAGTAATGTTTTAGTGGCTTCTGTGGCTGGTTTCTGGTCCCCTATATACGGCAAAGGGTTAAGTCGGTCGTCAGGGGACCCAGTATAAAGTGGGTTGAAAGTAAACGCTGATGGAGGTGTGTTGGCATGTAGACATATTTCCTGGGCCTTTACGCCTGTAGAGAGCAGATGGGCTCGGACACGGACGATTTCGGCTTTGCTGATGCGATGGGACTGGGAGTATTTCGGAATGCTGCGGGATGAAAGACTCCAGTTTCGAGTAGCTTCGGACAGTTTGGGCCTGCTTGGCGCAGGCAATGCGACGTTATAGACGGGAGTATTATCATCCTTTTGTGGCAGATGGGGCGTTTCCTTCCGCAACTTCGAATTTTGGCCAGACGAGAAGCTTTCTTTATGATCAATTAATAGTCCAGTATCGGGACTTTTCATCCTTTCGGCGGGCCCTGGTTGACTAAAATCCTCTAGCGCATCCGGTTTTGGCGGCGAACTATCATTTGGGACACTGGGTGGCGTGGATCCGGGAGACATAGCGCCATGTTTCAGAGATGATGTGAAGGTGGGAAGGTGAGGAATACTATGCTTTGACAGTTCAGGCGTCTGGTCTTGCGTTGGGAGTCGAGTCAATCTCAGTTTCAGTCTTCGTTTGCTATTACCAGTATCATCATCGGCATCTACGTACTCGGAAACGCTAGATGCGGATGAAGACTGGCGTGAATGACTGGAAGGATCTTTTTTCCGAATCAAGTCGCCAACCTTAGACACCTCGTTCCCAACCAATTCAGCAATCCTGCCACCCTTGAATAGCCCACGTCGCTTTTGATCCGGCTCTTTTCCACCTTTGCCTCCTCCAGGCGAACTGTGTGTTCCATGGCGAGAAAATTGTGTTGGAAAAGTAGGCCCAGGAGATCCGACTCGCTCTAGTTCTAAACTTGATGTCGCTCCAACACGGAACGGATCACTAGGGGAGTATGGCAAATCGACATTGGTCTTCTGCTTCTTGGTTTTTTGACGATCAAGGGAGGCGCGAGGTGACAAGTGGTGTCGTCTACTCGGTGAAGCCTCTCGACTTACTGAAGGAGAAAGATTAGCCGTTATACTCGGAAACATCGGTTTTTCAGAAGGCGTCCGTCTGACTACGTCATCGTCTTCGAAGGACGCACGTAGGATGGCTTTGTCGGAATTATAATCGGCGGAGGAAATAGATCCCGCATAGCGGTGGTGAGATAGTGGAGATTTTGATTCGCTCACGCTGGTATCTAGAGGAGGCAGCAAGCCATCCATCACATTTTGTCGGCAAGGAGTATCCTCGCGTCCTGTGAAATCCTCGATGAAATAACTATGGTCATCCTTATTTTGCAAGGATCCGGAAGAGCTCCTCGACCGACTCAAAGCATGTCGCCAGCCTGATTTGCTGTTATCCCTAGGATGGCTGTGGCGGGGCGTAAGATGGATAGAGTGCGCAAATCTGTGTATTCGCCGGCCTCTATTTATATTGGATGATCCTCTGGATCCGATAGATGTAAAACTTGGTAACCGTCCGGTGGAGCAAACTGGGTCGTATGATATACCAGTCGGACGGAGCTCTGGCGAAGGACTATGTGATGTCAATTGGATGGATTTTAATTTGGTATCCGTGGGAAACACTTTATTTCCATCTTTATCTTCGAGTTTAAGCTTGTTCCGGCCGGCCTCAACCCAAGCTGCATCGGCCAATAGATCGGCCGGGGTGAAGACCCAGTCCATCCGAGGGCGACGTGGTTTCGTAGTATCGTTGGTGTTTATGCGGCCAGGGCTTGAAAATGACTCCTGGGGTTCCTCTGAGGTCCCAGCGGGAGTATTGAGTGGGGGTAATTGAACACACTCGGTAGGCTGGTATTCCCCTTCATCAAGAACACTAACCACACCATCCACCCAGTTTCGGACTCTATCGACATTCTCCCAGCCCTCTTCCTCTGAATTAATCGCGGTCCTTTCGCGAAACCTCACTTTCCGATTGCGTATGTATTGGAGAGGGTTATAGACTCTTCCTCGGGCGAAAGACCTAAGAGCACCAGATGGGTCTCCTTGCTTCGTAAGACTCGTCGAGGACTGCAGCGGGGGGAGAGAAGTGAGTAAACGTAAATACTCAGCAAAGAGCTCAAAATGTTGCCTCGCTTTGTCCGCTCTCGCAATTGTCCCCGCAGACAGTTCGGAGAATTCCAACTCGCAACTCCCACTGTCGAGAAACGGAGCTGGCAGCAACGAGCGCGACGTTGAACCTTGGCGTTTTGACTGTCTGTCGTCGTCTCGTGGCGGCAGAATTCGGGTCTCGGGTACCGGGCTACACGCTGACAGACGTCTATCGCGCGGAATGCCGCCGGACACGGTTCGTCCGCCCATGGTTCGCCGGCGAGACTCGCCTAGACTAAGTGCAAGGTTGACAATCTGGGCTGGATCCGTATCAAGTCCTATCAAAGTCGAGCCATGGGGACGACCAGTGTTCGATGGTCCGGGTTCCGAGGGGTTACTGCTGCTCGCTTGGTCTCCATCCTGGGAACTACCCGCATTAACTGACTGGCCTGCATCTGGATGGCCATGCGGGTGGCTAAGTGAGGTTTCATGCTGTGCGCTGGGCTGGCCTCCCCGTCCCTGGGGTTGTCTCTTTTTAACCAGCAACTGGGGCTCGTTGCTAGGTCGCTTGCTTGCTTGACGATGCTCTGTTTGCCGGCTAGCTCGGGAGCTGGAATTCGAACTTCTGGCAGTGCTGAAGGCTGACCCTAGTCGAAAGCTGCTGCTGCCTTGATTTCTATATCTTCTTTGTGACGCTCGACGTTCCAAGGGACTACCTGTCCTGCGTGCGGATTCATCCTCAATTGGCATATCAAAGCTATGACGGAGTGTAGATTTCATGTTGTCCCCTGGCAGGCTGACTGCTTGAGGTGAACATCGGTGTGGGCTTTGCTTCTCATTCATACATGCCCCTTGCCTATCGTTGTCACAAGCAGACACGTGGTCATGATGGGTGAGCAAATCTCATGCAGCATCTACAAATGCTGCGATATGACAGCAGGGGCTTAGCTGTATATTCTGTAGTATGAGTGTCTATTGTAGGAGGGCTGGGGTCCTAGGAGCAGATTCGCAGCGTCCTGCAAGCTCTCATCATTCTCCTGATCCTTGTCGGATGAAGTGATGTCTTGTCTACGTGGCTTGCAGGTCCGTGCGTAGAAACAGCGCCAACGATCGGGTGCAAACATGACAAACAACGATGGAGAGCAAACAGTCCAAACGTCCCAAGGCGCAGCACTGGGGTACCAGATCAAGGTACGAAGTATTTTACAAGGAATTCATTGCAGGATTCGAGGTCTAAACATCTTTTATCTAGGAAATTGCAGGGAAGGATCGGTAGGTTTACAATACAAAGGCGGGAAACTGGCGAGACTAAATCGCCTATTCCACCTGAAGGCACCGGAGACGAGCTTCGGTTTCGATAAGCTACATACCGGATAGACAGTCAGCATTAGTTCCGCATGTATTGATTGGAGTGGTGCATGTAGAGCGATATCTTACCTCAAGAGCCTGATTAACCTCCAAAACCCTTCTCACATCCGCGAGCCAATCCTTGCTCAGTATCTTGGACCATCCTTGCAATGAGTTCATTTCACGTGCGGCATCATCGAGTCTACCCTCTTCGAGAAGGGTCTCAGTTCGAGTGAGAATGCTTTCTACATCATCCCCTTCCTCTGAGCCCTGCTTTTTGAACATGACCTTGCTCATCATGTAGCTAGCTGCGTGGCTTGCGATACCAGCATTCTCAGGCAAAAGACTTGCCTTGCGGACCTCGGTAGCTAAACGTCTAAATCTTTCGATAATCTGAGCTGAGGATGGGATACCGCGTTGATAGGCAACGGGGCTGATCGACGAGATAGCAGCATCAACAACTGGGTCACCAGCAGCGAGTTCTTTCACAGCAACAAGCTCATTAATAAACGGTCTGGGAATGTCAGAGTTTTCGAGGGCGCTGCGAACAGCGTCCACTGCAACTTGAAGTTGCTGCGTCGTTAAGTTAGTATCAACAACGCTGTTCCATTCCGCGGTCAGCCTCTCAAGTTCGCCCACGTTTGCTGTCAGTTCGGAAAGTTTGCTGAGACGTCCTTCTCGCTCATTCTCGACCAGGGATCTCACATCACTGAGGAACTTGCGGTTTAATTCTATCGCCTGCTCGACGAGCTCGTTCCGGAGCCTTTGCTCAGAGACCTCTTGAACTCTCTGAAGTTCGGTCTTTATCTTTTCTTGGTAGGCACGGGCTAATCTCTCACGTTCGGCCTCATATTCCTCACGGAACTGGGCAGCATCGTCAGCACGGACTTCGTCGATGCGCCGAATCAACTCATTGGCGGATTTTTCCATATCTGCTCGAGCTTTTTCAATCTCCTCTTGGGCAAACTTATAAGACTCTTGTTTTGCCGCAATGATACGTTCCCCAAGCTTTTCGAAATCCGCCTTTGCCTTTGAAAGCGTAGATGTAAACCGAGAAGATGACTCATCAGCATTTACTACAGAGATGAGATCATTTACGATCCTCATAAGCTCCTGAACCGTAGGTTCGTCCTCGATGGCGATGGAAAGAGGCTGAACGGGACTAGCAGTTGGCAAAGCCGGGGACCTAGCTTCTTCCAGAGCTGGTTTCTTGCTTTCAGCCGGTGTGGTTTCCTTCTTGATTGCAGGTGCGGCCTCTTTCTTAGCTTTGACTTGCTCAACGGCAGCAGTCTTTTCCTTATTCACCTCCGTTGCGCTCATGTGTTTGCCTTTCCGAGACACATCGCTTCCTGCTTCCTTGGCCTCGCTCTCTTCCTCAGAGACCTTCCATGAGAGCCCACTCTTGCCGGGGATAGTCACATTTTGTCCCTCTTCCCGAGGTCCTGTCACACGCCGGGTGATTTGTCGGGCAGCGTTGGGGAACCGGCGACGGAAATCCTGTTCTTCCACATATAACACAGCCTCCTCACCATACGGGACATATTCGGTAAAGAAGTCATGGAAGTTATCGGATGTAAGAGAAAGCCAGATACCTCCGGCATAGGCGAGTCCAGTAGTCAGGATTAGATAGATCAAGAACCGTCTGAACCTTCCACCTTTTTTGGGTGCAGGAGGCGGACCGGGCGGTGGCGTGTTTGTCTCCGGGGGAGGTTGAGCACGGCCGTCTACAGAAGAACCGGGCGAAGTTTGAACGGGGTGAGACTGTGGTGGCCGGGGCACGCCCTCAGGCGCAATTGCCGATTCTGACGATGGAGATGGGGGTGTTCGAACGTGGGAATCGTTTGCGAGTATTGCGCTCGTCGTGAATGCATTGTTTCCCCGTACCGGCAACACGACACCATCAAGGGTAGGAATCGCCTTGAAAACAACCGGAGATTTTCTCGTTCTAGAATAATGTTTCTGTAGAAGTACTTAGCATGACGAAATAATTCACAAGGCAATGGCCAACAGCCTCCTTTGCCGGCAGAGAGGGCGAGCATGAACTACCTTGCCAACAAGTCCTCCTCGGACCCGCGAAGATTGGAGCCATTGGCGGCCGGTGGTGGGTGAAAGCAGCTGACGGCTCGGCGCAATTGAAGAGCGTATCATGGCGCCGCGATTTGCCCGCAAGAGGCTTGTTGATGGGGTGTAAACTGTCGGCGTCGGAGAGTTGAACTTGGGAGGTTCGGAAAAATGCCCAGATGGAAGCGGGTGTTTTCTGTCCACGAAAATTTAGCGTTTCTGGGACCCAACTCCAACCCATCCGCCGAACCTCCATTAGCTCATGAATGTACGAGACAACAAGTCAAATGCGGCAAAAAGGGATCTATATTCCGGTCTCATACAGCAACCTCATTTATTGCGAAAGATAGACATACGGACCAAAATATGGTATCGTCTGAGAGCTGGATTGTTCATGCTGCCTGGAAAATGACTAAATCATTGTCCCCTTCATGGACTCAATGGGCTACACACTTCAACTTATGGACACGGCAATGGTTACCAGTGATTAGTACGGAGTAGAATTAGTCGTATGTATGAAGTACAGTTTCTATCAAAATTTCAGCTAAGCCTTGACTCCATGAAAAGCACCACGTAACATTTAGGCCTCCTACGTCTGTGAACGAAGAAGACCCGGAAAGGCACACGACACCCCTATATCGTGGGGACACACACACAGAGAGTAACAAGAAGTCAACCCCACGAAACCCGTGTCGAGAGAAGGCTCTGCATATCGGAGTTGAGTGAGAGATGGAATTGTATTGGAGGTGCCGGGTCACCCACGGCCGGAAAGGAAAGGTTGCGGATGGTCCCAGCTGTATCTGATCCAACCCAGTCGCTGGGAGGATATCCATAAAGATAGTAAAGTGTCCGCCCAATGGCATACTTACTGCTCGCTTCGACGGTCGCCTGTCCTCAAAGCAAATAGAACGTAAAGGCTGTGCACCACGCTGTGACTCGTCCCCTGTGAGGACAGTCTCCCCAAAATTACCTAGTTTAATGTAATAGCGGCTATCAATCAGTATATTCCTCGGGGTAATGCCACCATGGGAATACCTTATCGCCTCCAACAATGCCACAGCTGATACAATCTGAGATGGCTATCTCATATTGAGATCATCGCTGGGGTGGAACACTGGGTACCCCAAGTCACGGTAACTTCTGGGACAACCATAAGCGCAGCACTGATATTTGGATTAGATTTCTGCCAAAGGCCGCAAAATATTGTTTTCTCAGGAAATACAGACTCCTGGGAAGTTGGTTCCTTGCAAGGGGCGGTTTTGAAGGCTCCCCATGGATGGAGCTACTTCAAAGCCGCGAGAATTCTTCCTTTCCCTGTTACACGCTCTATGTCACACCACCATTCTAACCTATGGCGGCGAAGCACTTGTCCTCGCCTTTCCGGGCTCCATTGCTTTTAAATGTCCTATGCAAATGGGGCTACGGCTGTGAAATCCCAGAGGCGAAGAAGGGTTAGGTCTGACGCTGGCTGCTTGTTCCAGTGTGATGTTTAGGAGAGCTTGGGCGTTACCCTGAAGGATCTGCCGGAGCATGGCTAATCCATTCCCCTGAATGCATCAGAATGGCTCCGTCAAGGCTGCGGAGTTATTTGTTGGGCATTGATCCGTAGTGCGTCGGCTCATCCGAGCAGCTCAAAGGCTTCAATTTAGATTGGGATCAGGGAACCGAAGCTTCTTCCATCTTAGTGGACACTTGTTCTATTAAAAAGTGGTAGAAGAAACACGACAAGCTACAAATCCTGCGCCCAAATCTGACAACCTCTGGAAAAGCACAAAAGAATAGGCAATCACATTCATAAGAAAATAGAATGAAGAACATTAGACCAGTAAGTCCCCCCCAAAAAACACCGAAGCAGGAACAGGACATAAATCACAGGCATGGAGTAAGGCGCCATTTAGACAAGGGTCTAGTGAGAATGCGATAAATGCTAAAGGTTCTCAAGCGCCAAATAGACTGGGATAGTATTAGGGACTGATGGGAGCGAAGAGCGGGTAGCACTGAAGCACACACATGGTGCAAGAAAATGGTTGGGTGCGCCGAAACAGATTCTCCCCCCTTCAAAATAGCCCCAGCACCTCTTGGAAGGCTTGCTAGTAAATCCAAGTTGCCATATTGTAAAGGTACTTGAGGGAATATAGATACGTCCGGAGGTGGATGGGGAGACGTGAAACGAAGTGCATTGCGAACTACAACCTGGTCACCGATCTAGCAATTGCATCCTCCAGCTTGGGTATTGGCGGATTCCGGTCGCAAATCTACTCCTGGGCGAGGGTTCGATCGAAGATTCCGTGGGCCCGCTTGATCCAGGGGCAGTTTCTTTGCGATGGCAGTGAATAGTTCTCTCACATTAGTTGACGTTTTTGCTGATGTCTCGAAGAAGAGTAACCCAGCCTCGCGCGCATAAGCCTCAGCATCAGCGGTTTGAACAGCGCGTTTATCTGGGCTATCTGTCACAAGATCAAGTTTGTTTCCGGCCAAAGCAATGATGATATTTTCGTTTGCCTGTCGTTGGAGCTCCTTCACCCATGATTTTGCTTTGTCGAGGGAAGACTACATCAACAAGCGATCGGTCAGCAACTTGGGGAAGCGTAGCGGGGAACAGGGTAGATAAGTACCGCTTGGGTAATATCATAGACTACAACTGCGCAGTTTGCATTGCGATAGTACATCGGGGCCAACGACTTGTATCTTTCCTGGCCAGCAGTATCCCATATTTCGAATTTCACGGTGGTGTTCTCATCGAGTGAAATGGTCTGGGTCAAGAAAGCCGCGCCGATGGTCGATTCCCGATAATCATCGAATTGATCCTAGTAAAAGAGCTTAGCATACAATGTGTTCATCCGCAGTAGGAGCCCTCAAGCGTCGAGGAAACAGATATCCATCGCTCACCTTCACAAAGCGCAAGACTAGAGAGCTCTGGCAGGCAGCAGTTAGCATGATTGCAGGAGATGCGGAGACGGGAAAAACTCCACCTTTCCAACAGCAGACTCCCCTATCAAAGGTTATGACCGTCAGCTCACATAGCATCAAAGGGGCCAAAGAAAACCATACCAAGGAGAACAAGTTTGAACTGAGCGAATCTGGCGCCGGGTCGGCCTCCAACGGGTGCTCTCGCGGCCATCTTCGCGGACGATCTGGAGTTCAAACGGAAAGAGAAATCGGGAAAAGTAAAGCACCGGAAAATAAGGGTATAAAAGGGTGGTCCGTAGAATATCCGATGTCAAGGCGCTTGGGCTTGCTCGTACCTGTTCGGCGGCCTGTCGATGTTGACTGGGATGGAGATGGTGTTGTCATTCATCAGTTGCAAGTTCTGAGGATGACGAACCAAAAGTGCAGCTTCCGCCCCAGCCAACCACAGGGAAACCCAGGGCGCCACTATGGAAACGCACCTATTGGTAAGGCCACGGTGCAACAACGCCGGGAGCACGGGCTCTGGGAGCCTGGGCCCGCCAAGCCCTGTGTGGGTTTACCGGAGATCGCTGTGTCCACAAGGCCCTATCAGCTTCCCCCCTTTCCGATAAGCCACTTTGCTGCAAATGCGCTCCTGGGGGCCTCCAGGCAGTTTTGCTTTCTTTTGTTGTTGCAAACTCTCGTGAAGACACAGCTCTCCCCCCCAAAAATAAAATAAAATAAAATAAAATAAAAAAGAAAGAGAGAAGAGTCTTTGTCGCATGATTAAGAGCTGCACATATTTACATACTTTCTTAGAGCTTGAATCGTCGAATATGATTTGAGTGCCTTTCAATTCCTTCCACCAACAAACTACTTTCCTCACAAGTTCCTCGAAAAGAACGCGCAACCTCCGTTGGCAATGGCACCCGTTCTCCCTTACCGTGACATTAATCTGCTGGTCTCTCCTCTACATTATGCGTTCAGATCGGCATCATCGACGTCGGCACCCACTCTTGTCGTTGAGAGACCGTCAGGCGAGCTGCGACTGGACAATGTGTCGGTGCAAGGAGCCAAGCGGGTGTCAAGCATAGCCGGCATTTTGGGAATTATCAAATTGAAACTAGGTAGAACCGAGCCTTCTGCTATACTCCCCATGCGCTAACTATTTACAGATAAGTATATCATCATCATAACCAAGGCCCGTCCGATGGGAAGATTGAGAGGCCACATGGTGTACAATGTTGTCTCTACCGAATTCCTCCCACTTCGCGAACGACCGCTCCACGACCCTGACGAAGATACATACCTGTCCTTGCTCAAGCAATTTTTGCAAAACAGCCCCATACACTTCTCCTACTCGTTGGATATCACCAATAGTTTCCAGCGCCAGTCCAACAGCGATCCATCGGCCCCATTATGGAAGCGAGCCGACGACCGCTTTTTCTGGAATCGTTTCATCCAGACAGACTTGATAGATTTCAGGTCGGGTCTATCTGATGGGACCGGCATCCGATACGGCCAGCTGTCAGATGTGGATCCGTATATATTGCCTGTTATGTATGGAATGTTGCGCATAACACCCACAAAAGTCAAGTCAACGCCCTTCACTTTCGCCTTGATCACCAGACGCTCCAGGCATCGCGGTGGCACCAGATACTTCTCCCGTGGAATAGATGAACATGGCAATGTCTCGAATTACAATGAAACAGAACAGATTATAATTCTCAACGACTCAGCTGGAGGACTCCCTGGTTTTGCTGGCGGATCTGGCATGCAAAATGGCCAGCTTAGGAGTGCTGTCGGTAAAGATTTGCATGTCTTGTCATTTGTGCAAACAAGAGGTAGCGTCCCGGTCTACTGGTCTGAAATTAACAACCTTTTTTACATTCCACGGCTCCTGATCCGCAGTGTTGATACTGCCATCTCTGCTGCACGCCAGCATTTCTCGGAGCAAATTAGAATTTACGGAGAAAACTATCTTGTGAACCTGGTTAATCACAAAGGAAGAGAGGAGAAGGTCAAAAAGGCGTACGAGCAACTAGTTCGCACCCTGATAACCGCATCCTCCGAGTCTACTGAGTCAGATCCGTTGTCATCAGAAAAGTTGCACACGGTTGATTCATCAATCAGAAAACAAGAGATGGACAGGCTCCATTATGTTTATTTCGACTTTCACAATGAAACAAAGGGCTTAAAGTGGCATCGAGCGGAGCTTTTGTTGAACCGTCTTACAGACGGATTAATGCGAGGCCAATATTTTAGCGGTGTCGAGTCGTTGGGTGATCCATCCGGCCCGCTTGATATTCGACTCCTGCAGTCTAGTGTGGTCCGAACGAACTGTATGGATTGCTTGGATCGCACCAACGTTGTGCAGAGCATGCTGGGTCGCTGGACTGCGACCCGTCAATTGATTGATGCTGGTGTTCTGCAACCGGGAGAATCTGCCAGTGATGATCCGGAGTTTGAGTTCATGTTCCGAAACATGTGGGCGGACAACGCAGATGTTGTCTCGAAATCGTATTCTGGAACAGGAGCCCTGAAAACTGATTTTACTCGCACCGGCGAGAGAACAAAGGCTGGCATCCTTCTCGATGGGAACAATTCCTTGACGAGGTACATCCGTAACAATTTCCGCGATGGCCCCCGCCAAGATGCCTTTGATATCTTTCTTGGCACCTATCTGCCTTCGTCGTCCTCAAGCAACAGACTTGTGTTCGTGGATCGAAGGCCGATTATCATCCAAGCAATTCCATATATTCTTGCGGCAAGTGTTTTCATGGTTCTTGTTGCAATCTTTAGTCGCAGGCTCCCTGATTCTGCCGCTTGGCCAATAAGGCTATTCCTCATTTTCTGGATGGCTGTGGCTGCTTGGTGTCTAAGGTTTATCTATTCCCACGGCATGCTTTATGTGAGTCATGATCCAAGTATGATGATCCTAAGAGGATATAGACTAATCATGAACAACTTGTAGGTTAACTGGCCAAAGCTCAACACTCCCACGGCAGCAGTTGATGGTTATCAAGATGCATTACACAGAGCACATTCAGACAGAGTGATTGGACGATTCATACCCGCCGCTCGCCATCAGCGTGGGTTCAGCAATGTCCGCCTTGGCTATATGGAGGAAGGGAAAAAGAGAATTGAATAGCATCTGACTCGTTGTTCACGGGTATTTTCTGAGCTTCTTCAAGGGCATATTTTTCACTGTACCCTTTCGTGTTCTTTGGTCATGATAATATATTATGTGGCAACCACTTCTTTTGGGTCTTTAATCCTATCTTCCTCTTTTCCAAGGAGTGCACTGTCACAATTCACAAGAGTACATACCTATTTTAACTAGCGTACACCCTTTTTCCAGGAACTAATCATAATAGTATTAACTTCACCGAAGCAGAGCTCAGTTTATTGTGAGATATGTGAATGTTCTCTTTATTTGTGCTCAACTTTATATTAATAGAAGGCAGCCTGTGTGGTCTGTAATGTTCCCTCTGATGTATGCAAAACTTTTAACTTGTGCCTGGTTGGAACCAAAAATGGTTATTTACCAGACCTCTCTACGGAGTACTCTGCCGGTATTAGCATGATCCTTTCCCACGAAACCCCGCTACAGCTTGTCCCACAGGGTCTTTATCATTTTCTAGTTCCTGGATTATAGGATGGGTCAATTGATTCTATAGTCTCATTAAATCTGACACTGGCCTTTCAAAACCCCACTGGAATGTACCAGCCTTTTTGGAGGCCGACAGCGCTGATCAGATACAACCATTTGCACTGCTTCACAGTCCGGAACTTCTCCAAAATGGGGCGCACATATAATGTTTGCCATGATCTTTGCAAAATTGAGATTCTTACTTTTCAATTGAGATGTTTTGACTGACTTCAGGTCTCGGATCTAGGATGCTATCGTCGCGCTCAATTCGCTTCAGTCGAATTACTCGATTGTCCAGAAGATCCGCAAATCGGGGGGACGGATGAATGAGCAAGCCATGACTGAGATGGTAGAATGGTGTGAAAAGGTTGGATACAAGGTATGCGACCTTGTCTCTCTCCCGGGCTCAGATCCCGTCGACACTGAGTAGATACTAACCGTCACATTATGCATCCTTCGGTCGCGACAGCCATCGGACTTTAACAAGCTGAATGTAATCCATATCGCGGGGACGAAAGGCAAGGGCTCGACATGCGCTTTCATCTCTTCGATTCTTTCTCAGTACGCCCACCTACAGACTTCCCAGGGCGTCGAGTCGTCCTCCGAGCCGAAAATCAGCAAAATCGGCCTTTACACATCCCCACACCTTCGATTCGTCCGCGAACGGATACAAATTAATAACACACCGCTCTCCGAGGAGCAATTTGCTAAATACTTCTTCGAAATATGGGATCGATTGGAAGAATCTGCGCGAAAAAGTGGCATGGACCCCACCGACCCGGCCGGAAAGCCCATCTACTTCCGGTACCTTACGCTTATGGCATGGCATACGTACCTGAGAGAAGGTGTGGATGCCGCCATTATAGAGTGTGGGATTGGAGGGGAGTATGATAGTACAAATATTTTGGATAAACCTATTGTTGCAGGTATTTCGAGCTTGGGGATTGATCACGTTGAGCTGCTAGGTGATTCAATCGAACAGATTGCCTGGCATAAAGCTGGAATTATTAAGCCCGGATCGATAGCCTATACCGCGCCACAGCCAGAAGCGGCTTTGGATGTTTTGAAGCGGAGAGGAGAAGAGAAGGGAGTCGAAGTGGAAGTTGCCTCAGGGCACCCGGAGCTAGCACCTGGAAAAGTTCAATTGGGCTTGTCGGGCGATTTTCAATATAAGAATGCGGAACTGGCGGTGGCTATCTCAACTTCGTTTTTAAGAGCAAGAGGCGTTGCGGATGTGCCATCGTATGCTAACGGGGAGCCTCTAACAGAGCCAATTCTACGAGGCCTGGAAAATACCCGCTTGGCCGGAAGGTGTGAGGTCAGGCGAGAGAAGAATATTGCCTGGCACATTGACGGAGGCCATACGCCAGAAAGCATTGAAGCCACGGGGAGATGGTTCTCTTCGCAGCCGTACACCAGGAATGCTCTGGATGGAGGAAATGGCAAGACTCAGGTCTTGATATTTAACCAGCAATCTCGTGACAGTTCTGCTCTAGCGCGTGCCCTCTATAGCATATTGTCCGCAGGAAATTGCTCCTTTACCCATGCCGTGTTCTGCACGAATGTCACATTTAAAGAAGCAGGATATCGGCCGGACCTTGTGAGTATAAATGCAAATGCCACAGAGGTGGAGAAATTGAGCGTGCAAAACAGCCTCGCAAAGATGTGGCGGGAGATGTCGCCAGATACCACCGTTGAAGTGAAAGGCACGATTGAAGAGGCGGTTGAATATGCCCGAAATCTAGCATCTGGCGAAGGCGATGCTATGGTCTCCGTACTTGTGACGGGCAGTCTACACCTAGTTGGCGGCCTGATTGAGGTATTAGAGACGAAGCCTTGGCCAGAGTGAGGTAACAAACCCGGTTATAACTGTATAACATCGCATTTTTCAACAATCTTTAAAACATGATGTTTGACTAAACCTCCACGGGGTTTCTTCCCCTTTCTAAGAGTCATCTCTCCCGCATGGGTTTCAACGCCCTTACAGATTTCCGCATCCTTATCTCCAAAAGATTCTGCAGCACCGCGCACGTTTAGTTTTGCAAAACAGGTTTTCCCGATGTGTCCTGGATCAATAATCCCGCCCCAAAGCTGAATCCCCCCTTACTTTTCCTAGCTTGGTGGATTCAGCGTGTTTGCCCAGTTATCTTACCAGTGGGATATTTCTAACCTCCTCCGCTGGGGGTCCCGCCCTGGCGGAAGGCCATTAGGAATCGGGGTTGGTGGTTCTGGGAAAACAGCAAGGACGAGCTTTCGCTTCTGGTACACTTTTGGCTGAGACATCATTTATTTATTTCCCGCTTCTTGTAAAGAAGAGCGGGTTGGCATCACTTTTCTTTGTTGTACACATTATCATAGATTGCGGGGCAGAGTAGTTAGTATTATCTGGCGGCGATGCCTCATTTTGCGGTGGCGGCGGGGTGGAACTGGCGGACAGACGCTGCGAACAAAGCTAAACGGGAACTCGTTACACCTGATCTCTCTTGCCCACCATGAATGCTTTAACCCGCTCAAACCTTTGATAATTCCAGCAAATATTATTATTCCTCGGGCTTCAATTCGACCTAGGTTTTATATTCTCGGGGACGATTTACCTAAACCATTTCCTCACCACGCTTGACGCGCTGTTGAACCCTATCGAGGACACGTTAAATACTTCTCCCACCTAGGAGCTATTCGCGACAAGTGGCGCAAACCACCTAGAGGAAAGACCAAGTACAATGGACGGCAGCACAGGTACCGGCGATGCGCCCCGCGACGAGCCTCAATCCCCTCCCCCGCCCGGCGACTCCAGCGAGAAGAAAAAGGGAAAGCGAAAGGCAAAGGGCGAAGAAACGCCCAAAGCTCCCGCCGGGGCTAGGCTTACGGATAACATGGCCGGGACCTTGTTAGAGATGAACCCAGCGCTACGGGGCGAATTGGCGGGAATGGATAGAGAGAAAGCTGCGGAGATGTTGCGAAGGATGGACATATCGGAGCTACTCACTGGGCTCTCTTTGAACCAAAAGAACCAGAAGGATATGGCATCGTATAAATTTTGGCAGACCCAACCTGTGATTCGCTTCGATGATAAGGGTGCTGTCGAAGACGGACCGATTAAGCAGATCGGTGTGGAGGATGTGCCCAAAACTCCAGACCCCTTGATCGAGGGGTTCGAGTGGGTTACCTTGAACTTGGACGACGAGAAGGAACTAAAGGAATTTTACGAGCTGCTCTCAGATCACTATGTGGAGGATGGAAGCGCGATGTTTCGTTTCAATTACTCCCCGGAATTCTTGAACTGGTGAGTGAGGAGGCTACTCTGGACTATGCGTTATCGGCGCAGCTAACGTATCCAAAGGGCTCTGAAAGCACCCGGATGGAAAAAAGATTGGCATGTCGGCGTTAGAGCATCTAAATCAGGCAAACTGGTCGCCTCTATCTGTGGCGTGCCCGCTGAGATTTCTGTGCGCGGTCAATTGATCAAGGTCTCGGAGATCAACTTCCTATGCATACACAAGAAATTGCGCTCGAAACGATTAACCCCTGTTCTCATCAAAGAGATCACCAGACGGTGTAACGTCGATGGCATATTCCAAGCTATCTATACCGCCGGAATTATTCTACCGACTCCAGTGAGCTCATGTCGGTATTACCACCGCGCCCTCGACTGGCTAAAACTGTATGAAGTTGGCTTCTCCGCTCTCCCTGCGGGATCCACGAAAGCTAGACAGATTACGAGGAATCACCTACCAAGCAAGACAGCCACACCGGGGTTGCGACCAATGCAGAGCAAAGATGTTGACGCCGTTCATGACCTGCTAAACCGGTATATGAAGCGGTTCGACCTTGCTCAAACGTTCAGCCGGGAGGAGATTGAGCATCTATTCGTCCATAAAGAAAAGCCCGGAACGGAGCAGACCGTCTTTGCGTATGTCGTTGAAGAGGATGAAACACACAAAATCACTGATTTCGTTTCCTTCTATTCTCTTGAATCGACAGTTATCCACAGCGAAAAACATAACACTATCAGGGCGGCATACATGTATTATTACGCTTCGGAGACCGCTTTCGCGCCGAAGGAGAAAGGCCTGCGGGAACGGTTGACATTACTTGTCAATGATGCTTTAATTCTCGCAAAGAAGGTAATGTTTACTGAGCGTCCCTTCTGACGCGATTGTTACTGACAACCGTTCAACAGGAGCACTTTGACGTGTTTAATGCTCTAACCTTGCATGACAACCCGCTCTTCCTTGAGCAGCTCAAATTCGGCCCTGGAGACGGCCAGCTCCACTACTACCTATTCAATTACCGAACATCCTCTATTGCTGGTGGCGTGAATGAAAGGAACTTCCCTGACGAGAAAAAGAGGGGAGGTGTGGGAATTGTCCTTGTTTGATGGCTTCTTTTGCAGAAGGAATTTGCTTTCCCCTCCCTGATTACACAAGTTTCCCTCATGGTTGGATGTGCAGCATTTGGTCCTTTCTTTTTTGCTCTCTCGTCCTCAAGAGCTGTGGTTGTCGTCATGATGTCTGACATGATTCCTGTCAAACATCTTCCACGCAGCTATTGTATAGCTATGATCATCATTATTGTATGGAGTATGCCATCACAATATCCATGCTTAGCCTGTCACTAGGCTGAGAGTTGTATTCCACAGGGATTTCAGACAAAAATAACTGCACTGCTGACCGACTCTTCCCTTTCTCTGAGATCTTGCTGTGATGTCACAGATGCCAAGCTACGTAACGTGAGAAGTAGTTAGGTTAACAAGTTTAACTAACCAACTGACCAGTCATGATGTCACGGGAATGCTCGCCGCCCAAGACAACTTCGACTGCAACCAGCCAGTTCGGTGGCGCGGCGAGTTGGGATCTAGACCCTCGACCGTGTCTTGGTGTCAAATGAGTCCGGGTGTGCTCGTTTCTAAATAACTACTACGACCAAGCCGCTTGCTCCTCTTGAAACTTGCACACTTCTCTGCCTCTTCTGGCTTCCACAGAGTATACCCATATCGACAACCAACCAGTTGGTAACTAACTATCGAGACAATTCATTGGCCCTTTCATGAGGCGCCCTGCCATACACATGCATCCGTGTTGTCATTCGCGGAGTAATAGTTACAAAATATACAACGGACGCGGTTGATAATCTATTAGTTAGCTGGGTCAAAATGGGCGCCGGTCAGTCGACGAGGAGCTCTCTGAATAAGTCGTCTCCCGGTAAGCTTCCTGATGTTCCCGCTGGCTACTCCCTGTCGTGATACCTACCTGCTCGCGTTCTATTTTTACAGATAGAGCACACCATTAACTACGGGGCAATCTGTTCTGTTAAAATCTAGAGGAGCTGAGCCACGTTCTGGCTCATCGATTTGCCTCGAAATGCTTTACACCCCTCGAACTCACCCATTTGAAGGACAACTTCAACTCTAGGGCTCTCGATGAAAATGGCCTTCGCCATTGGAATGAAGAGATCCTCTCCCAGTTCTTGGGGATCCCGGATGGCGCTGGAGAAAAAGCCGGCCCGCACACCGATGCTACGCTTGACGCTGGGCCTGTAATATTTCGCATGGTGTCCTATCTGGGCGCGTTCCCGTTTCAGAATACGCTCGCACCCAGCGTGCTTACTTATGAGGCTATCATTAAGGTCGTTGTGCTCCTAACAGAGAGATACGGCCGAGTTCTGAGAAGAGGGAGAAAAGATCGCATTAAATTGCTATTTGGTAGCCTGGCTGATGTTGGTCGTACTCAAGTTGAGGAAAAGGAGATGCCTGTACAGGAGTCAAATGATGGTAAAGCAAACGGTATTGCAAATGGCAACCCTTCTCATGTTACAGGGTTTGCTATCGATGCGCCTGCGAACGACGACGAAGAAGAACAAGACGATGATGATGACCTGACCCTTGCTGCCTTGGAATCTCTGGATGCAATTGAAGTGTTGAAGCATGATCAACGCATCGATCGGAGCGTATATAAGGCACGAGTTTCCATCGATACTTTTCGGAGGCTTATGGCCTTGCTTCTTGTTATTGCGCCTCTACATCCTATTGGAACGACGTCCAAGTTGATTGCAGATCAAGATGCAGAATCAATTGATGCCATCCAAGCCCAAGTAGATAGCATCATCGCCGCTTTTGGCGAAGAAGCCGACAATGATGGTATTACTTATAAGTCCTTCTCTAGAGTTCTTATGACATCTCTTCCCTTCCTATTCGATCCATTAACGCCCCTATTTGAGCATTTTCTGTTCAGCAAAAACCTTGATTTATCACGGCGAAAAGAGTCACGATCCACAGAGCCGGAACACGAGAAGTCAAGCTCAACCCCGCTTCCCCATTCTCCTCATTCCGAATCTGTATTTCTCCCTGGTCCTTTTGAATCGAATATCCTAAACACTACGTTGTTATCTCACCTTTCATTCTTCCTTTCGACTTCATACCCACTTCCCAATCTACTCCGCAATGGAACCCGTCTACACCCAGTTTTTTCTTCAGTATACCACGGTGAATCATTGACAGCGTTCTCCCATCACGTCCTTACCTGGCATGCGCCTAGTATTCTTCTCCTAAAAGGAGTCACCGACTCTTCTTCCTCGAGACAAGACACAGTTCTAGTGGGAGCATATTTGCCTGAACCCTGGAAACAGTCCAGTACCACCTCCTCGGACCGTGCGTCTGACTCCCTGGACTCGTCTAAGTTCCCCTGCCTCTTCCAGCTGCTACCAACTCACACCGTCCTCCTGGCCTCCCCGTTCTTCAAAACCCTCAAATTCAACATGCCCGTGGCGTCATTCTCTACGAAATCCGGTATTGCCCTGGGTTGCATGATCCCTCCCTCCTCACGCACATCGTTGCACCATGACCTCCATCCGCGACCCGCTGGCGGAGGTAGTTTGATAATTGACCCTGCCCTCGAGAATGCAACATTCGTCGTCTCCGACGGCTTGAACGGTGATGGGGTATTCCTACCTCCAGGTCTTTCCCCTTCATCCTCGTCATCCTTCTCTGCTTCAGCATTGTCCTCCACAACGTCCATATCTGTACACGCCATCGAAGTATGGGGTGTGGTACCCACACAACCCGAGTTGGGCCCCGTTTTGGATCCTGATTCCTCACGGGGGGATGCTGTTGCAGCGCAGAGAGCCGCGTGGGATTTCGAGGCGCGCGAAGCGGAGAGGAGAAGGACCATTCACTTGAAAGTTGGCGGAGGTGATAGTGAGGAACAGACTGGAAGGGCTTTGTTAGAGATGGCTGGGATTATTGGCGATTCGAATTATAGTCCGCGGAAACATTAATGAGACTGTTTCTTTTTATGGGTTTACAAGTATGGACCGGTATGCATGGAGTACATTGGCATGGCGCGGCTTTCCGTTTGCCTTCTGATTAAATGGCTTAGCACTTTGAAGAAAAATTGTCCGTCGTCAGCGCTCTTCTGGAAGGGGGTTTAGCGTTAGAAATAAATTTGTATCGGACTGAGATGATGATGCATTCAGTGTTGACCAGAACTTTCCTAACTTCAAAAGAGTAAGATCTCGGAATACTATAAAAGAGATATTATTCTGAGTCTCCCAAGCCTAAAAGGTTTATATATATTACAGAATCAGCACCCTTCATCAAACGGATAGTTACCTCAAAGGGACAAGTCCAAAGGGAGCATCATAGAAGTCCTTCAATTCTTCATTGTCCTCGCCCAAGCTAGGGGTAGCTTCAGTCTCTCTATTCTCAGTTCCTTCCTTGACTGCTGCTCCCATTTCACTCCTATCCTTAGTCTTATTGCCAATTGTCGTATTTCCGGTTCTGGACGATGGGTCACCCGCGCTCGCTTGGACAGTATCACTATCATCTGTCCCATTCTTGCCGGGATTTTCGCAAGGTAATCTCATTGCGAGGTAGCGAATAGGAGCCCGTTCAACGCGATCCATCACATCGTTCATGTACCGTTGAACCTCGACCAGAGGTTTAACAACTCGGGCAAGGGGTTCAAGAACACGTGCATTACTTGCAAACAAGCGCATTGTGATGGGTTGATAATATTCTTTTTCTTGTGTCTTTTTGGGGGATGAGTCGTTATTGGTTTCCGGCGTATCCCTAGCAGATTGATCGGTTTTTGACTGTGCTGTTTTCTGTGGCAAAGGTGCTTGAGTCATGGCATTTGAAGGTGTCCCGGCCTTGGGAGTGCCGTCGGGTGTTGACGTGATTTTGGTTTTTTTCGCTTTTGATTTGGTATTTGTCGAGGAAGGTGTATCTAGAGGGGTTCCGTTAGGGCCAACTTTCTTAACCACAAGAAACGAAGCTATGACCTGCGTCCCTGGCGGTATATAATCGATAATCATATTTTCGGGAAGAAGATATCGATCTCCTGAAGCAGCAAGCCCAGGGCCTGGAGGAGTAATGAATTCAAAAACCACAGCTTTAATATCCTGTCTAGCGGGCTGGAGTTGTGGCGGTGGCCTTTGTTGATGAAGGTAGGTTTTTGGTGGAGGTTGCTGCGGGAATTTGGATCGTATCGGCGGAGTAGACGGTGAAGAGCAAGATGGCTGATGGTTAGAAGGACTGTAATACTGGGTCGGAGGAGGGTGATGGGATTGTGGCTGAAAGATAAGTGGTTTTGCTCCGGGCCTGCTAGCCGCCGGCGGGCCGGAAGGTCCAGGCGGCACAGGAGACATGGAAGTAGATTTAGGATGATAGGGCGAATTAGTCTGTGGAGAATTGATCCGGGATTCTTGCTGGTTTCGGCTGGCGATGATCGCATTGAGCTCGTCAATATGAGCTTGAAAGGCACGCAACTGCTCTTGCGACGCTTCACTCGAGGCAACAACCCGCATGAGCGCCTTTAGCTCAGGATTCACTGCAGCTCTTGTAGCCAACATTTGTATGACTGGATCCGCGCTGCCTTTCGGGGGCTGTGGGGGCGGATCTGGAGGCTTCTGAGGTGGGGGACTGGGTTGCGATTCGCCATGCGAAGTAAGCGGTCTAGAAGGTGTTTCCGAAGGAGAGCTAGAGAGTGGTCCAAAATGATTACTTTGATACGTCTGTCCGGCGCTCTGCTGTGCTGGCTGGATGGGTTGTGAGGGTGGTGCAAATGTGGTTTTGGGTGCTGGTTGTGACACTTGGGGACTATGTAAAGCCGGCATATGGGAGTTTTGCGGGACCTGAGGAGACTGCCGGGACTGGTTTGCTGGCGGAGGAGGTTGATATTGGTGGAAGGTATTCGAGTTGCTTGGCGCAGTGTATTGAACATGGATCAGAGGCTTTTGAGAAGGAGGAGGAGGAGGGTGTGGCGTTTGTTGTTGGGATTGCGGATTGCGCACGGTATAAAGCATAACGTCGAAATGGTGAGGTTCAATCACAATTGTACACGGGCCCAATTTGGTCATGGATTCCTTCGGAGGATTTGGAGTTGCGGGCTGCGGCTGGCCTTTCTTTCTGGACGGCTTTGTCCAGTATTTTTCGAAAATACACTCGTGGAGCCATCTTGTCTGCGACCGTCGAAGAGCGGCAACGACCACAGCGCTATCAAAAGAAGATATAACGTTAGAACAAATGTCCAGAATCACAACCCAACATTTCTGGGATTATATCACCTTTCATCATAGGGCTGATAATCCCGCAATGACAGGTTCCCCGGCTGTACTTTAGCGAGGGTTGGCAGTGGGTTTCCTTCCTTGATCTTTGTGGGGAGAGGCTCCTCTTCGACTGCTTCAGGGAGCTTTGGAGCTGGCGTCGCCGAAGCTTTTCTTTTCGCGGGGACCTGGCGTTGTGGGGTGGTCGCGTCGGATTTTCGCGTCCGCGTCGTAGGGGGTGCTCGAAGCTTTCGTTTCTCTGCCATCTCATCGCAGGGACCACTCATGCCAAACCAGAGAGCCACCCTGCGCACTGGCGCTTTGTCCGTCGTCACAACGTGATGAGCTCGCCGCAGCGAGAAGCAAGAGAGCGACGGCGATGATAGCTGACTAAGCGTAATTATGGTAATTTAAAATACACGATGTGACAGTACCTTATCGATAACGTCCTTGAAAAAGTCCTCGTCCTCGGCTGGAGAGTGAGCGACGACGGAGAGCTTGAGAGCTGCTCGAGCAATCGGCTGATGGCTTGATCTTCGATTGAAGGCTCGCATGTATTCTTTCGCTTCCTTTTCTCTCTGTATACCGCTAGTCTTGTCTCCGAATTCAATCTTTGCACCGAGGTAGCCACATCATACTTCCCTGTATCCCGTACTCCGAACTACCTCCCCGTTCCATCGACCTCAGATATTGTCTATGAAAGCAGATATATGTACGTCTTGTCCACTACATTGCATTTTGGGAGACTCAATCTTTCCGGGACCCTATCTTGGAAAAGGACGCTCTGAGCACTAAATTTATTTCGCTGTATCCTGACAAATATTGTAGGAACCGCCATCATGGTAGAGCTGGCGCCCATTTTAAAAAAGGCCTACTGGGTCCTCGCTCTCTGCGGCCTGATTTATGTCTCTCTGATCTTCTCTCTAACATATCCCACTATCCAACGGGGGTGAATTTTCCTTTCCTTCGCTGCACGACTTTGTCTGTGCATTACTAATTATCGTCTTAGTGTGCTCTATTCGCATGGAATCAATCCATCGCGATTCTACGACATCAACGATGTTGAAAACTTTGGGTTCTTGAGTACATACGATTCTTGCCCGAATAGTCAACTTTTAGAGTATTAACTAGGTCACTAGAATCTCAGGTACAACCGTTCAACTTACTTACTCCGGATAATGCCACCCTATATGCATGGCATATCCTGCCCCTTCATCTTTGCAAAGAGCATGAGAGAGAGCTTCTCGCAAGCCACAGTTACGGTGTAGCGGAGGATATGACCAAAACGGGTGCTTTCAATTTACTCGCCCGAGATCCAAATGCGAGAGTGATCGTCAACCGTATGCATTTCGGCCTATCCCAAAGTGTTGCGGACTCGAGGCTAACGGCGAAGTCACAGTTCACGGAAATGCTGCAAACCTTGGCTCTGGCTATCGCCCCGGGATCTATCGCAATTTTGTCTCAATGTCAACGCCGTATCATCCTGTTCACGTGATAGCATTCGATTATAGAGGGTTCGGGCTCTCCACCGGGGAGCCTACAGAAGAAGGCCTGATCACAGATGCGCTAACGGTGATAAACTATCTCACATCACCCCCTCTCTCTATTTCTCCATCTCGAATTGCAGTTGTAGGCGAGAGCCTTGGGACTGGGGTCGCTGCTGGACTTGCCGAACGACTTGCTTTTGGAGATGCATCACCCGTCAAAACTCTCGCCGGATTTGTGCTTGTCGCCCCATTCTCGAATATTCCCAAGCTCTTAGAGTCATACTGCATTATGGGAATATTCCCACCACTCCTCTCACCGCTGATGGGGTATCCTCGATACAAGAAATACGTGCTCGACCACATAATTGATCGATGGGATACTGCGTCACGGCTAGCCAGACTAACAGGTGTATCCCCACAATCTGATTCTGACGCAGAGCATGATGATAAAAACTTCCATCTCACAATCATGCACGCAGCTAATGACCCCGATATTCCTTGGCGCGAAGGTAAAAGAGCGTGGGAAGCGGCTGTTGGAGGTGAGGACGCCGCGAAGGTGGGTACTTTCACTGAGCAATCAATTTCAAGTGATAATACTACTGAAGTCAAAACCTGGGAACGAAGGGTTGGATCAGGGCTGAAGAGAGTTAGATGGCAGAAAGTACGATATGGAGGTATGGCTTCCCCAGTGTCTTCATCCAATATCCCTTCCAATGAAAGGACCGTTCGGGTGTCGAGATGGATGCTGAATTATTCACTTTTCTATCTAGGGCACAATGAGATTGCAAGTCTTAGCCCGGCAGCCCTCGCTGTGATGAAAGTTTTTGATTAGATATTACCACTCTCATCACGATATTTAGATGCGAGTTCATAACTATAGAGAGGGGGAAGGAGAGATACATAAGATGACTTGCGTAACGTACCGAAAACACCATTAGAAAAAAATGGCGACTGAGAGCATGGCTTGTCATAATGAAGATGTAGAGGAATAGGTTCTTGAAATAGAAATAGAATATTAATTTTTCAGATTCATCTGGAGCGGAGAGAGCCAGGGACCAGATCGCCAAATCAGCCGTGCGCATACACCCCTTTCCATGGAATGCTATCCGTCCTAATAATAAAGAATAATCGCAGAAAGGCAAACGCTTCCAAGCCTTATAAACAGAAGATATAAGCAATCTTGCGAGTCTATACCGATTCATTACACAGCCAAAAAAAGTGTCTAGGGCGACTGCACGCCAAATGGGAGACATACGGAAACAGAGAACATGACCCTTGCAAAACATTTCGCCTGTATCCCCATCATTTTTGCCCAAAAAGAAAGCCTTGCACGGTATAAATACAGCAGATGGAAGGGTAAGTGAAGTTGTACATGTACAGTGCATCGAGATATTCAAAAACAAACATAACTTCCACCATAGTGGAGCTGGCTTGAAAGAGAAGCAGATGGTTTCAGGCTCTGAGGATATTTCGGAACCATGGCTGGTCGTGAGACAAAGCCCGGCTGGGAACTTGTCCGTCGCAGGTAAACGAAGACCTGCTCAGAGTATTCAACGAGAAATAAAAGCGGATGCAGCTTATTTCTTATGTCTGGCAGCTTGTGCTTTCTCATACTCGGCAATAAGCTCCTTCCTATACGTCGCAGGGCTGTTAGTGATTTTCCGTACATCGAGACGGATAATAGAGACGGGAATACTCACTGCAAGTGACCAGGAGCTTTTTCGTAATGGCTGAACTCCATGGTATACTCTCCCTTGCCCTGGGTAGCAGCGCGCAAATGGGTACTAAACCCGAACATTCCATTCAAACTACAGTCGGCGTAGACGGTGAATTCATCAACGCCAGTCTCGGTATCGTTAATAATAGCATTGCGCTTGTTCAACAAGGCGATAACATCACCCTGGAATTCTGATGGAGCGGTAATGACAGTCTTCATGAGGGGTTCAAGAATGTGTGGCTGACTGTCCATAAACGCTTTCCTGAAAGCTTGCTGAGTGGCATTCTTGAAGGACATTTCGGACGAATCAGTCATATGTGTGGCACCGTCATTGATAACCATTCTGGTACCGAGGACCTTGTGGCCGATTAATGGGCCCTTGTCACAAGCCAGGCCGAAACCTTTCTCGCAAGCAAACAAGAACTTCTCGGAAATGCTGCCTCCAGTGATCTGCTCCTCGAAGTTGTTGCCATCCAAGTTCCCAGTAGGTTCCATCCAACCGGCAACACGAGCATATTCACCAGGTCCGCCAGTTTGTTTCTTAAGCAAGTGATCAAACTCAACACGCTTGCCAATCGTTTCACGGTACGCGACCTGAGGCTTTCCGGTTTCGCAATCGACGCGGTACTCACGACGCATACGTTCAACATAAATATCCAAGTGTAGCTCACCCATTCCAGAAATAATTGTCTCTTCACTCTCGGTGTCGAAGTGAACACGGAATGTGGGGTCTTCACGTTGAAATCTGTTGATAGCCTTGGAGAAATTGGCAAGATCCTTGGAGTTTTTAGGTTTGATAGACAGGGAAATGACAGGCTCAGGCACAAACATAGAAGACATCGAGTAGTTCAGTTGGCCATCGGTGAACGTGTCTCCGGAAGCACAGTCGACGCCAAATACGGCGCAGATCTCACCAGCACCGATTTCAGAAACCTCTTCCATTTCATTTGAATGCATACGGACAATGCGAGGGACCTTGATCCGCTTGTTATTTCGGGCATTGAATACGTTGGTTCCTTTTCGAAGGGTACCCTGATAGACACGTATGTAGGTGAGTTGGCCAAAATTGCTTTCTTCAAGTTTGAAGGCCAGGCCGACAAAGGGCAAAGAGTTATATGGAACAAGCTTGACGGAAGCCTCGTTGCGTTTTTGGTCGAGTGCCAAGTTCTCAATTTCGGCCGGATTCGGAAGATAATCGCAAATACCATCGAGCATAGGCTGTACGGCTTTGTCTGCCAGAGCGGATCCCATGAAAACTGGGGTGAACGTCCGGGCAATAGTTGCCCGCCTTATAGCGGCCTTGAGTTGCTCAACCGTTGGCTCCTTCTCTTCCAAGAAGAGTTCGGCAATATCATCGTCAACGTCGGCCAGAGTTTCGATCAGCATTCTCCTCCGCTCTTCTGCCACTGGGCGCACATCGGCCGGGATCTCATCCTTTTCGACAACCATTTCACCCCGAGGACCTTCGTTATAAATAGCCTTCATGCGGATGATGTCAACAACACCCTTGAATTCGTCCTCGAGCCCAATGGGCACTTGGACGGCCGCGGCGTGCATCTTTAGTTTCTGATTAATCTGTTCAATAGCCCTGAAGGGATTAGATCCCATACGGTCCATCTTATTGATAAACGAGATACGCGGAACATTGTAGCGTCGCATCTGTCGATCGACGGTAATGGTTTGCGATTGGACGCCAGAGACAGCGCACAAGATCAAGACAGCACCGTCCAAGACACGTAGAGCTCTCTCGACCTCAATCGTAAAGTCAATATGTCCAGGTGTATCGATCAAGTTGATGTGGTATTTCTCGTCCTTCCCGTTCTCCTTCTTGACCCAGTCGCAGAATGTCGCGGCAGACTGGATGGTAATTCCTTTCTCACGTTCGAGATCCATAGAGTCCATCTTGGCTCCGACGGAGTCACGTCCCCGAACTTCATGGATGGCCTGGATGCGTCCGGTGTAGAAAAGGACTCGTTCAGTCGACGTGGTTTTACCGCTGTCAATATGAGCCTATAGGGTACTGTTCAGCTCGGACGTTCATTGCCCCAATTTTATTTTTGGTGAAGTACCAACGCACCGCAATACCAATATTTCGGACTTTAGATATTCTCGCAGCTTCGGCAGGATCCATACTTTCAATGATTGCGTCTTGTGAAAGCGTCTCCGGTTGCGCGGCGGCCTGCTCGAGTCTGCACGCGTGGGAATTAGTATATGTATGCATACACTGCAATTACTAAAAGCTGATCAACGGTAGAAAAAGCAGCACTCACACTGCAGCCGCAGTAGCAGAAGAAGAGTGCCTTTTCGGCTCCCATCTCCTGTTCAACGGTAACCGAGTGGGAGCGGCAGGAATTGACCGAAGGGGAGCCGCTGATAGGTATCTTCGCGCGCAAAAAGAATTGCCAAGTGGCCGCATTGCGGCTTTCGGCATGCCAGCGAGGGAACGGACTTGTGTCCGCATGACCGTGTGGACACTCATATTGAGACGAGACTATCCCTTTTGGTCAACACAGAGTCGAAGGGGACGCAATGCTCTTCCGCTTCTCGCGAAGGAGCCCGTCGAGAGGATCTTTTGGTAATTTATTTTTTTAAACTTTGCCAAGCCCGCAAGGGTCAAACCATAGCAGAAATGGGGAGGATTTGTAAACCGTAGATCCACTAGTCCCGATACGTTTACGTCAGAATATACATTTATCTGAATCCACGGTTGTTTGGAAGTTTAAAAATATATACATTCTGAAGTTGGAAATGTAGCTTCCAATCCTCAACATAGAAATCAGGAAACATTTAAACCCCTGATCAATGAATATATCTAGGAACATTCAGGATACCTTTTCAGGTTTATAAATGTTTATAGTATAGAAACCATTATAGTATAGTTACTCCAGCAGACACTGGAGAGATTTCAACTAATGCATAATACTACATACATCAAACCACCTGATCTATCTATAAAAAGGAAATGCTCCAAGTGCAGTTGAGAAAGATAATTGACAGAGCAGAATCCAGTTCAAGTCTTTTGAAATCTTTGCTAACAGATATTGTGTAAAGGCTTGATTTATGGATTGCAGGTAGACTAATTATATGAATCTTATTCTGATTTATCTGCAAAATCAGCAAATCCAGTACTCTCTCATACTGAATTTCATAAGCAGAGAACATGGCAAAAAAAACCCTCCAGCAGCTGCTCTGGTTGTGGATAAATATGCATCTTATTTGCCTGATCTTGATATCTGATGCATGAGTATACTCAACCAGATCATCAAGTTTCAATGTAGTGCAATATGCATCTTCATTAAATGTAAAGATCAGCTTTTGAAATAATCAGACTGGAGTTGAATCTTCATCAAGCATATGTTAATATGCTCAATCACTGCTGTATGAAAGTTGGAGCTTTTACAAAAAGAAATGCATAATTAGTAGTTCAGAAAGCTATATGCTTTGTAAATCAAGCAATTTCATAACTTTACAGCTAGCTGGTAGTCAGCAGTAGACATTGATTAAGATATGGAAGAGAGTAATAGCATATAAATTATTGACTTTGTCAGCATTCTCATCATCATCTTGTTGCTTATTATATTCTGATCACACAAGATCTTGCATGAGAATTAAACATTTATAATGAAGTTGCTTTATCTGACTACTGATATAGAGTTCTAATTTCATAAGAGCCTCATCAAGAACCAAGAATATAGTGTATTTAAAGCTCTTATGAATTAGTAAAATCTTTTCAACATCATGCTTGTTAATTCACTGCATAAATACTTTGTATTCACAGTGTTTATTCTTCCTAATCAGTATATTGCAGTTATTTGATACAGCATACTTCTTTATCTGATTGGCATAGTATACTCTGATATGCATGTTTGGTTGATATTTTAAAGCATGTAACATCTTATCTGCTTTTGGAGCAATACTAACAGTATTGATTAAAATATTCTTCATTAAAGGTGTCACAATCTGATTGAATACTGGTAAATTCTGCCATGATCTCAGCATCTATACTGCCTGACTAGCTGACTGTAGTACCTTGGCAGTCATAATAGTAGTATCTATTACTTTCTGAAGTATAGTTTGAGTATTGGCAACTATACTTTTAAGTTCATTGTATCCAACAGATGTCTGAGAAGTCAATAGTAAATTGCTTCTTGTAATAGTATTAAAGATTTTAGCAAGCAACAAACATGGAATGTTGAAATTAATTAACTGTTCATTAAAGAAGTTATAGAGAGTCTGCTGAATAACAGTCTGAATTCAGTCAGACTTTAAAGTAAAGTAGAGTATAATTGGAATCATAATTAAAGCTTGAATATGTTTCTGAATTTAATAGAACTCCAGATAAGTAATTAAGAACTGCAGTTGAGCCCAGTATTTCTGAAATAAAAATTTTTGTAAAATTTGACAGTATTTCTTCTGCCCCTCAGATATCAATATATGTGATATTAATAATATATGTGCAATTTTGGACAGGCCTGAAAATTCACTATAACAGAGATCAGAAAGAAAAAATATCATCAGATTCAGTACCAGACAGATCTTCAAAACTGAAGAACTTTTCTTGATCAATTCATGAATCTTCTACAGTACTTCTTGCTCACAAACAGTTCACTTTATCTTAATTTTGGCCCACAAATTGAGTAGCTGGTAATGGTATTGACTGTATTTTATCAAGTTGAAATTCATATTAAACCTCTCTGCATCAGAGACAGTACAGCTTCAACAGAAGACTGTTGCAGTAGAGTATTTGATTCCAGTATTATTATTTTGCTACAGCATGTCATCAAGATAAGCAATATAAAAAGCAATAATTCTGATAGTTTCTTCATCAGTTACCACAATGTCAAATTCTCTTTCAACTGCTTGTAAACTGGGAGTCAACATCTTTATAATATTGGAAAAATTTATAGCATGAGATCTGAGAGCAATTGTATATACATTGTTTTATTATCTTCTTTTGGAATTATTAAGTCCTGCAGGAATTATATAGAAGTTAGTTATATTTTGGTACATGTTCTGATATAGACTGAATCTATCAATAAACAGCAGAAAGAGAATAGATATAGTTCTCTTGATAATATTATTTGAATAGAGTATCTTGATTAGCATATCTCTTCTGTATGCTGTAATTTCCAGTTTACTCCAGAGTGAAGTGCTAAGTTAAAGCTCTTGTACAGATAATGTGTAGCAAATTGTATTTATTACTTGCTGTATAAAGAACTTATTTATTTCTGAGAGTTTGTAACTACCTGATCTGTCAAAAATATAGTCAAGATGGACATCTAGTTGGACTAGAATATTGTCTTCATGTATGATGTGAGTTTTCTGATCTTTCAGTAAGAGCAGCTTGTTTGGGCAAAGTGGAGATCTTAGTGAATGGATTCTTTTATCAAAGCTGTTAGCAGTAATAGTGTACTGGATAATAAGAATAATTTCATCAGGTTTTGTGCAGGCCAGTCTCTAATCCTGATCCACAAATTAAATTCTTCTGATATAGATTTCTTGTTCATTTCAAGTACACTTACATGCAGCATTATTGTACCTAAAATAAATAAAATTGAAAGGAAAGACTGATATTCTGTCAGAATATCATGCAAAGTCATCTGATGAACATCTAATAAAGCTCCTCCAGCTTCATGATTGCCACAATTTGGTTGGGTTGTTAACTAGATTGGCCATACCAATATATATCTTCTTGTAAAATACAGAAGATCTTGCCAGTAATGACAAAAGAGTCACAGAATCCTGAAAGAATAAATTAGATGTGAGAGATATCTGTATTAATTGCTTCTTGACAGGTGAAAGAGTTGACATTTTCAATAGAACAGCTAGTATAGATGCCTGTTGAATAAAAAGCATAGAAAATTGAGCTCTGCATTTCTTCTTCAATATGCTCAGCTTCAATAGTAGAGATCTCAGTATACTAATGTCTTCAGGAATCTGTAAGACTTTCTGCAGTATCTTGTAGTGTTGGCAAGATATTCCTGATTTTTCACATCATAATTCTAAAGTAAGTGTAAAGTGGTCCAGCATTTCATCAGGCTCCACACACACATGGACTAGAACCTCTGATAGGTCATTCATTATAGTCAGAATGTAGATCTTAGCTGGCTGGTTGCCCAATAAATTCTCTAGTTGTGAATGAAAATTGGAATCTCCATTGCCAACTAGATGCACTGGATGTAATATAGTCTATAACCAGAGTTTGAATTTGAGCTCTTCATACTGTTGTGATTCATTGTTATCAACTAATCTCATGAGTAGAGCTGCTACTGCTTCTTGTATAATCTTCTGCACTCTGATGTCTTCTGGTTCAGAATGAGTATTGGATAGAGTGTTGGATGAAGCATCAGAGACATCTGAAAGACTTGCTGCATTCTGTATACAGTAATTAGAATGATGCAGGCTGATAGAGAATTTAAGATCTTATACTTAACTCTGACTTCTCAGTTTGATTGTTTGGCTGAATGTTGGGTTCTACTGAAGATAAAATGTGATTGCAATCTTATAATTCCTGCAACAAATGAGCAGGCTGTCTGTGTCTTTGAAACTGTGAGGCTGGAAATGGCAAATGAAGTCACCTTCTCCAAAATATATTGTAGTGGGGATTCTGATACCATATTAGGACAAAGGTTGTTCCAGTCCAAGGCGCAAAACTGTTAGGTAATCCAACTAGCACCTTGCTCACATGACCCACATAGATTAGCTGAGATTCCCCTTTAGATAGCTTAGCAAATAACAAGCATACAAGTCCTCCATCAGATTATAGCTCTTTGCACTGAAGAGCAAGCATATAAGATTGATTTACAGCTTAATTGGATATTGAAGCTTATAATCAACACTCTGAATGATTATTCTTGTGGATAATGAGGTTTTACAAGCACTAAAGAGGGTATATGTTGAAGTGGACACCTCCTATACATGCAAACCCCTGTAGCTTTCTGGCACTGAGCTGGAGAGCAAGTTGAACTCTGTAGCTTTCTGACACCCAACCAGAGAGTGAGCAAAACACCTGCTAAATGCACCTAGCAAGCAAATTGAGCACCTGGCAACATCAAAGCCATGGTAAACTGTATGAATGAACTGGAGCACTGAACCTCTGACTGAAAGGCTCCAATGAACCTCTCTACACCTCAAACTGAGCTTAGATGGTTGAGTAGGCTCAGAGATGACCAGCCAAATGACAAGCAGGAGTCTAGAGAGGAGAGTGAACTTCAAATGTTGCACAGAATGATGCTGCAACAACAGAAGACAGTACAACAGCTCGCACAGTAAATAAGTCTCTTGTCAGGCCAAGAAAGCACTGCAAACATGCCTGCAACAGTGCAGGAGAACCCAGAGCAAGAAGCTCAACAAGAAGAGAACTGAGAGATAGACTCTGAGAATGAACTAGAAGAATATGTTGGCAATCTTATAGATATGAATACACAGACTGGCAGAGCAATCACCCAATTCATGAAGATCTCAAAAATAATAAAGAAGTCTATAACCCTAGCCAGAGCCAGCAACTATCTAGTATAGAGCAAAGCTATCCTAAAGATAGCTCATCAAGTGGATACTGAGAAGA